AACAAGATAGTTACACCAATATATGTACTTCCTTATACTGTCTAATATGCATAATTATTTAACTACACCATTAACTTACATGTCAGTAGCTAGTAAGTAGGATATATAAATATACAAAGTATGCTTTTGTTGGTGTTGAACTGCTTGAAGAACTACATATAGCCTAATTAATTCAAGCTTTCAGGAGGAAATTTGAATCTACGGCCATTGTAAAACATATCTAAACCCCATAAATACCTGCAAATTTGAGAAATAATTACTCAAGTTCATAATTCCAATACATTATATCTTCAAAAGCAAATAATTAATTACCAGAAAATTAGTGCCACGGATGCTATAATGAATAATAGATACTGATAGCATTTGTGCTTAGGTTTCTTTTTGATCATATCATATCCTGCAGGTATATATCTGCGGCTTACATATCCGTATTGTGGACGCATTAGAAGAATGAATCCAAGAAGAAATCCTGAAAGAAATCCTCCAATATGAGCTGAATTATCTACGTGAGGAATGAGACCGAATGATAGATTCAACCCAATGATTAGCAGGAGGGAGGTAACTGCTTTACACTGAATTCACCGTGTTAGATTATACATACATATACATGATATTTTTCTGAAAAGCAGTTTCTGAGTGATTGTCACAGTGTTACCTTATTAACATAGGTTGTCCAATTCAAGAAAAGCTCAGAAAGCATGGATCCCAGAAGTCCGAAAAGTGCACCGGAAGCACCGACGGAGATATTTGGCTCCGGACTTAGAGCAGACATCAAGCTTCCACCGAAACCAGACATCACATACAACAGTCCTATCCTCACTGTCAATGTAATTTTGAGTATTAAAAATATTGATTTAAAAAATAAAAGCTAGCTAATTAGGAGTTAGCTAAGATTGGTAATTAAATTTTTTACAGAATCCAAATTCTTGCTCAAGTGGGATTCCGATAAATAGAAGGCTAATCATGTTTGTTAATAGATGGAGAACTCCAGCATGTAGCCATATGCAAGAAAAGAATCTCCATGCTTCTCCATTCCTTTCTACTCTTAGTGGATCAAGTGCTCCTAACAGTTCCAACCTGCGGATAATAAATGAATTAAAATAAAAAAAATAATTGTTCTTTCAAGAATTATAAAATATAATTAACAAACCATATAAACCAACAAATTTAAATTTAAAATTATGGTAATTCAAAGAATTGAAGTGGAAGATTTAAAAGAAAAAAATACCAAGAATCATCAAAATGGAGGTTAAAAAGATTAAAAATAAATTTTGAAAAAAAAAAAAAAAGATTAATCTTGAAGGGCAAAAAATATAGAAAGTGGTGATCAGAAATCCTTACGTGATAACTGAAGGCCCAAGAACAGCATTTTCTTTAAACGGTTGGAAAGAATACCTCCCCAAATATTCATAAAAAAGGCATTTATCTGTACCGGTATATGTAGGGCAATCATTGTCATACATTGTATAGATGAACATGGTTACATTAGCTGCGAATATGAGCGGCACAAGCCATGGGGTCCACTGCTCTTGTTTCTGTGGGGGCAATGGTGGCCGTGGCGGTGGGTTTTTGACATAGGCCCGCTTCTCGATGTCTGGAGATGGCGGCCTCTTGCCCATCGCTGCGGACAAGGGGAGAGAGAGAAAGCAAAAAGAAAAAAACCGAAAAAGGAAGAAATTCGAGATATGGTTATGTTTTGGATGGTAAAGAATTGCTAGCCTGTGGTAGTTAAGTTAGTTACTCCCGCTAATTGAAATCCTTCCCAATTAGTCCGTCTTTAGATTCGCAGGTTGATTGATTAATTTTTTTTTAATTGGTATTATTATTTTATTTTATTATAGAGATTAAATCAAAAACATAAGTTTTATTATTACTCAAGCTTGACTTGATTTTTTTAAAATTATACATAAGGTTTATACTTTTTCATTAATTAATATAACATGCGCAAAATATAACACGTCTTTTATTACTATTAGTCTTTTTCATGACGTGCGTTGCACGTTGACAATACTCGTTATATTTTTCATTTTTATACTCTTTTAATTTTTATCTATATAATATTAAAAATAAGTTTTTGTTTAGTTTGAAATAAATACAATTGGTTAATTTGTATTGGACTTTGTTGTATAAGCTACTTGCAATGTTATTTCTTACGTATTTGATTTTATTTTTACATAATGAAGTGGTCTCAAAATAAAGTTCAATCCAATATCTATATCTTATCATTCAGTCTCTAATTTATAAACGCAGATTCTTAAAATCTTGATAGGTATTTAAAAAAAAAAAAATCAAGTTATCCCTCAATCTCCAGCCATTGCGCTCAATCCCAAATTAATATCTGTATACAACTATAATGAAAAGGAATAATAAATTATTTTTTACTGATAGGTAAAAGAAAAAAACATGAGAAGATAATCTGAAATTAATAATGGTAATCATTTTAGTTATAGTGATAGTATTTATTTACCCAGTACATTAGAGAAAGGAATATATGAACATACACACAAACAAACTCTTAAAATCTAAAAAATGACCCAAAATAAAAATGTATAGTTCTAGTTTTTTTTATTTTCATAAATACCATTTTCTTTTATGTCAAACATATTTAGGATATAAAAGAAAAATATCAAGAAAATTAAAAATACTTAATTAGGAAGTCATTTATTTATTGCAAGGGAGATATATATTTCTTACTAAATTAAAGTGACAGTGGTTTCAAATTAATTCAATAATGAAAAAAATAAAAAAAAAAAACAAATTTTTATTAAGAATAAAACTTTTTTAAGTACTCAACATATGACAAGAAATAAATATATTAAAAAATCGCCAATTTCAATTTCAAAAATAACCCTGAAAATGTTATAATTTAATTAAATTTGATTTTGATGGGAAAAAAAAATAAAGCCAAGTTAATAAATGAAAATTACAAAGTAAATCATGCTACAATCCAATATTGGTTGATTAATGAGTTTATTCAAGTATTTTGTTTTTCTATTATTCTAAGTTGCAAATTAAGTTAATTAAGTAACAAAAAAAATTATATAAAAGAAACATCATGTCCTCACCAATTAAACCCACAATTTTTTATACAACCATACAAAAGAAGAATATACTTTTTCTTTTTTATTATCTATATTTATTTATTTAAAAAATAAATTTTAGAAATTATATCAAATCAAATAATAAAATGTAATTTTTAATTTTTTTTTAACCACATGTATCCCAAGCCCACTGAGTTAGTACTAAATCCCGAGCCCACTGAGCTAGAATTAAATCCTGCTTGCACCGGGTCGGCCCAAAAAGGGATAAAATGCTCTCGTGGAATATTTGCTTCATCCATAAGGATCAAACCGTCAACCTCTCCTAAAAGAGAAGTGACAAACCACTCATCCAAACACTCGTTAGTATAAAATGTAATTTTCGAATTTACTACAATCAAGACTATTTTAAGATATTCTAAATTTTATTGAGGATGATATTGGGAATCTCATTATTCCCCCTATTCCCACATTTATATATAGTACTAGTTTTCTTTATAACATACATTACACGTTGACTATACTCGTTATATGTTCATTCTTTATGCTCATTTAATTTTTTATTTATATAATATTAAAGTATAAATTCTTATTTAGAATGAATAGTTAAATTTTATTACGCTATATCTATACAATAAATATTTTTTTGGTTTATGTCAACGTGCTGATTCACACAATTTTTATTATACGTTAGTTGATTTTAATTTTTTTTAAGGAAAAACCAATTGATTGATAAAAATCATCATATAGCTTCTATTATACGTTTTATAATTAATTTACATGTTTTGCTAATAACTTTCATTGTAATCTCTTGTAGTAAATATACATATACACATTAATTGTAGAATAAGAAAATATTCTAATAAATCAAATTAAATATTTATAAATAAAAATTATTTTTATTTTTATTTTTTTAGCTAATCAAGATCATAAAAGCATTTTAAAAAATTATTAATAAAATTATATTCTTTAATAGAAATAGGATTTGAATTATATAAGATATTAATACAACTTATTTTTTATTTACTTGACATGGCTGAATATTGTCCGCTTTGGGCCCTTCCGTACGAGTATTTCTTTAATAGAATAGATTTGAATAATATAAGATATTTAATTACAACTTATTTTTATATTTAACTTGACCATGGCTGAATATTGGTCCGCTTTTTGGGCCTTCCGTACGAGGTTCAACCGCTTCACGGTTTTGTTCTGGGAAATGGAAATTCCCAGGAGGTCACCCATCCTAGAATTTCCATTAACGAGCACGCTAACCCTGGGAGTTCTTTCCAACTCTGCCAGCCATGTTTCACACCAAAAAACCGTGTCCAACCATTCAAGGCATCACCCCTCTTTTGTACTGTCTGAACACCCTGTGCGTAGCCGATGTGGGATTCACCTAAGGTGTAGTGCCCCAAACCTGGGATGTCACAGTTAATCCCCTTCAACATAGTTGCATGAAGCATGTACAAATAGATGTCCACTTTGTTCGGGATAAAGTTGCAAGCAAGGAGTTATAGGTTCGTTATTTATCTTCCAATGATCAAATTGCAGATATATTAACGAAACCGTTGACTAAGAATAGGTTTATATTGTTGAGAGACAAGTTGACTATCGCCCCACACCGATAGTACAACTTGAGGGGGCATGTTAGTGATAAGGTTAGTTCACCCTGGGAGATTCTTCCACTCTCCAGCCATTTCACACCAAAACGCGTCCACCATTCAAAGGCCATCACCCCTCTTTATGTACTGTTGAACACCCTGTGCGTAGCCGATTTGTGGGATTCGCCTAAAGGTGGTTTAAGTGACCCCAACCTGGGATTGTCAGCAAAAAAATATTTTCTTTTCTTGTTTTTTTTATTCTATATTTTCTTAAAAAGAATAAATATTTATAAATAAAAATATTAAAAATTATCAAATATCTCATTATATATATATTCATTATCTCATTATCATATATATTCATTAAAAATTAAATTTAATAAAAATAAAAATAAAAATAAAAATTTTGAAATGCTTAATTATTTATATGTATTTATTTAAAAAATAAATTTTTTATTCCTAATAGGCCTGATGGCCGAAATAACACTGTGGCTACACAATAATCATATTGGTGAAAACACTTGCGGTTGAGAGAATTCGAACTCGAGACCTCTTACTCTTCACATAAGTAGAAGACAATCAAATTGCATATGATTGGCTGAACAAATAATTTTTGTAAATTATATCCAATCAACTAATAAACTGTAATTTTTTAATTGACCATCATTAAGGATATTATAAAACATTTTAAATTTCGTTAAGAGTGATATAATAAATTTCATTATTGTCCCTCTTTCCACTTTTTATATACAGTATAGAATAGAATAGAATATAGAATATAGAACAGATAGATAGATAAAATGCGGATAGGATTTGGACCGGTATGTATTGAATTTTTATTTTATATATACACACACACACACACACACATAATAATATATATTATATATATATAATGAAATGTGTTAAACAAAGTTAAAATTCAATAACTGTAACGTTTGAACTTAAGGAGTGGGAATCCAATCCTTTTATTCTCGAAATACTATATTCGATTGATGTGGCTGAAAATGAACTTTAAACAGAAACGTATAACAAATTGTAATTAACATCTAGATCAGACATTCTTCCCTCTATCACTCAGTTACGTAAGAAATGTCGATGCTCTGCTTTCCTCATCTTCGCCAATGTGTTAGCATGATAAGAATCAACTCCCAACCTTTTCATTTGTCAAACTTTTCTTTGTCTTCTCCATCGTCAACTAAATATCTTCCATGGATAATTCTCATCTACACTCAAGCATGCGCTGCCTTTTCTATTAACTCATCTCTCTTGTTCGTTATCTTTTTCACTTAATATCAAAAACTTCACATATATATATATATATATATAATGAAATGTTTAAACAAAGTTAAAATTCAAAACTGTACGTTTGAATTAAGGAGTGGAACAACCTTTTATTCCAATACTATTTGATTGATTTGGCTGAAAATGAACTTAAACAGAACGTTACAATGTAATAACATCTAGATCTAGACATCTTCCCTCTATCATCAGTTACGTAGAAATGCGATGCTCTGTTTCCCTCAATCTTCCCATGTGTTAGCATGATTAAGTAATCAACTCCCAACCTTTCATTTCACTTTCTTTCTTCTCCATCTCTATAAATTCTTCCATGATAATTCTCTCTGACACTCAAAAGCATGGCTGCCTTTTCTATTACTCATCTCTCTTTGTTCGTTATTTTTGTTGCATTAATATCAAAAACTTCACTTACTGCGTCCATGAACAATGGCAGTTTCACAGCCAGTCTAATACACCGTGATTCGCCCATTTCCCCACTTTACAACCCCAAGAACACTTACTTTGATCGCTTACAATCTTCTTTTCATCGTTCCATATCGCGCGCTAATCGTTTTACCCCAAACTCAGTCTCTGCAGCAAAAACCTTAGAATATGATATTATTCCAGGTGGAGGAGAGTACTTTATGAGAATCTCCATTGGAACTCCACCAATAGAAGTTCTTGTGATAGCAGATACAGGCAGTGATTTAATATGGGTACAATGCCAACCTTGTCAAGAATGTTACAAGCAGAAGTCGCCAATCTTTAATCCCAAACAGTCTTCTACTTACAGAAGAGTATTATGCGAGACTAGATATTGCAATGCTTTGAATAGCGACATGCGAGCTTGTTCTGCTCATGGCTTTTTTAAGGCATGTGGTTATAGTTACTCATATGGGGATCATTCTTTTACTATGGGGTATCTTGCCACTGAGAGGTTTATAATTGGTTCTACAAATAATAGTATTCAAGAATTAGCATTTGGGTGTGGTAATAGTAACGGTGGAAATTTTGATGAGGTAGGTTCTGGTATAGTCGGGCTTGGAGGTGGCTCTCTTTCACTAATTTCTCAATTGGGCACTAAAATAGATAATAAATTCTCATATTGTTTAGTACCCATATTAGAAAAATCAAATTTTAGTTTAGGTAAGATTGTTTTTGGTGATAATAGTTTTATTTCAGGTTCTGATACTTATGTTTCTACTCCTTTGGTTTCCAAAGAACCTGAAACGTTCTATTATTTGACGTTAGAAGCTATTAGTGTTGGAAACGAAAGATTAGCCTATGAAAATTCAAGGAATGATGGAAATGTCGAAAAGGGTAATATAATTATTGATTCAGGGACAACACTAACGTTTCTTGATTCCAAGCTTTATAATAAATTGGAATTGGTGTTGGAAAAAGCTGTCGAAGGAGAACGAGTTAGTGACCCAAATGGGATATTTAGTATTTGTTTTAGAGATAAAATTGGTATTGAGCTTCCAATTATCACTGTCCATTTTACTGATGCAGATGTGGAATTGAAGCCTATAAACACATTTGCCAAAGCAGAGGAAGATCTGTTGTGTTTCACTATGATTCCATCTAATGGTATTGCTATTTTTGGAAATTTGGCTCAAATGAACTTTCTGGTAGGTTATGACCTTGACAAGAATTGTGTTTCTTTTATGCCTACGGATTGTTCAGGCCACTCCTAGTGTTTTGTACTTGATGAAACTTATAGAATGAAATAATAACTTTTTATCATCTGAGTTGCAAACTACAAGTCGTTTCCATCATAAGCCATTGCTAAATTATCAGGACTGTTATTACAATTTACTAATACAATAATAATCAACAATTAACTTTAGGAGATGTAGAAGTAAATGTTCCTTTGGCATTAAAGCAATATGATGTGACTTCTTGTTTGCAGCTGAAGAAGTAATATTAATGCCATCCATTACAACATTTGAGCAACCTAAAGTTTGACTACAGGCTACGTTGATTGCAGTTTCTGTAAAGGAAGTTCCATGAAATCCCAGGAATGAAATATCACTGACTGTTACTGCCTTGGTCTTCACAATTTCAACAAAAACAACATAAGATTTATTTATTACTTATACTGTTAAACTAAATAAGAATTTCCAAAAATTTTTGTACCATGTGTTCAGGGCAGTAGAATTGGTCAATGAGGATAGGATTGGAAGTGTTTTGGAGTGTAATATTCTCATAATACACCTTCTTCACAAATCCAGACCCTTCCTGTAAAAAGGAAAAACAACAATCAGTTCTTTTCAATAAATGATTATGAATGCATTCATTTGAGTAAAAAACTGTATGAGCACCGTGTGTAAGTAAATTTTTCCCTTATTATAAAACTTTCATTTACTTTATATAATCATATCGCACACCTTACGTGCAATGTTTTGATACGTGCTCCATTCGACTTGAGCCAAAATGGCATTGTTGCACATATACTTCTTCTACAGTGTCGTAATCTACATTCCTCCCATACTAACAATACTATACAATTACAGGCAAATAAATATTTGGATGACCAATTTCAGAACTTTTCAGAAATATTTTTTGCATGTGAGAATATATATATGATCACAAACCTTATACCATGGCCTTTCCTACAAAACACTCCAGTAATGTTGATATTTTAGGAACCAGAAATAATAGCAATGCAATCATCACCTACAAGAAAATAGACTTTATGGTTCTACTCATTGCTAAATATTACAATTGGATACAAAAAGGTATTTAATTGTAAAAATAATGCAATTAGTAGTTTTATTGCGAGTATTCAAAAGAGAAATGAAGGACAAAAACTAATAAAAACAGAGAGAAGAATTTTTTTTTTTTTTTTAAAAATTTATTGGCGTGACCCCAAGCGCACGTAAATAAGAAATTTTTTTAAGAGACAAGTGAAATTAATTTCTTATTTATTGGTAATTGCATATGAAAATAAAGAGAAGCTTAGGGTTTTTGAAGAACGTAAAACGCAGTTGCCTCCACGTGATTCCAAATGAGGAGGACAAGGCAATTGAAGTCTCCGGCTATAGACCGTTTTAATCATTTAGGAGGGTGGAAAAAAAAATTCAAAGAAATATATTTGGTTAACAAGTTCGATATTGTGTATTTTGTTATATAAAAACCTGTAGAAATGTCACAGTCACTGACACGAACGTGGGTTGAGTGAGAGATATCCATACCATCAGTATTAGTACTATCCTCAGGGTTAGTAATGTTGAGATTTGAGATATCACATTATCACAACCAAACACAGAAAGAAATTTCTTGGAGATGTTTCTTATTTGCAGGCCATTAATTTCAACGTTTTTGCAATCATGAAATTTCCAGCCTAATGGTTTCGAGCATTGACTTGTACACTTCCATCACTCAGACCCTCTCCCATCAATTTCTCCTTTTCCAACCACAGAAATATTATTTACTCCTGCAAACACAATCCAGGTACCCATATAAGGTGTTGGCCATTCTGATATATTTTGCTTGGTGCAACTATATTCCCTTGAACCTGCAATTACAAAAAGGAAAATATTGATGAATTATTTAATTGGTAAATAATCTTCGATCACTGATGGATATATAATTTTTTTAAACAGAAAAATTTGTATAGAGAAAAGAAACTGTGAGGATTTAAATTGACTTTTTGTTTAAGATGATAAGATTATTGTTTGGTGACCCTAATAAAACATAATATAATTTAAGAGAATTTTTAGTGTAAATATTCCAAAACCAAATATTAAGTTTAAGGTGTTAATTTTTACCAAAATGTTAATTTGAGAGGACTTGCAAGGACCAAGAAACTTCACAGGCTTCAGTAAAAATGTCTTTTGAGCTGGCACTGTGAGACTGGCTTCTCCTGTAGCTCCACAAGCTGCTTCCGAAGCCTTCGTAAAAGCCTATATGCATGTCACAACAAATTGAAATTGTTAAATTTTTAATTTCTATTAATTTATTTATGTACATAGTTAATTTTCGAGGTCTAACACTAAATCAACAATATTGTCAGGCCAAATCAAATAAATATACAAAAAATAGGAAAAAAATAGGTAGTGACGCGTATTAATTTAACAAATAATTGAATAATTAACTCTAAGATAAATTATAAATACATACATTAGAGTCATCTGCATTTCCATTTCCAACAGCTCCAAAATTAACTACATTTACAGAACGAAGGGCCTTGCTTGACTGTAATGTGGCCTTGCACATGATCAGTAAGAAAATGGTGTAAAGATCCTGCCAAAAAAAAAACAAAATTCAAAAGGGAAAATCTGAAATTCAGTATTTAAAAAAAAAATCAATATTCCAATTGAATTACAAGGATGGCTCAAGAGAAATTTATCTCACCATTTTAATTAGTAGTATCCAGGAAAGAAAATTATCAATAGAGCTTATACGTTGCTTTTAGCGTTTATATTGCCCTCCATTTATAATAATTTATATTCCTATAAATGGTAATTTTAACGATTTTTGTTCACTTTCCAATGTTCTAATAATTAGGAGAGATTTAACAGATTTTAATTAGGATAAATATAAGAAAATAAAAAAAATTTAAATCTTAAAAATTTAAAATATATATAATATTTGATAGCAAATATTGTTAAAGTTACAGCTACAGCTTCATTGAAGAAATTAATGCAAATGTTGTTGATAGTTTTTGGAGGTATTTTGTTAAAGTCATTTAGATTTCGTTGTACTTTGTTGAAGTCAAAAAGTAGATGAACTACCTTACTTTTAGGTAGATTTGGTAAACAAACTTCCTTGACTCATGGAATGTTGGTAAACAAACTTTAGAATAAGTTTAGTATAAATATTTACATTATGCTGTAATGGAAATAATAAGATGTGAATATTTATTTCTCCACACTTACAAAATCTGCAGATTTTTCCTTCTCCGCAGAATTTTCCTTCTCTTCCTTAATTTTCTGCTCTTCTAAACCAACAAATATTAACTAAGAACAGTTTTTCAGTTACCTTCTTCTTCGTCTAGGATCCCTATTTTACCATATTTATATTTTTTTTATTACATTATATGAAAAGTTTACGGAAATGCGCAAACCACCAAATTAATGATGGGATATTCTTACTAATTTATCCGATAACTATATTTGAATTAATATAAAGGATTAAGATTTGATTCAATTAAGAACCCTAATATTTTAATAAGAAAAATAAATAAATAAAACTTAAACCCACCGGGCTCTTGTTTTTTGAAGGGTAATCTTGATTAACGTTTCGCCAGGATGATGGTTGTGCAAGTTTTGCAACAACAGAAACGAATCAGACCACTTTGTCGTTGACATTTGTGGTTTCCCGTCAGGTATTTAGCCCCCAGGTTTGCAGAATTATTAGGCACGAGGAAAGTGTTTCTTAGTTAAATTTAGAGCAGCTAGGTAATGGTAATGTCCTACTTGAGGTGGATGCTCAGGTAATTATTTCTGTCATTAATACTCAGGCTGTGTATATGTCTCGAAATATGGTGTTCTTGTTGATGATCGCAAGAATCTCCAAGTAGATGCAAATGTTCCTTTTATTGCATGGATTTTTAGATTTTTAGGGAAATGCAAAATCTGATTAAGAGGGCTAAACTGTGAAAATATAGATCTTTATTCATCATATTAGTATGCCACCAACAGTAGAAACTTGTTAGCATGAAACAATAAAGGAAACCCTTTTTAAACAATAAAGGAAACCCTTTTTAAACAATAAAGGAAACCCTTTTTAAACAATAAAGGAAACCCTTTTTTCTCCTTTTTGTCTTTTTAAACTCTGATTTCATAACCTAAGCAATTGTTTTCATGGATCCACAAATTGGTATTTAATTACTTTCCCGCTGGTATCTCAGACAAGACTTGGGCCTCACAACTCCATAGGTTGATCCAAAAGCATTATTGCAGGTAGAAGTGACCTCTCCTGATTCTGCAGGTCCCAATCTAATATTTCCCAAACTGAGATTGGTACAAGGCACATTCTCACTGCAGTTCAGATCGATAGCCACTTTGCTCTTCGATGTCCCAAAGAATCCAAAAAATTGCACATCGCTTATGTGAACTCCTGCTCTCTGTTGAAGAACATGATAATACATATTAATCTTGGATTTTTCAAAGCTAATATAAGAATTCACTAAAACTTAAACATGTCTTACCATTTTTGTTGAATGTGATTTTTTTTCACCATAATGTTGGTCAATAATAATCGGATTTTTCACTTCTGTAACGTTTATATTATAGAAATAAACATCTTGAACTCGACCTCTCCCGGCCTAAAAATAATAATAATAAAAATTGACCTTATTATGAATCATTATTATTCTTTATACTTGAGAAATTTTTAAGGTATCATACCCTACATGTCTTGATCCTTGCACCATTAGTTGTTCCGTAGAAGTTAATATCTCTAATAGTTATGTTCTGAACATCTACAACTTCTCCATTTGCACCTAAGCTTCCAATACTATAACAAAATGCCAAGTGCGTTAGTAATTACATTTAGGAACTCAAGATCGAGATATATATATGTGTGTGTGTGTGTGTGTGTGTTCAGCACCAAAAATCACTTACCTTATACCATGACCAGGTCCACAATCAACATTTGTTATGTTAACATTGTATGTACGATCTACCATGGAAATGCAATCGTCGCCTGTTAAATGATCATGAACATCAATAAGTACAAGAATGGTACAATGGAGAAATTTTAAAGAGAGAAAGCTAAAATTAAAGAAAGAGATGAAGTTAATCGGTTCAAGATAGGAAATTACCAGTGCCAATAGTACATTGGTCAATGTATATAAAACTTGAATGTGAAATATGAATACCATCTGTGTTAGGGCTCGTTGCAGGTGCTTGTATATTCAAGAATGCAAGATCAACATTTTCGCAACCAAAGATGAATATATGACCTCCACCACTTCGTGCAGTGTTAATTCCTCTCATGTGAACATCAGTACAATTCGAAAAACCGAGTATCTGAGATACAAAACAAACAAACTAATTGATTTGTTGATCTTACAAAATTGCAGATTAACAAACTGTTCATATAATTTATACTCACCCAAGGAGCAAGTCTGTTGCAACTCTGATAAGAAATTAAAAAAAGTTAAAAATATTTTAACTCCAAAGAAAAATTTACAGAAGCAAGAAGATGAAATATTTGTAAAATTGCATTTTGCATACTTTTACTCGATGATGTTTGCAAAAATCCCACCATCTCTCTCCACGACCATCTAGCATGCCATCCCCAGTTATATTTAGCCCATGTACATCTCGAAAAGCTAACCATCTTCCAACATTATTTTCCATCCAGGGATTGGAACCATCAGGAGCTATAATTGTTCCTGATAGCTGCAAGAAACAAAAATTTCAGTCTCATCTCTTTTTTTTTTTTTTCAATTTTTTGAAAAATAAAATTACTCAGGCTTTGATCAGTTCGAATCTATAATTTCACAACTTTGAAGACGACTAGAGTATCAATGTTAATTACATACCACAACTTCGATGTTTCCAGACTTGCAAGGGCCTAAAAAGTTGATAGGATTCACCAAAAATGTCTTGTCTTCAGGAACAACCAATCTAGGTGTGTCTTCATCACAATGACAAGCAGCATTCCATGCCTCAACAAATGCCTGGAATTTGAAAATTCAGGGTAACAACATTAATTAATACTATGCAGATATTCACCATTTTTTTTTATTTGGTAAAACCAAGAGGTATAACACCCCTTCGGAGGTGTAGACCAAAAAGGTTTTTGACCTCCCGAATGCATTTTACAGAAATTAAAGTCGCTTACCACTCCAACAATCACCTTATTGGTAGATATTCACCATTTTAACTAAGAATTATAGATAAACCAGCGAAAGTTGCAGACATACTGATATTTTAGTACCTGAGTGTCATCTTCATTTCCATCACCAACTGCTCCGTAACTTAAAACATTATAATGATTGATAGGACTCGAGATAACACTTGACATTATAGAGAGTATGGTCAAGACATAGAGAATGGTAAATAGAACCTGCAAATATTTTAAAATGATGGCAGAATTAGTTTAAAATATTATGAACTAATTTTCACATAGACCCTCCTCCAACCCACGTAAAGCACAGGGTCTCATGCACTAGGACTCCCTTTTTGCATGCTATAAGCTTAAACTATGGTAACTAAAATAAACTCCTTACCATTGCCAAAAGAAATGAAAGAAGAAAAAAGACTTATCCAATTTTTCAATGCAGGTGAGTTCTTTGGTCTACCACACAAGCTATATATAAAGTTTGGAAGGACTTACCTGCATCCAATGCATTGACCCACCTCATACACCAAATCAATCAAAAATATTTATTTAGTCCAAACGAAGGTATTTCAAATCTTCGCTTAAAAAAATAAACAGTAACAATCTTTTAAAATTCCGTTTTTTAATTGGTTTAGTGCATGGGTACCGGCAATTTTATATATAGTGGCTTCTTGAGGAAAAAGGAATCCAAGTGGGCGTCAGTGTGCTCTTTTTCTTGCCCATATGTCGTTTGTAATACAGTTAAGTATTATGACATTGCCAAAGAAAGAAAATGGCATAAGTTGAAGCTGATTTTAATGCTCAATATGCTAGATTACAAATAACTCTACTCGATTTCCATAATCAGATTTTGCTTTTAAGCAATCAAGTTTGTTTATTTCTCACTAAAATTATGCAATACTGAAACCATAAACTTCCGGCTGATTGTTTCACAGGTTCACTTCAGAAAGCGTACTATGGTCGCCAAAGAACCAATCCATTAATTTTTTTTTTCTTTTTACTTCTTTTTATCCTTTCAAGTGTGTCAAAATTAATGCATAATGAGATGAGTGATCGATGTTGCGAGTTTGAATCTAGTCGAAAAACTAAATAAGCAGATATTTCGAAAAATTTAATGTTATAAATAGAGTTTTAATGTTATAAATATTAAATCATTAGTGGTACTCCAAGATCCAAAAATTTAATCCTAGGCAATATGTATAATGCTTTCATGTCAACTAAGATAGACTGAATTAATATAATGCCCAAAATTTGGTAATAGCATCTCCATTGCCTCTTTCTTTCTTTTTGTAATACAAGCAAGAAACAAGAAATACCACCTCAGAAATATACATCACCCTGACAAAATTGACATCCAAAAAAAGGACTAATTGGAATTTAACTTTTCTATGAAAAAAAATTATAGATTACATAATTCTGTCGCAGAAATATAAGCAAAGCTAAAAATAATTCTAAACAGCATTTTAAATTGTGCTTTTCCAAAAAATATAATTAGTTCATTGTAGTTATAATTAATTGAATTAACCTGGGTAGCGTTTACTTCCAAAGTAATTAGTTAATATTCCTTCCTTCCGTTTCATTTTATTTGCTTATTATTCTTTTTTTAAATGTTTCAAAATGTTTCCAAAAGTTCTTAAATTCAGATATATAAACAATTATTTTTTCCATGATAACATTTATGATCGTTCATTAAATGAGAAACTTTTATCAATATCTTCGATGATTTAAGGGTAAAAAAAGACAAAATAGCTTTTGTTCACTAAATTTTTAATATGCATGTTTTGTCAAACCATTCAAACAAAATAAGACAGAGGTAGTAATAAAAAAAACGGAATTGTTATATAACACGTTAATTTTTTTGCACTTTAGTTATTTAATTAAAAGGTATTAAAGGGCCAAAAAGTGCTAACATATATGTATTAAAAGACGAGCATGTTGGAAAAATATTGCATCAAGAAAACGATGCCGTATCATATGGCTTTAAGAAATGAACAGAGGTAAATATCAAGAACGAGAGTTTGTCTTGAGAGCATTTTGAGATCAAAGCAAAGGGCTATTGTCAACTTTGCAATCTTAGCGGACCTTGTGACAGGATCAAGTTTTTTAAAGCAGTATGGATTTTTATTAATTTTTCATCTTAAAACTCGAAAGAACTCGCATCCAGCGATTATTATGAGATTAAACCGAATGATCATCGCAAGCTTTAAATCTATTAAAGTGAAATTTTTGAATTTCCATTAATAAATCAAGGTCATGAAAAGATTACCCGACGCTCTAATCAGTGAACTCTTTAAGGATTTGTTCATCCCCCTTGCTAATACTACCACGTACTTTTGAATTTTCCAATAATAAATCTTAAAAAACCTTACATCAAATGCTCCAATTACTTAGCTCTAACGCTTGCTCCCTTGCTCAACGCCAAGGCAACAGCTCTAAGGATCTGTTCCATCCCGCTTGCTCCAATGCCACAGCAACAAGCACAGGGACAGCAGCAAACATTTACATTGACTATAATCATCCAAATTCAGAACTAAATTGAAAAAAAAAAAAAAAAAAAAAAAAAACGCGTCTGCTCCCTTGGCTCAACGCCAAGGCAGAACGCTCTAAGCCATCTGTTCCATCCCGCTCATGGCTCAATGCCACAGCAACAAGCACAGGGACAGCAGAAACATTTACATTGACTATACATCATCCAAATTCAGAACTAAATTGAAAAAAAAAAAAAAGAAAAAAAAAGCTGAAACTTTACATTGCTTTTAACCTAAAAAAAAAAAAAAAAAAAAAAAAAGCTGAAACTTTACATTGCCTTTTACTTTTAATTCATCAACATTTTTCATCACAGCAGCAAAAATATTATCCATAGTTCCTTGCTAAAAAGACAGCCTAACATATCACTATTCATGAATACCTTAACTCCAATAAATTTTACAAAAGTTTTACCAGCCATAAACAGGCAACTGTTGTACAACTACAGTCGAAAACACCGCGACCTGCTGTCGCTCAATAAACTAAATGGCCCCCATAATTCCAGATTAGAAGCATAAATCAATACCTGTAGACTAGAGGTTCGATTAATGCAATGACCTAGCAAAACTCAGAACATAAAATACAACAGCTCAACAAGATAAACACTAAGGGACTAACAAGATACCCAAAAATGTCCCACAATACTAACTTCAAATTTAAAGTTGTCAAATATCTCAAGTCAACAACTACCTCGAGTCAAAATATACTCCACATATTACAAGATAAAGAAACAATGTCACTTCAACCTTTAGTGTCAACCAAGCTTGCAGTGGCATCAACCACATATTGCAATGTTTTGCATCCATCACGATGGCACTGCACATAAGATCAGAAAAACGCCGTATTCATAACCAGTAAATTGGCAAGACAAAATTTTGGGCACCTTCATATTTATGTTCAATAAGACAGAAATTACTATTCATTGAGATTTTAGCTTCTATCAAGATGGAAGAAACCACTAAGGTAATAGAGGGGCTGGTTAATTGCTTCCCCACATATATATATTTGGCATTAGGTTTAATTCATTGTCACTTCAATATAAGTCAGTCACCTCTAGTTTGGTGCCCTTTTAATTGGAAAAGAAAATGGCAACACAGAATGAAACCCGAACTTATCAATTCAACACCATGAGCTTGTAAAAATAGCATAGTTAGTATAGCTATTCACATGCACAAGGAGTGAAGGCCACTAGATATTCTGGGTCAAACAAAGTTCACAATGTAACAAAAAAACAGCCCGCTAGAGTCCCATATTTTGACCACAGCAAAATATTAAAGCCAAAATAGAAGCTAGATGGCATCTTACTGTATGTAGAAGTATCAATCTGCTCAGGAAGCTCCTTTATATCCACCTCAAACCTTGCTTGAACCTGAAAGAGATGTATTTCATGATCATCATGAGTAAAGAGCAGACACTGAAAAATGATCTTGAAAGCATTGAAAATTTTTAGAGAACTAGTTACCTGATTCAGCACATCAGAGTCAGATGCAGATGAGACAAATGTAATTGCAAGTCCCTTGGTGCCAAACCTACCGGCTCTCCCTACCTATCATTGTCAACAAATTTAAATCATAGTTGTAACACAAGACAGATAAAATTCATTTTACTGTTTACTCAAACCATCTAACAAACGAGTGCAAGAAAGCTCTTGCAACATACCCTATGCAGGTAAGTATCGGCAGAATCTGGCATGTCATAGTTGACAACAATGTTTACACGTTCAATATCAATTCCTCTACCAACCAAATCAGTTGCCACAAGAATTCGCTTATGCCCCTCCTTGAAACCCTTATACCTTGTCAACCTTAAAACACAGTAACCAAAGGAATCAGTCAGACAAACAATGTCATACCTGCAGAGAAAGGTATAAAGTAAAATGCAATTTTCATTTACATTTAACTCAAATATCATGCAAGATATTATTTCGAATTTACAATTAAACATGGATTTTTCATTTTTTTCCCCCTCTTTTAACTATTACTATAGATATTCAATGCTAATGTGATTAGAGAGGCTATCGTAAGCATATCATGTAAATAAAAAGGAACTGGGCATTGACAGTCTGAGTTGAGGAAAAAATTAAATAAATAAATAAACAAGAATAACATGTATGGCCAAAGTTTTTAAAATCAGAAAGTATAGGAACAAAACAACTATGTAAGTAATAGAATTTCATTGAATGAACATTTCTGAATCCTTTCGGAACAGTTATTTTCAGTTACCCTTCACACAACAAAGTCTGATTAGGTGACAACCTGCAGAGCTTCTCATAGAACTAGGGATACAAGGAAACATGCCTTCCAAGCACGCATGCATGCAAGGGGTGGGGCCTAAACTCACTAATAGCAATTCAACCCATCAACCAATAAAAAAAACCAAAAGGAGAAAATACGAGAGTTAAAAATAAATCAAGCTGTCATCCTTGCTTCATACAGTTAAACAAGAACGTTAATACAGAAAAAAAAAAAAAAAAAAAAAAGAGAGCACCCCAGCGTGCACTGGCTGCAAGGGGTGGATGTGCCTCAACACTCACCTCGCCTACTAGCCCCAATAACCCCGACCCGCTCGCCCAACCATTAAAAAAACCAAAACCAGGTAAAGAAACGAAATTATGCCCAGTAGAGCTCTAAAAGAAATTAGATTCACCGCTGATTAAATCCTATGCTTCCCTGACAGAGTTAACAAGAACGATTCAGTACCAGAAAAAAAAAAAAAAGAAACAAAAAGACCGTATCCCCAGGAGAAACACTGCTCATATTTAAACCAGAGCAATCACTAAATCAAATAGATTCAAAAAATTGGTCACTTAGATGTTGCCCTTCAACATCAAGACAACCCCTATTCACCCTAATCAACAATAGTTACATTGAAAACCCAGGTTTTGCACCCCCAACCGGAAAAAAAAAAAAAAAAAAAAAAAAAAAAAGATATCAGAAAACTGCTCATATTAAGACAGAATAATAATCAAATAGATAAAAATGTGCTTAATTTGCCTTCAACATCAAAGACACCCTATTCAACCTAATCAACAATAGGTTGGACATTGAAAACAGGTTTTGCACAGTAAGAAAGCCTAAGACCAACTTGACTACCACAAATGATACAGCAATTAACATATAAAAATAAAACCCACAACGAAAGGCAGATACATAGTTCTAGACATCAATGGAATGTCATGTGGTGCAAGAACAGATACCTTTCTTCCTGAGACATTCCAGAGTGGATGCATATGGAGGGGAAGTTACATTCTACCAATAATTTGTTCAGCTCAGCTGCTCTGTTCACACTTTTCACAAAGATGACTACTTGATTGAAGTCCAAGGCATCAAGCAGATCATTCAACTTGCGATTTTTCTCCATCTCAGTCAATTTGATGTAGTGCTGAAGAGAAAATACAGCATTAAACAAACATAAAACAGTTTTTTAAAAGCAAAGGTTCAATTTTGATGTGGTATGATGTAATAATCCTATAAATACCTGTACAAGACCATGAAGAGTCAACTTGGCCTCATCGTCTACATAAATTTCCATAGGCTGGAAGGACCAAATATCAGCATAAAACGAATCAGCATACCATAATTAAGCTAGCATTACCCAGAAGCCAATGAAATCTAGAAAAACAATCCAAGCAGGCTAGATGCCCACATGAAGAATCATTTAACTAGTCATCTAGAGAACAAATCAGCACAATATTTTGTTGTTTCTCCCTGCCAATAACAATGTGTAATGCACAAATACCAACAAATCTGTGGTGGATCAAGTCAGCAAAGTGCAAAAATCAAATTAAACAAGACATTTGAGGGCTATATTGTTAAGTGTAAATAAATCATTACATCTTGCATGAATTTCTTGCAAACAGGGCGAATTTCCTTGCTAAGTGTCGCCGAAAACATCATAACTTGCTTATCATGAGGAGTCATCTTGAAAATCTCCTGCACATCTCTCCTCATGTCTGGAAAAGATACAAACAAACAGCAAACAACAGGAACAAAAGTATTAAAATAATAACACAAATTAGTTATTTATTATTGTTCCCATGGACGAAACCTAACCAACATACCAAGTGATTCAAGCATCTTGTCACATTCATCTAGGATAAAATGCCTCACATTCTTCAACCCAAGGTCTTTATCTCGTGCAAGAGCCAATATTCTTCCAGGAGTTCCAACAACAATATGAGGGCATTCATTCTTTAGTATATCCTTGTGAACCTTGATATTGACACCACCATAAAAGACGGCAACCTTTATATCAGGCAAATAGGTACTGAATCTCTCAAATTCATGGCATATCTGTAAAACAGAAACCAATAGGATTTCAGAATTGAAAAGATAACAAAACTAATGAATCTTCAGAAAGAAAAATCACATCATAAAACTCCAGAAAAGAAAAATAAACAGTGAACAATCACACTTAAGGACCATAGTACTTCCAAAAGAAATGACAAAACTAGGAGACATACCTGATATGCTAATTCTCTTGTATGGCAAAGAACAAGCGCAGCAACTTGACCCGCAACAGGTTCAATCTGCTGCAGAGTAGATAGAACAAAAACAGCAGTCTTCCCCATCCCAGATTTTGCTTGGCAAATGACATCCATTCCAAGGATAGCTTGAGGGATGCACTCATGTTGCACTGATGCAGGAAACAAAATCGTAGCGGACGAATCCCCAGTGAGTATAAAGACCTTCCAGATCCTTTTAAAGGAAAGGTTTACCAAGACCAATTTTCTTGCTGAAATTATGACTTTCAGCAAGTATAGTTAGTAGAAATTACCTGTAAAATCAAAAACAAAATAAGTCAACAAAAAGAAACATTGGATACACAGCACAAGATAGAAAATTTTTCAGCATCAAGCAAACGGACAAAAAAAATTTCCATTGACACATTTCCTTCCAAATCAAATTGGCACATATCTAGTCTATCACACCCGGCAGTTTGCTCTCCACAAAAGACATGAGCATACAGGAACAGAGAAGCAAGTTCAATAGGGGTAGCAAGTACAAATTGAGTGGACAATAAGAGCAAATGGTGCAAAGCACTGGCAGTGGGCTAATCAAAGGCTGTACCTACTACAAATTTTAGAGTTGTGTGCATTTAAGAGTTGAAATTAGGCTTAAGTGTCAAATTTGGTGCTAAATGAATTAAACTTATTGTTGATAGTCTAATAACTCAAATCCAAATTTTTGCAGCATTCAATCTAAGACAACGATTAAAAAATAAATAGAGGAAACAAAAGAATTCTAAACAATCATATTGTAGGATTTTATGTGTATATTTCAATTTCCCAAGTCATAGACTTCTATCAATTTTCTTTGTTTGCTTCATAAACCCAATTGGATTGACATTACTTAAGATATGGTCTTAAAAATGATGCTTGTAACCTTTAGTCTTCTGGTTATTTTTTATTTTATTTTCCCACTTTTCATACAATTATTTTAAGCTGTTCACCTATGATGATAGTACAGAGAAACACTCGAGTGTGGTCTGGCATACCATAAAATAAAATAAACAAAATTATATTGCATAGCATATGGTTTAGATATTACACACACCATTTTCCCCCAAAGCCTATAAGTAGTGTGTGCCATATGCATTGAAGGAGAAAAATAAAAAATAAAAAAAAAAGTATAGAAGAAACCCTAATAAACAAAAATATCCATTCCGGACCAGATTGGAAGTTCAGAATATTTCTTTCCAAGACAACAACCAAGCAACGATCACAAAATCTACGACATATAGCATCTAACTAATATAATTCATCCGATTTAATAACAAAATAAGTAAATTAGGAAGTCTGGCTTCTCAGTCGCATAGTCAAACCACACAGGCGACAGTGGTCATCCAATGATCTAGCCATCCATCTCAAAGAACTGGAAAATTTGAAAAGCCTTCATTTGCAGATTCATTTCATATCATTGGTGGTTAAAAGAATTTTGCCATATACTTAAGAGAATAATTAAAACAAAAACAGATATTTGACAAAGATAAGTCTAAAGAATTTGCCTTCTGAAGGATGTTCAAATCCAGAATCTACAATGGCTCGCAGAAGCTCTGGCTTCAACAGGAAGTCTCTGAATCCTGAACTGTGAATTCCAACATAGCCCCTGCATTGTATAAAGCAAATCAGCATCAACAAAGAGATAACTTTCATTATATATCAAAAAATAAACACTCATGCAGGCATCCATAAACCCCAGGAAGGCATATATAAATTCAAAGAGGTGAATGAATTATTAGCAGCAAAAAAATCAAAATTAACAGCACAGCATATGACTCAGGAAATGAAAGGCAATAATAGTACAAAGACAACTTCTTTCAACTTTTAAAAAGAACCTAATAAGAATACAAGTTTCTCTATGCAGACAACACCACAAACTCAAGCTTTATTTCCATCCTTTTTTGCACAAAACTCACAAATAAATCCATCAAGAAAATTTCCTAAAAAGTTTTGTAAAATTAAACTAAAACTAAAAGCAATTAACTACATATACAGCAAAAATTGCAAATCCATAAGTAAACAAAAGAGAGAAAAAAGAAAAACAAACTTTTTAGCAGATTCAGCTCCGGCCTTAGCAGAGACGGAGTCAGGGGCCTTTTCGTCTTCTTCCTCATAGTCGAGCAGCTCCTCCTCGTAAGCGTCGTTGTCTTTTACTTCACCCATTTTGCCTGCATGCATAGACATGCACAGTAAACTCAATCAATTTCTATGGTTTTTTAACATTAAAGAGAACTTAAGTTACTTTCAGAGTTCCGTCAGCTTACTTTCCAGAGCTCGAAGAATGCCTTAAAGTTTTGAAAGAATAACCAAAAAAAATGGAAGAGAAAGAAAATTAAACTTAAGATCGTTAAAAATTGATTTTCTGAAGAAAAAAAAAAAACAAAAATTTTATAGATAAAGAGAAGGGAGAGAGTAGAGAGGAGTTCTAGGGTTTTGAGGACAGTGAAGATGAGGAGCGGATGATATACAAATAGGAAGAAAGGATATGGATACAATGACGAAATTAACCTTTGAGGTGATCGTTAATTCGATGTTTTTAGTAAGAAATAAGTCGCCAGGTTTTTTTTTTATTTTTTTCATTCATGTGAGGTCTAACAGACCTATTTTGTGATAACTTTTCCATTTTTATATAGCTATATAAAAATAGCTATTTTTCCATACATTTTAATATAGCTAATTTTCCATTTTAGAGTTTTAGGAATATAGACTTTCTAGCCCATGTAATAGACTTTTAGTCGTATATGACACAGGAATATACACTTTAACCCAAAAAGACATCCATTAATTTCATAATAATTTTTTTTTTTTTTTACAAAAACTAAGTTTGCTATTTCATGCATCCATCTACCAAGATTAAATCTTATTTTGAGCTTAGTCTAAATACATAACATATATTTTTTTTACATATTGGAGGAATAATATAATTCAATGTTGGTCAACAAAGTGATGAACAAACGCCTCCATCAATTAAGCTAAGCCAACTCCTCAGATGTTAATATTTCATTATACTTTTCAATTAATATATTTCATCCATTACCATTCTCTATCAAACTCATTCAGATCCCAAAAAGCTCTCATTTATTACATAGAAGGAGAATGTGAAAATATGACAATGAAATAATACTAACAGAAACCTATCAATTACTGATCAAGTAGAGGCAGAAGCTCTATTACAATAATTAAAACCATACCAAATATCATTAGGAATAAAAATGTTGTAGGTAAATACAGCATTTCTAGTGTTGTGCCCATAGACAGTCACAGTCTTTGGCTTCCACCCATCATAGCCACTCCTATAGAGGTACAAATAGCAAATTTGGTATGTACAAGGTCCTGTTACTTGAAATGTGTCTGTTGAGCAACTCTCAAATGTTCTTGAATATGGATCATCTAGCCTTGGAACATACACCTGCCATCATTCATATACAAAGTAATGCCAGAAATTATAGAAATTGTTTCACATTTTTCATTACATAACATAGTTCCTAAAAGCTAAATGTTACAACGTTAACCTTTTATAAAAAAATACATTAACATCTAAAAACTAGCTCAAATATTGTGTTACCGAATACAAATTGGTAGAGAAAAATGAATCAAAATGAATAAAATTGATAATTTTCATTGTGACTTCAATTCTATCATTTTGAAAAAGAGAAAAAAATCTCATGGAATTTCTTATTCTTAATTCCATTGTTTTTTATTACTAAAGAAATTTAAGTCAGTTAATTTTATTTCAAAAACATCCTTCAAATTTGAGAATTTTATTCTTCAATCAAACAATGTAACAAGTTCCATAAGTTCTGCAAAAATTCATGAATTTTACATTTCAAGATCCAAACCGGTAACAACCTACTATTAGCTTTTAAAATATTAAATAATAAGATAAATATATTCTAATGCTATATCTTAATTGTTCTTAACAATGGAACAACAAAAATATTGAATAAAAGGACCAACATTATATATAAGATCAACGGCCTAATTTGGAGACAGACACTGAGACTCCATGAGCTGCTAAAAACCTAATTTTCCCATAATTCCCATTCATAATTATGTTTATTCTTCTTTCTCTTATCATTCCAAACACAATTATTAGGTCTACAGAGGCTCACCTGATTGCCATAAGCATCACCAAAAGAAAGGCTAATGCGATCTCGCGTATACCGAGTTGAAGAACAGCTTGTGCTTATCTTTACAGTGAAAGGACAGCTATTTGCAGTCTGAAAACGCAGATAATTAACAACAAAAAAAAATGTAGATGAGCAAAATCGAAATTATAAATTAAAACAAACTTCAAATCAAATCCATAAATACCTGGGTAGTGTTGATCTTGAAAGATCGAAGAGGTTGTGGCAGGGAAAGGACTAGCCTAGCTTGTGAAAGATTGAATAAAAAGGCCAAGAAGAGCAAAAACGTCAGTAATTTGCTTTCCATCGCTTCAGAAAGAGAGAAATAGACTCAGCTTGAGATGATCTTTCGGTCGGTTCCGATTTGTTGTATTGCAATTAGCACATACTATATATATATACATATCAAAGAGCTTTCTAGCGTACAAGGGCATATCAGTCTTATAACATTGCCGTTTCTCGGAAGGAATATGTTATTTTTAGAAGGCTGCTTTTGATAATACAACCAAAACCTACGTAATTAAGAAATTTCCTTTTTTTTCTTTTTTCCTTCTAAAAAATTGTCTATTAATTTAATTACCATCAAATTTATTTTTAATTTAGTTATTTAATCATTATACAATTGGCTAACCAATTTATTTCTGTTAATCTAATTGTCTATTAATTTAATTGCCATAAAATTTATTCTTAATTTATTTTTACTGATCCAATCGGTCTACTTTATCTATATCTAATGATACATCTTAGCATTTTCTATCAACGAAATAGATTAGGTCATAGAAAAAAACAAAAAAGGATTAGATCGAGAATCTGAGATTATTAATTTGGAAAACTACAAAACATATAATGCTTATTATTCCATGTCGTTTAGTGGCCACATGAATTTAGGAGACAGTACGACCTTTTCCACTGACAATTGAAATAAATAAATAAATAAATTGTCGTTGGACAAGGACAACTCCGGGCCCAATTTTGAACGGGCTGGTTCCAGTTTGAAAGCGGGCCTGTGGCTAGGCCTAACATAATATTCAGTTCTTCACGAGCCCAAATACATTGGAAGACCGAAAAAATCTCTGCGCAGCTCAAAATGATTTCCCTACTATAAAAGATGAAATCTTAATCAAATGGACGAATTTATGCAGAGTGAAGAATGATAAAGGCAGAATCAAATTACATACCAACACAGGAAGCTAAAAGAGAATACCTTTAAGAGCTATATACGACAGTTTCAATCACTTGAGACATTATTAATGTTGTATAAAGTCAAAACTTATGCCAACAAAAAATTATGCCAAACCATCCTAGAAATTTTTACCTGAAACACGATCAAGTTAAAATTCCAACCACTTGCCGTAATAGACACAAGTCTGTGGAGAAATGATGCCATTAGGTGTACAATGCTTTATCCGCGGACAGACTCCACAGGGAATGGATGCCATTGCGCCGATTTTTGGATCTCCACTGCTTCCCTTACCAATGCTTTTGTAACAAACTTTGCCAACTGGAATTGAAGCAAATTCACCCATTCCATTACTCTTCACTTCCGTGACCTTGTTGTCCAAAACTAATGCCTTCAAAATCTCTTCAATCTGCTGTTTTGTTAAATGCACAGTTGAGACTCCAGTTCTGTTAATGAAGTCCGTAACTGCCTCCACGGTAGCAACTTTCAGCTTTTCTATTTGTTTTTTGCACTGGTCTTTCAGAACCCCTATAAACATTGTATCAAGGTTCCCTTCAACATACCATGTCCCTCCAGTGATTTCTTTTGACGGTTCAAATTCTGTTGCCATGTAATATTTCCTACCCTTGTTTTGTATGTTTACCACCTCTTTTATCAGATTCTTGGCCTGAAGAACCTTTAGAGATTTATTAACCACAGTATCTGGAAGATTGGTTTCTCGTTTCATGTCCCGTGTCCAGATGCCCATATCTTGTTTGCTTCGTATCGCATTATAGAGGGCCTGCTCATGTTCTGTCAAAGATTGAGCTGAAGAATTTGATTCTGGCTGTTTCCGCTTTTGTCCCTGGAATCGACTCATTCCTATTTAAAGGAAAGCAAACCTGAAACTTATTTTGCTTCAATCTCGACTATACAAAACAAAGAAAAAATTGAAGATTTAGTTGCAATTAGAAATACACTTTTCTTGTTAAGCAATTTGAGAAGAGTTCTCCTGCAAGAAACAGTTAAATCAGAAATTCCACCATTTACATAGAAAGTTGTAGAAGACAAGCACATCAGCTACCTTTATAATTTATTATGTTAATATCTTCAACTGGAGAAAAAAAAAAAAAAAAAAAAACACCATTTACATAGAAAGTTGTAGAAGACAAGCAGCATCAGCTACCTTTATAATTTTTTATGTTAATATCTTTTCAAGCTGGAGAAAAAAAAAAAAAAAAAAAAACACACATTCAATGTTGATTAAGTCAACTAAAGGCTCTTGGCTTTGCTCCGAGTGAAATTCAAGTCTGAACGAGGCAAAACAAATTAGAAACATAGAAATCATCATTTTAAAAAAAAAAAAAAAAAAAAAAAACACACATTCATGTTGATTAAGTCAACTAAAGGCTCTTGCTTGCTCGAGCTGAAATTCAAGTCTGAACGAGGCCAAAACAAATGAGACATAGAAATCATCATTTTATATTTCTTTGATTTTCCAGTATTATTGGTATATCATCTTTTAAGGAGATCCTAGATGCAAAGTATGCTATTTATTCATGCTAAAGCTAAACTATCTAAAGACATTTCTAGACAACATCACTCAGAAATTTTGAAGAAACGAATTTTGATGCCTCATTTATTTATCACAGATAAGTTCACTTACAAAAGGATATTTCTTTATTTCTCCTGTATGAATTCCAAAGCTTTAACATTAGCAATTCATTTATCATTTGACACAGTTTCTAAGCAGTAGCAGCCCTATCATCTCCAAAATCACAATCATCAATGATCAACCTAAATTTGCCTATTCTTTTCCCTCCCAAGACTAAAGAAATATAAAGTAACACCACACTGTCACAAATTTCCAATCTCCACATGCATTTTGAGTTTGATGACACCCAAACGAGAAAACAGAAGATATATATATATATATAGGATAAACAAAACCAAAACTCTTCAAAACATTTTAATTCAGAGTTCAAATATATGAAAATATCCAGGTGAACAAATTTACTTGCTGTCAACAAAAAGTAAGGTAAGAATCAATATCCACTTTCCTTTTAGGCAAATAATCAAACAGATCATACGCAAAAAAGAGAGACCCAATTTAGATATGAAATTCGACCCAATTCAATTCTAACACCAGTGCAAATAAACGAAGGGTGAAAAAAAAAAAACAATATCATATCAAAATATTTCAAATAAGCTTACTTGCTATTGAGTTAGATGGAGAGGGCTACACTGAAACCCTAACTCGTTCTTTTTTATTTGAAAGTTAATGACCCACCAAGTTACAAAGCTCGAATTCCATTGAAGGCGAGTTGTCCAGGTGTAGTGAAAAACTCCCCTAGGTGAGGTTAAAATTGTCATTTCCACATTTTGTTTTTTTGTATGACCTTATTTATTTAAGCATAAATACTTTTTTTTTTTTTCTTGTGTGTGAGAAAAGCATAAATACTTAATATGATCCTTCCACTTTAGATCAATTAAGGACATAAATTTTAAGTTTAAGACAAATTTACCCATTTTTGGTAAAAATGTAAAATGTAAAATTCTCTATTTTAAAATCTTTTAAAATAATAAAAGTTTGGAAAATTCAAAATATAAAAACATAAAAAAATTAACTATTATTGTGGAAGATAAAAAAGAAAAACGAGAATTCAATTTAACTTTTTCTTAATTTTAAATATTATAAACTTATAAAACTTAATACTTTGTTATATTTAACATGAAATGTGGCAAGATAATCATATGGTTAAGAGGTTTTTTTTGAAGATCATATAGTTAAGAGGTTATATCTTAAATTAGTTCAAAAATTAATTTTAGACTGCATTGAATATCCAATAAAAATTTAGCATCAAATTGAGTATTTATCTTCCATTTAATCAACATGTTGCTATGAGATATCCCATTATTAAGGAGAAAATCTTAGTCACGATCAATTCATAAATTACGTGATAGATACAATACATATAAGAATTCTTCCACTAATTTACATGAATTGCATTTGAATAATGGGTTAAACTTTTTTTTTTTTTTTTGAAGGAATGAAATTGAAATAAATTATATAATGAGAATTTTTTTTTTCATTTTCTTAAAAAATTATCCATTTACTCAAATTCAAACTGGAAACATTCCCGATAAAAATATCAAATTATTTGAGAAATAGAATTTACTTTTTTAGTTGTTATTACTTAATTCCCATTCAAAGAAAGCAAAAATCTATTCAATTTTAACAGTAAAGTTATAATATTATACTATAGAATCTCTGTAAGTATAAATGTGTAATATAAAAACATGGATTGCAGCCACATTTAATTCAGGTAGTAAAAAGAAAAGTTCATCAACAGGAGATCGAACCCTAAACACATTATTTTATTCTCAGAGATATATATATATTGGTAGCTTGGAGATGGGGTTTTCAAGTGTCATCAGGAAAAAAGAGGCGACGAAGCATTGTTTCACATTCCTTCATAAGCTTGTAAAGCAGATCAGTGGAGAAGAATGGCAATGACGAAAACTGAAAATTTGTGCCTGTCCGCTTGTTGTGCTTCTTCACTATCTTCACCACTCCTGTTTCTTCACAACAATTGTTAGAGCCGTTGCTTGTGCATTAACATTATATTAATTATCATGGCCTATTTTACTCGCAACAAAAACAAATTACCATAATCTTCCATGTAATAATAATTAAACTTTAATCGACAAATTCAAATCTTATATGATAATATTAGAGGCAGACCCTAATCCAATTCTTTAAAAAAAAAAAAAAATGAAGAAGAAGAAGAAAGAAGTACCTGTGAAATTAAGGACACTGTAATTCAGCAACAAAACCATTTCTCCATGAAAATCCAAAATATCCTTCTGAACTTGTAGTTTCTCTTCATCACTCTGCAAATTTGCTGCCCTGATTTGCAGCTCCTGAAGCAACCAAATTATTTATAATAATAAAGTAATTTTAATTAACAAACAAAAAAATGATAAAAAGAAAAAGCAGATAAATACCTTTAATCTAATAATATAATCCTCCTCTTTATCAAAATAAAACCTATTAATCTTATTGAGTTCATTATCTAATAATCTTGTAAAACCAATTCTAATTCCCATATTATTGACTTCCAGAAATCTTCTCGTAGCAAATCTTGGCCATCTGGAAGTAGAACCAAATCTTCCAGATCCAGGAAAAATCAACTTCAATTGCTTCTTCAATTTCTTGTAAGATATGAACTGACCTTTCCATTCTGGAAAAGTTCCTTCTATCTCGTTGCGAAGTCTCTTTCCGTACTTCATTGTTTCTTTCCTTTCTTTGCTTAATTAATGATCTTCTTCGCTGTAAGAGAAGGAAAATGAGATTAACAGATTTCATATATACTAACAAAACCAGCATATTCTCTAGTTCTGCACCAAAATATTCTCTTTAAGTAGCCATCTTTACGCTTTAAACAAGTAAGCATATTTCCTCGAATCAATCGAGAGAAAAAAAAAAAAAAATGACTTGAGATCCCATTTTAATTCAAAAATTATAATTATGCCCAAGTATTTCAAAATAGATTGTTTTGTCCTAATTTCGAAAATGCATTGCAATTATACCCATTTATTCAAATAGCTCAATAGGCTGGAGATACCTGTTTGATTAATATCAAATAGCGCGTCCGACTGAGACGATGAAATGAATTAGTCGGATTTTAAAAATTTTAACATTTTTCATATTTAAGTGTAACCCATAAACAAATCTAATCATACTCATCATTTTTAGTGTTAACCCATCATTTAAACTCAATTCTAGCACAACCCTTATGGTGGGCAAAGTTACAACTAGTCCCTTAAAATTAGGATAAAATTGCTTATTTTTTTGAGTTTTTAAGCACAATTGCAATTGTTGAAAAAGGTTGGGTGTTTCTGGTGATTAAGTCAAAAGGAATTATAAAAACAGTAATTTTTTTTCTTTAAGAACTCATATTTTCAGTTACGCAATTTGCTTGGAAGTCAAACCTGTCCTAAGCCAATAATACTGTGGGGTATTTCCTTAAACCAAACGAAAACGAAAAATGGTTTTGCTATACAGTTATTTGTTGTCTTCTTCTTTCGAGAAGCTAATTGATGTAATTTGTGTAGAGGACGCCTCTTTCTTGCAAGATTATGACGTTGGATTCAAGAATTAATGTGCTCTGCATTTCAAATAATCCAAAAAATCAAACCTTAAGATGGGAATTTAAGAGCTTAATTAATTACATAACCTTAGCCTAGACGGCAAACCGTTCAGGAAGAAAACACTGAGCAATTTACATACAGAATTGGAGATGTGTCTGTTTGCACCATCTATTTCAGACGTAAGATTATTATTATTATTATTATTATTTGGAACTGGAAATCATCCATCAGAGGCCACATAAGGCAAACAAGAAACAAAAGGTCCCATTGAAGGCTGAATCGAGTCATCAGAGAACTTGGGATTCTATACATCCAATCAATCTACAGAAATTTTCAGATGTCACCATACTAGAACAGTAAAGTCTAATTTCAATATTTCTTAACAGTTTCATAGCATTCCATCAATGTAAATATATTGATATTCAAACTTGTCATCAGCAAGGATATAAAAGCAGGATGCAACAGCTTCTGCCCGAGTGCAAAAGAAAATACAAAAGGTGATTATTTGGAGGCAATAAAAATCCAGAGTCATCCATGTGATGCAAAAAAACTATCCCATCTTCTCCATTTGGCTGGTTACCGCAAACAGTCTTTGGACTCAGAACTCTGTTGGAGGTTTTAGCCTCATCAGTCTTCTAATCCTATCTTTATCCGTATTCTCCAGCAATCCCTTGAAGAATGGGGAAAAAGTTTTTATGTTTGATATAGAAGAAATAACAGGCAGCAAAATTGTTTTACTTTCCATCAATTATATATATTGCATTAAAAATAAATCACCCAAAAATATCTCAGAAACGTTATGAATATGATCTCCAATTTGTTCAATAAGTATATTTCATATAGCCTACTCCAATTAGTTTGGGAGTAAGACTTAGTTGTTGTCGTTATTGTTATAAGTATATTTCAGATTGCAGCTGTGACTTTATCACGCAAACTACCACGTTGAATTTGTTAACGAAAAGCAATAGGAATTTGGTCATAAAAATTATGAAACAGCAAAAATGCAATTTCATACTCAATGCTAAACAGATATGAAGAATTTTAAATTAGCATCTTTACCTTCCAAACAATTTCATCGAGGCATAGACATATCTTTCCATACTTGTCAAGGAAAAGACGCTCAGTTGGAGGCTTCCCACATACATCCTTCACTGCTGAAGTGATAGCAAAGATGACTTCTGCCACTACAGAAAGAGCAGACAGGGAAAAGAAAAAGGAAAACGAAGGTGATCATCAGTAATACAATAAACTGCTGTCAGAATCTTCCCGTTTTTTGCCATTTTCTAATCTTCATTTTTTTTGACTGTAATTTTTGTTATTACAGTCAAATAGTTGCATCATAAAAAGGGGTAACGTTCCTTTATTTCACAGTGAAATGCTAATTTCCCCTCTTAGTAGACTGTGATAATAGGTGGTGGACTAGAGAGGAAGAAATTAAAGCTGAAATTGTCAGTCATTTAAGCTAGATGATAAACTAAATTAAAGGGATTTTTAATCTGGAGGGACTTGAACCTCAGAATAATTTTAAACCTATAAGCTTAATTAGCTTCCATCTTTGCATAAGAAATTAGGTGATTCTTAAAAGTAGAGAACACTCACAGGCAAGTTCATCATACTCATCCTTGCCTACAACAAAAATGCTGACATCCCCAAGCACTGTGTACACAATATAAACTGACCTGTTGAAGGGGAAAAAAAAAAAACAATGATACAACCATAAGTCAAGAGGAATAAAATAGAATAATGAAGAATTATTTGGGTGAAAAAAGAAAGAGACATACAAATATAGAATCAAATATCCAGTCAAAAATGAGATCAATGAGCATGGTTTAAGTTTCTATGCCTACAAGGACGTCCAAAAGTTTTCTGTCCCCACCAATTCTGTGTTTTACAATAATAAAATTGGCAATTCAACTTGTTCAGCTTTTTAGAGAAAAATAATAAAAAAAAAGTACCTCTTCATGGTTCAACTGTAGAAAAATCAATTGCAAATACTGCTCTATGCATTCATGAATTGAAAATTAAGACAAACGTTTATGGGAAAGCTAATTCAATAACTTTAACATACATCAAGAATTCAATAAGAGCTAACAGTAGATTGTTTAAGATTTAACAAATCTATTAACCTCAGTTTGAAATAGCTAAAGTTTCATACATCACTCATTGTACTATTCCATGACATGCAACAGCATGTAGACAGTGCACTGTCATTTCTGAATTATTGACATCTATTATGCATTTAAATCAAAGTGAAATTCACAATGGCTAAACAAGAAAGTGGTAATGACACCATGAAAACACTTCACTAACTCCTATATATATAGAAGATAACTATTTTTCTTTGCTTTCAGATGTCTCTGGGATCCAATCGTTTTAAATGCAATTAAGTGCTAAACTGTCAAACATGTATATTAATAACAAAAAAATGCAGAAATAGGCAGCAGAAAGCTCAAATCTAGTACATAGAACAACCATCAAAATTTCAGGAAGTATAATTTTCTCCAATAAGACACTTCATTAACTCATCAAGTTTAGAACTCCAGCTTTATGTTGCAATTGGCGTCGACTCATATGAAAAATTATGCCCACAACCCAGGTCAGTATCTTTCCCAGGCAGTTTCCAGGTCATCAACAAGTTATTGAAAGGATTAAACATCAATAGTTCTGGGGAAAAGGACACCAGGACTCTAGTAACTATAAATCAGATGAACAAAAATGACAAATGCATAGTAGATAAAATTTTATATTGGATGTAAATAAGACATAATTTGTACATTAAAATCACATTTTAAACCCAAACAGTTTCAACGAGGTTATCTATTCCAATAATAGATGTTACACCTAAATATAAACTCCTAAAAGAACAGAAGCATACATACTTGTGGGAAGCAACGAGAAGCTCTTCATTTTTTACACCTTTAAGATTATCAGCACCCAGCTTAACTAAGAAAGATCTCCAGTGCAGCCGTTCCTCAGCTGGCACTCCACTAAACCTGCAACAGTTGGAAAGATTGTTGGATTATAAACAGCAGCAATCATTCTTTTCATGAATCTCTCTTTATCCTAACGCTATTCACCTCCGAGGCAAAGCGGAGATCTTGCTCCCCACAGGATATATTGCCCCAGTCAAAAAAAAAATTCAAAACTGCAGTCTTTTGTATCTTAATTATAGAAATATTGCGAAATAGGTCACAATTTGTTTATAATTCTCAATCAAAAGCTATCCTCTTTAATTTTGCTTCCGTCCTAATGAACTCCTATTCAGATAAACATGATTCTAACTCTTAGCATTTTCAAATGAGGTCGCTTCTTTCAAGACCCAAATCACTATAGATGTTAACCAAAGTACGATAGGAACAGCACCATTTACAGAAAATTGATTCAACAAAACCCGGAACTCAGTAAGATTCAACACAAAAGGGCATTCAAAACAAAGAAAAACCTACCAAAAATCGAAAAAATTAAACAAAAAACAAGGACACAGCAGCTCAACAGTAAGGTTATATTGATCTAATAACAGCGAGACGCATCGTGAAAGAAGTTATGATTATGAGCCATGAAGGAGGAGATTGATGCGTACCGTTCAATTAGGATGTTGCCTTCAACATTAGCAAACAATACAGCAAGTATCATGTTTCTGGATTTCTTCTCTTCCTTTAAATTTTCCTGTCTTTTCCTTTCCTTTCCGTTCTGTTATATTTTCTGGCACCAAGTGAAACCGGAATAACTCGACCAAGCTACGAAATTATTTATTTATTGGACCCTCATGTATCAAAAATTTACATAATCATATTAATCTTGTGCAATTTTGTACATTAACCTCCAATTTTTTTTAACATAAACTATGTAAGGTTTAACCTAAGATGCTAGTTTTTTTTTTCTTAACAATAAAAATATATTATGGTTCCTTAATTTTCATTCTATTAACTATTTAATCACTTAAGAAAATATTAATTTTTCATTAAAATTAAATGAAATATAATGAATTCAATCTCATTTTACCCTTTTAATCGGATCTCTCTCGAAAAATGTAAATTCTTCTTTTTATTTAATTTTAATGTTAAGGAATTGGATGAACTAAATAATTAAAACCTCATTATTTGACATAGCTAGTCAACCTAAACTCATATCATAAATTTCCCAAAATGTGAAATTTATGTAGTTATTAAACTAGCCCTCCAAAATTTCTTAGACTTGATTCATAATTGATGAATTATATGGGATAGTAATGAATTTTAAAAGATATTTGTATAATATTCAACCTTTCATTTGATGGTTATTGATTAATTATTGTACAATGAAATTTAAGTATACATCTTAGGCATAAGCAGAGCCCAAACCCAAAGATCCATTAACCTTTAGTTGTAGTTTAGAACTAAACTCTAGAGTCTAGAGTAATTATGAGCTTCAAAAAATTTGAAGGGCCTTCTTTTTTTTTTTTTTTAATTGTACTATAAATATCTTTATTTTTTTTATGATGAAATTATTATCGATGTTAGATTTGTGATTAACGCTTACTACAAATTCTTTTTCTACAAATTGAACCAATGATCTTACAGAAATCGTCCACTGAACTTAAATGTATCTTACTACTTGAGTCACTCCTTGTGGATAATAAAAAGTACCTTTCAACGAGTGGTGTAAATTTTGTATAATATAATCATTGATTCAATTACTATATGGTGGTCCAATTATTATGAATATGCTAAATTAGACTCCAATGAAAAAAGAAATATGAAAGGTAAAGCTACCTATCCCTTAGTAGCCAATCAATGAATTAATTAAAATCTCCATAAATGCCACCATTATTATTCTTTTTACAATTTCGACACTAAAACTATCCTAGTAGTTAGCTTAATTATCTTTGAATTGGCAATGAAGAGAATTGATGATGAGCCACCAACTAGGATATGCTTCCACTTTAAGTCAATATAGCTCTTATTGTCTTTTCCTTTACAAGAACATTAAATCATATTTGATGCATGCCATTTTCTTGTTCCTTCCATCACATGGGTTTCAAAAGCTTCAGAAGTATGGACAACTTTTATTAATGTTGGCTTGCTATTGATATTGCAAATTGCAAGTGTTGGACCAAAATGATGAGTAGGGTCTAAAACTGTTTTGGTCCAAAACTGATTTTAAATATACTCACGTTTGAAAGGCATTTAAGTGTTAAGAATGTCAAATGATCAGAAATAATAATATGGGCTACACAATAAGAGTCATCCTTTCATTAACTCATAAATTGGCAAAAACTCTTGTAATACGGTGGACTTGAAATCCGAGACTTCTCATTTTATTCGAAAGTATAAAAATCAAGCAAACAACACTTGATTGATTAGGTAGTACATATTTTTTTTTTTTAGTAAAAGGTATCAATAAGTTTTTAATTGGAAAATTTTCTACTTTTTCTCATTTCATGATTTGTTTTTGAAATTAGAAGGACATAAGTCACAAACAAGAGAATGACAAAGGAGAATAAAATGTCCCCACTCCATTTATTTTCTTCAATAAACCAATATATATATCAACCAAAATATCTTACACAAAGGAATAACAATGGAGGGTCTTAATCATACACATAAATTGGTAAAATATATGTATATAGAAAATATTAATATCCCCTCCTTATGAACTTAAATCAACATACTCCAACTTTGGAAAAACAAGCAGAAAAATATGCAGAAAAATATGCAACGGAAAGGAACTTCACATGGAACTAATAATATTGACTAGTCCAGCATAATGTCCTTGCTATCAACCCACTTTAGCTCCCTCAGTTCCTATTGAGTAGTTCCTCTATCATTTGCAATGCTACCCTCTGCTCCTCATCTAAACTATCACGGCCGCCGCTGCCGCCACGACCATCGTTACCACCACCAACATGGCCAACTTCTTGCCCTATTAATATTTCTGTTGTTTCTGACGAAGACAGTTTAGGCTTGGCTTCTTCTTCATCCTTTTTTCCAAGCTGATCAACAATCATAACCCAATTTGAATCAGAGCGCGGTCCAGCTCGCTTTTGCCATACCCCAATATGAGAATTCTCAGTGTCAAGCCTTAGGCAAGTGAGAGAAGGAGGAGACTTGCAACATTTGCGAAGCTTTGCTTTAAGAAAGGAAGATAGTGCACTAGTACTCAAAGGAGAGGATAATGAAGACTTGTCATTACTAATGCCTTCTTGATTACTCGTAACCACAGGGAAGTTGGTTTTGGCATTACGGCCACTCATTAAAATTGCTGCCTCATCATAGGCTCTTGCTGCCTCTTCAGCTGTCTCAAATGTACCAAGCCACACCCTTCTTTTCCTATATCACAAAAACACACAAACAACAACAACAAGACTGTTAATACTTAATATGTTATATATAAGTTTCCATTGAAAGAAAAGAAGGAGAAGAAGAGAGAAAAAAACCAAATTAAGCTGCGTTTATGAGAAGATGGGTAGATGAGTAGATATATATATAGATAGATAGATAGACATTGGAAAATGAAAAGTACAGTAATGGATGACGAATCTCAGAAACCCACGAGCCCCAGTGGCGTTGCCTGACACCTCTGAACTTCTTTGATTGTACCATATTACTGTCACTAAGTACTCTGTCTGTCTTTCTCAAAGAAAGAGAGAGATTATTGAGTAAGAATAGAATTAGTTGGGAATGGCGATGAAGATATATATACAAAAATTTTATCATCACGAACTAAGGGTAGATGTATTTATTTATTTACTAAGTAATAAGTTATACAAAGCTAATTGCCCTAACTTTGTGGTCCTTTGGATGGTATCTACCCTACAATAGGTTCCAATGAGATCAGAATTTTTTCCATTGCCAGCCATTATTGAGTAAATAATTATTAGGGCACCATTTGTACCATGACCTTCTCTAAATGCCTCTATCTAGCTTCATTTTCTTTCTATAATGGAAATTGTTGAAATTAGGGTAATTAAATTTCATGTAAAGATAGCAAAGCCTAAACTAAATTTGTTGGTGGATGTGGATTTTTGTAAGTTATAGTTAAGATTTCATATAGCCAAACATGGTAAAACCCGAACTAGATTTCTTTCTGTTCTAAGTTTTTTTTTTTTTTTGGGAAAATAGAGTTCCAATTAATTATATAAGTTTTTTTTTTTATTCGTTGGTAGACTCAATAGACCGAAATAACACACGTACTCCGACTACATAACAGTTTGTCTTCTCCTAAACTCAACAAATTGGTAAAAACACCGTGGTTAAAAAGACTCGAATTTGAAACCTTCCACTCCTCACATGTAATTTTTTTTAGTATGTGTTTTGCACTTGTATATATTTCCATATTATTAATATGTTTTAACAAATTTAAATTACATTAATATTTTTTTTAATCGGTGCATACCATATATAAAAATTAAATAGGAATTAAATGAAATTAATAAGAAGAATTAAAAATAAAAATTAGATTTACTCTAGTTAATTTTCTCGCTCAAGAAGTGAGAAATTTCGAGTTTTGGACCATGAGAATGAAAAAACTATCCTTGTCGTATGCATACACCAAATTATATATGTACATACCGCTTTAATTGCTGACTGAATTTGCAAATTACGTGTAGGAAATTGCAGTTGCAAATACAATTATCAATTGCCATAGATGTCTCTCGTATACATATATGAAATAGACATGACTATAAAAATAAATAAATAAATAAATAGATTTCCGATGAATTTTATTATTTCATTTCATGAAAGGGGCAGCTTCAATTTCTTTCCATGAAAGACTCCCTTGGCATGTACCCAATATAGGAGGTATCACCTATCAAAGAGCAAATTCTTAAACATATTCATGATTGAAGGTCAATCCATTATCCATATATATACAATGGATTATGCAATTTTTTTTATATATAATTGAACTGGAATATATATATATATGACATAAAATGTATGTGCGAAAACAAAAATATATTGTGAATTAAATATAATGCATGAGCTATGTGAGAAAAAAAAATAACACGTTTACTTACCACATAAGTTATGATATATAGTCTCCTCTTATGGATTAATATCACCAATTTAAATTTTTGAAAGGGAAATTTTAAATTTAAAAAATATAATTTAAAAGTGCCAAATTTAACAAAATAGGGAGAATATAACAATTCATTCCAAAAAAAGTTCATCTACTATAAAATGTTATCGTATAAAGAATGATCTTCTAAATAATTATAAGCTTCAAGTATAATACTTCTGTTAAAATCAAATTTAATTACATTATATTATATTGTATTTTATTCCATTCCACTAACAAAGTGTAAATATTAAAATGCATTATGTTGTTCTTGAAGAAGAAAAAGACTTATGGCAGCTTCCAGTAAATGTAAAGAAGAAAGAAGCAAAGCATAAAATTGAGGAGTCTGAGGATATGAAAATGGACACACGTTGAAGTACTAGATACAGAAGTTGGCAAAGATATATATATAAAGCCAATCATTAATATACACACTACTTGGGTTCACAATACATAAACCTTTGCTTCTTCATCTTTTTCACTGTTTAAAGAAACTTCTAGTTTCACTTTCATTGCCATTTGCCGATATTTTTTTTCTTGCCACAACCAAATGTTATTTTCTCGTTAGTTTAACAGTTTGATGAAAGATTAATCCTTTTTAAAAAGAATTACTCCACAACTTTATCTTAAAATAACTACAGAAGGGTTTAGTGCGCTTCTGAATCAAACTATCATGATAATATGTTTATTGATAGCGAATAACTTTCTACCTTTTAATGTAAAATAGTTTGCAAGTTAATAGTAATTGTTGTTTTTTTTTTTCCTTGGTTATGAAAAATAAAATTAGAATAAAATAATTATTTTGTATGAAATCATTTAAGGGTTAAATTTGTTAATGATCATGATTAATACATATATATATATATAAAACAATTTAAAGGTTAAATTTAGCCACCCAACCCATTAATCACGGTCCATTATAGAAGTTAATGCCTACGAGCACTTCAAATTATAAAATAATGCCAATAGCTACTCTTGATATAGGTCATCAAAAATTCTTGAAACCTTTTTCAAAGAAAACTCTCAAACTTTTATGGTTGGATAAGTGTCAATAAATCTTAGGATCTAAAAGTGGATGATTTCTTGTACTTAGATCTAGCTGATTATTAGAAGATCAATATAAATTATATATGCTATCTCCACCGTAATTTTTATCTCGGTTTGACTTGCATACAGATTAAAAAATTATAATTTTTTTTAATATACCCGATTATTAATCTCCATTAAAATTAAACGATCCATATTGAATTAATCAAACTATAATATAATATTAAAAGATTAAAGATTGATATTTTGATTTTGTTTATAATGAGGTTTAATTAATGATAATATAGTAATTTGATTATTATATTTATTGACAAAGAAGCATATTAAATAAGAGTAAAATAATAAAACTGAAATATTATTCACTCCTACAAAAAGAAACATCGAGACGGATGAAAATAAAATAGGACAAAAATTATAGGACAGGGAGAGTAGTTGATTTAGTTGTTAGTAGTTCTAGATTAGTTGTTGATAGATTAAATATCACTTAGTCAAAAATATGAAAATAGATACGAGTTTATTTTTATGAGACGAATTATAATTTTAAAAATTTAAACACAAAAGTATAGAGTATTTAAAAGTGTATTTATTAAAATAATTCATTTATTTATTTTATTTTCTCATTGAAACCCCACCATAATCATTTAGCATAATAATAATATAAATAGGACCACTTCATCAATACACTATACATTATAGCTTGAGATGCCATTTAAAGAAATTTTTGCTTATATACCGTTTTTTAAATTAATTTTTATACAATAATCGAATAATAACACTTTTGCATTTACAAAGCTATATATGTCTAGTTGAAGCTGGATATATAGTCCCTTTTATGCTAATTAAAATTTATTTTTTATTTTTTTATCTTTTATTTCGATATTTATATAGTTGGTTGGTATAAATTATACAACAAATTTATCATTTTTTAATAATAAGTCTTTAAAATACAAAGTTTTATAATTAAAAATATATTTGTAATCTTATAAATTTCAATTTTAAAATTTTTAGTTCATTTTCAATAATATAAACCAAAAAATAAAAATATATTTATTTTATTTTTTCAATAATTTTTATTTCTAAAAAAATTATTTTTTCAAAAACAAACGAGAGCCTTATTTTACATTTAAGATGCAGTGATCCTCCTGATTCCTAAGGGTTAATGCCATCCCCTTTTCTAACATGGGCTGAGAAGGCCATTTTCTGTATAAAATGGGTGGATACTAAGAATACTCATGGGCTTATACAGCCCATTTTGATAGTCACTATATTGACTATCAAACCTACAAATATTTTGAAAAGAAAAAAAAAATTAATAATCTAATTTTTGGAAGTTTTTCCCATAAGCGTGGGCTACACAAACTTACTAAATCGATAGAAACTCTTATATCGAGATGACTCAAACTTAAGACATTTCATTCTTCATATAAATAAAAATATCAATCAAACCACATATAATTATATATTTACTTTATTACTAACAAATGTTATTTCAAGTTCACTGAAATTTTTTGAATGTGCAAGTTTCTACCAACGTTATGAAATTTTATTGACTTGTTATAAGGACAAAATTTTAAAAATAATAAAGTTCAAATAACATGTAATATATATTATAATAAATCTGCTACTTTTTTCATTTAAGAAAAAGAAAAAAAAAAAGATTTTTTTGGTAAGGTTTGACCGTTGGTTGTTACTTGAATCATTTGTGGATTAGAACTTGAACTCTAGAATTTAATAATTTAAGATACCTTTCCTACGCTAGTTGTACATTTATGGCATAATGGCATTTCGTTACTGGTTACACGTGGATATGATTTATGAGGAAGGCCCCATTTTATCTTCTCCTTAAATCACATAAACGGTCCTGATGGGACTTCTCCTTTCATCTAGACTGTTGGATTAGAGCCATTGACTATTACTCCCTGTCGGCAACCTTTTGTTGGGTCTCAGCCTCGTGAAATATCTCACATGTGGACGTGGCTGCTTTACAATGCGGTCAGGGATAACTTTTTCATCGGTGAACCGGTTTGATCGTAAACTTTGCTCTATACCCATATTTTATTTACATAATTTGATAAAATACACGTATTAAAAATTTAATAAATAAAAATTTTTTTGCTATGTTATATTTTTAACTCATTGAAGATGTTAATAATAGTCTCTCATTTGATGAAAGATCATAAAAGTTATAATTATTTTTATGACTAAATTTAGAAATATTGTAAATATTTTAAGAAATAAAAAAAGAAATAATAAGTAAACAAAATGATACGAAAAAAGTATTTTTATTAACAACTTCATCCATTTATTTATTTACTAGAAATAACTATAATATTTTTAATTTTTACTTCCATCTCATAATCATATTCTTTTTATAAAAAATAGCTCTTTTTTATAAATCGCCGGTATCCAAATTTCAATATCAAAGACTACTTAATTGAGTTCAAAACTTAGTCATAATTAAGCCTTTTCATCCCTATTTACTAAAAAAATACCTTTTTATCGACATTTAAAAAAAAGATTTGTTTTACTAAAAAAAGTTACAACAATCTCTTTAAATGTAACACACGTGGATAGCTTACATTAACGTAATTAACACTTAGTCAAAAATAAGTATAAAATTTTCTAATTAAAATAAAATTTGTTAAATCATCAGTATGCGAACCTTAGGGACCGCCTTATCTAATTCAGGACTTAATCATAGTTAAAACTCTTTTTACATATCCAACTTATGTTGTCAACTAAATCACGATCTATAATTAAAAAGATTTTTTCTTACTGTTAGAATAACATATGAGTATATGAGAAATCATGTTCCCCTGATTTAAGGAATTACCTTTCCTTAATTTATGGGATTGTTGACCCTAAAATTATGGTTATTTACCTTCCTTAGCTACACTCCTCATGTATATAAATACTTGCTATAAAATGTACTTGGATATACATCTTTATCAATTCTCCTATCTTATCTTAATTCTCTTCTCTTCTTTCATAGTTTTCCAAAAAAAAAAAAAAAATTCTCTCCTCTTCTTTCATATTATTCTAAATTTATAACAGGAAAAAAAACCAAAAAAATAATAGCTCAAGTAAGAATTGTGGATGTCATAATTATTTTTTAAAAATAGGGGAATGAATTTTTTTTTTTTTAAAAAGATAATATAAAGGTACAATCATAGATAAGAATATAATTCTTTTTTTATTTTTTCAGATTACTTCAAAATGACAATATGCTTATTCTTTTTATTTTTCACTTGATCAGATCATTATTTGAACAAATAAAAGTTGTCATCAAAAGATGATTTCAGAATCCATGATTACTTCTTGGATCTTTTGTCAGCTTAAAGATCACACTTCCATCGTGCTGAACGAAAAAAGAATTTCTTTTTTTTTTTTTTTTTTTCCCATACATTCAGCAACACTGATACTTCTATGAGATCTATTGCTACAGCTTAATTAAAACGTCCATCCACACTATCACCATACAATGCTAGATCTCAATGAACTTTTCTTTTTTTTTTTCATTTTTTTGATATGATATAGCAAGTTGAACATTACATAGTATATTTATAAGTGCGCTAACCGATGCTCTTCTATTCTACCTGTATTTAATAATTCCTTTTTCTACATTATACATTTTCTCTTCTCTCCAATGAGCGCTCATGTCCATATTAGTCATAATAATGTATTTGAACATACAACATTTTGACGCAAGCAGAGAAATATAAATTCATAGATATGACACCAACTACCTTTAAAAAGCAATTACTTATCCATCCGATACAATGCACTTAAAACATTACTTTACCAGTTTTCACGCCTCAGTTACATACTAATACTCAACCTGTCTAAACCAGCTAGTATCGTCTAAATAACGTAGTGACACTATTGAGCACGTCCATCCATTTATTAGCATACGATCGCATACCGATATCGTTCAAATAATATACAATCTATATACAACACCGATGACATACCCACTATTACCATTCAATTGTGAAGATAAATTAGTACAAGGATCACATGTGTCAACTATCATGTACGCACTGCACTCACGAGCTATCTAGCATTATCCTAAATTGCCAAATAGAAGTCACGCCATTGCGCTCAGAATTTATACAATCAGTGAAATCTAGCAAACCTAAACCTAAAAAACAAAAAATATTGAAGACTATCTTAAATAAAAATTTCAACAAAAAACGCTATCTTATAAATTCGTTCCATTATTTGACGAGAGACTGGTGACGCAACTTTTATCGAGGTCTTCTCTATATACTTTTTCTAAAAAAAAAAAAAAAAAAAAAAAAATTGAGACTTTACATTAAAAAAATAAAAAGTTATAATCGTCATTTTTGACGGGTGACGCTTTTCGACTATTCAAATTTTCTTTTCATCTCTTTTTATCAGACTTATAAAGTCAATTGACACTTAGCAAACATAAAACATAATATGGTATTACTTTAGAATTCCCTTCCCCAGTACTAAAAAGAAAAAATCCTTAAGCTGAATAAAAAACTTAAGCATAATCTTTAATAAAAAATATATATCTAATATTAATTTTTAATATGCATATAGTTTTAATAGCGAGTGCTTAAAATCATTAATTTTTAACATTTTGTAGTATAATAAAATTGATTAAGAATATAAATATTATAATTTGCTTTAAAAAATTGGATGCAACTTAACAAATTATCTCAATGCGAAGCATCCACAATAAAAAGGCCAATTGGGATCTACAATACTTGCTTGCCATGTGAAACTTACTTTTTTTTACACGTACTACCTTTTCTAGTCATGTGAAACAATATATAATCTGTGAAATGTATAATTTTTTTTTTATGTTTTATTGAATTTTTTTTAAACCTTAAATTTCATGGTGAATTATTATATTTCTAAAAAATTATCAAATTGGTAGTATTGTAAACCTTTTCAAACTACTAAAAATAGTTTTTTTTTATATTCTTTTTAGCTTTTATATATAAAGTATTAATTTGATTTACTATTAGTATAATTTTGGAATAATAATTTTTATATTTTTTTAATTATTGAAAAAGTGTTTAATTTTTCCAATCTTGTAAGTTGAAATGTTAAATAGAAAAATTTACGAATTTAAATATTTAACATGTATATTTTTATAAATTAAAATATTTAATAAGTTAAAATAAATATTGAAAACACCATGAAATTTTTTTAAATAAAATCCACGAATAAATCGATGATTTAACCATATATAATTAAACACACAAGCATATGATGTTCTTAAGCTACCACCAAGTTAATAATTTAATGATAAAGTACATAAACTTATTTAATGATTAGAATAACAATGGCCATGATTGTGAAATCAAGAAATTAGAATGTAAAATGAGCTATAAAATAAGATTAACTCAAATAAAGAACCAATTGAATAATTTAAAAAACAAAAACAGACTAATTAAAAAATAATAATGATAAGTGAAATTATCTTAAAATAAATAACTAATTAAATAATTAAAAGAAAAAAACTCTTCCCAATTGTCGCATCGATACAGCTCTGCTCCCAGCGTATCAACCGAGTCCATAAGCCTTTTTTTAAGAGCTAATCTCGCGACTCACACACTCTCTCTCTCTCTCTCTCTCTCTCCATTTGTCCTCCTTTTCACATTCCCTGCTTTACTTCAATCATTGTACGTATAAATAAATATACACATCTAAGCACAAAGCGGAGCTAAGATCGGATCAGATCATTAGAGTCTCTCTCATTCTCAGATCTCTCTGTTTCTGTTTGATCTAATCCAGGTGAGTAATTTCAATTCTTCTTTCTTCTTTTTCACTGATTTCTTTTCTTATTTTCACTTCTTTTCGTTATTAGATTGCTATGATATGATTACAGTTTCTTAATTGTCACGACCATCTCCTTTTGAAATTTGTTCAGAGTTCAGACTTTCTGCTTCTATTACAGTATTTTTCTCTTTATCTTTCCTTTTAATTATCCTTTTTTAAGTTCATTTGATTTCGTTTCTAAAGTTTTTCGCCTGCCTTAAACAAGGAAAAGACAAAACAGGTTGATTGATCATTTCGTTGATAATTCCTTTTGAGTCTGTTGACCTTTTTTTATAACTTAAATATGTATAAATAATAGGCTAATTGATTCATTTAATTTGCATTTTCGGACAGGTGAAGAATGGCGCAGATATTGCTGCACGGAACTTTACACGCAACGATCTATGAGGTGGATAAGCTTCATAGTGGGGGTGGACCCCACTTTTTTCGCAAGGTATATAGTTGTATATTCTCGATTTTTTTGTCCCTCTCGGTGGATCTTGAACTGTATTAACTTAATTTGTTTTGGTAATGGTGCTATTTTTTTTTTTTTTTTTTAATTCAGTTATTATGGAGTTTTTCATTTTTCTTTTTGGGAAAGAGAGCTTACCTAAATTTTGGTTGTTGGAGTAGCTTAGTCATTTGCACTGCAGTTATCTTAATTAGCATACTTCAGGCAAAGATCTTTTCTCTGTAATGCTTTTCCATGTATCGTGTTGGTGTTGATTTGGAATCAACCTAAGAAATTCACCAGTGGGAAGTGGTGAACTGACTTTTATTAAAGGTCCTTGTTTGTCTACTGGCAGATTAACCTGGTGGACATTTATCTATTTGGGTAAATGATGTCTAGTATTGACTGATTGAGTACCAGTTGACCTTTGTTTAACATTAAGCTAACAAATTCATGAATAATGAATTGTTATTACAATCTATTGCTGATCAAAATTTAGTTTGAGGGAAACTAAGTAATGAGAATACTTGATGATATTTTTATCAAGTACCAGGCAATCTCCATGAATTGTTAACTTGAATTAACTTCTAAGAACAAATGATTTGGTGCTCTTTGTTAAAAAACTCGTTTCTCTTTATCACATGCCTGATAGGATTTAAACATGTTTTCTGCATATTCATAATTGAAACATTAACTTTAATTTGTACCCACTTCTTGCATTTTTAATACATTTCCAATGATCTTGATTTTTTAACATTTTTGTCTTTGTTCGGAACTTTCATTTGTCTTGGTTCGGAACTTTCATTTGTGATGACAATGGCCTTTCTGATCTTATATTGCTAATATTTCCATTTTCTTTTGATATGTATAGAGTAGGGTATCTCAAAAAGATGAATTATCAAGAAAACAGAAACAGGAAAAGGAAGATTTGTAGTTAGACAAATATCCTGGCTATCTTGTCAACATGAATTTGTGTTACTGTCTGTTACACCATGAGACTTTCAGCTCTTGATTTTGAGTACTAATGAGACTGACATTTTGGTAAACTAATTACATATGATGTTGGAAACAATTCCTGGTCCTTCTCATATGAGTGGAAGTTTATTTTTTTAATAAAGTGGTTGAAGCAGAGGTCCACAGGCGTGCCTTACTTAAGGCTCAAGGGATTGCACCTCAACATTCCTTAGTCCTCAGGCAGGCTAACTCATTCAGGCTATTGCCTCTAGGTAGAGGCGCTCCTTGGGCATGCCTTTCTATCTTTTTTTCTTGAACAAATCACCTAGCGTTTTCTTTCAATATAAAGATTTCTAGCAAGCATCTATTTACATAAAGTAAGTAATAAATAAAAGAAATAGAATGGAACACAAAAACTCGTGATGTGTTTTGTCATCTAGTCTTCAGCCAGCAACCATTCAGATATGCCTCTCTCAATTTCTCTTCCGAATGTTTGCTCTCTATTTTCTATTTTCTTTTTCATATTCTTGATACTCTTTTCTATCTTAACTCCAATATCTTAAAATATAAATCTTCATGTTGCCATTTTTTTTCAAAGTTTTTCTTTCTTTTTCTTTTTTTGATATCTTAATTTATAATTTTCAAATTTATGTGTTTTAATTTTTTTTTTTTTTTTTTTTTTTTTTTTTTTTTTTTTTTTTTTTACTTTTCACCTCACCTCATTCAGGTGCGTGCCTTGCCAATGGCTAAGCCGCTTTTTTTTTTTTTTTTTTTTTTTTTACTTTTCACCTCACCTCATTCAGGTGCGTGCCTTGGCCCAATGGCTAGCGCCTAGGCTCTAGCAGTCCTTTATGCCTTAGTGTGCCTTGCGCCTTTAATTACTTTGCAAAGCTCAAAAACCACATGTCTGCATTGAGAACTTGTTTGTTTAGATTTACTGCAAAATTTTCTGAGATCAAAATATTTTCATCTGTTGCATATCTTGTCTTGAGGATTGAATTGGCTGTAGGTAGTTGATAGAATTTTGAAAGACTCAATGCCAAAGTTCTATGAAGCGTTATTTTTGTTGATCTCTCTCTTTCCATTATGACATTCAGTCTACTATAGTCCCACACTCCTATCCCATTGGTTATTTACATGGGCTGAGATTCAATAAGTTTAACTTTCTAGTTTTCTATGTGTCATATCATGATGGCCTATTTTGTTATTTCCTCATGCAAAGAAAAGTCGTGTTTGGTAATACAGAAATGATTTGCCATGAGAAGTTATACTTAACTCAATTTGAAAGCCTTAATTCCAAACTATTTGCAGTTGGAATATGGGTCTGTTTCCTCCATTCTATTCCAAACCAATTTGGGGAAAATGAGGTGAAAATATAAAGAAAATTTGAGTCATTTCTGGAAAGTATATCAAATATATTTGTGAAGGTAATGTACTTCATCACAAACATTTGTAAGTAGTAATCTTGCCTGTAGGAGATTTGTTTTTTTATTGTAGTTTTACTAAAAAAAAAATGTTTTGCATTTATTTCAATTTTAAAATAGGTTTCATTTTTTGGCATTTTTATCATTTGAAGATATTTTCTTTCTTTTTAGTTGTTTTTACAGGGAATAATATTATTGACGAAGAAAGAAATGATTGTACACTCCTATAACTCAAAAAAACCTGACAACAAGAAACATAATATACAAACTAAAAAGTAATGCCTTCCAATTGAGTTGATTTTCTCTTTCTTTTTTTTAATTTGTTTATTTATTTATTTTTTGTTGTGATTTATTGCCTCTGAGTTTTGGTATTTTAGGGAATAAAACTTTGGCTTTCTTGCTCTCTGAAGTTGTATTTGTAATTTTCTTCTTCTACTGTTTGGCATCACGAACTTCTTGAGCTCTTTTTCCTTTTGGATACTAAACTATGTTTTCCTGTGCTGCTCAACAATCCATTTGAAGCTATGTATGTTTTTTTTTTCTCCTAGTGCCTGAGATTATTTACAAATCACGGTTATCTTTTGCGGCATGCGATCTTGGTGTTATAAATAAGTTAATGGCACTGGAATTTAAAAAGGAAAAAAAAAAAATCTTTGCTTCAACCTTCAAGTATCTGATTGTAGATCTTTGTTGTAGCTCATGGAAAACATTGAGGAGACAGTTGGTTTTGGCAAGGGAGTCACTAAACTCTATGCAACTATTGACTTAGGAAAGGCTAGAGTTGGGAGGACCAGAATACTTGAAAATGAACACTCTAACCCCAGGTGGTATGAGTCTTTTCACATTTACTGTGCTCATCAGGCTTCGGATGTTATATTCACAGTCAAGGATGATAATCCCATTGGGGCAACTTTAATTGGAAGAGCATATGTGCCAGTTGAAGAGTTACTAGATGGGGAAGAGATAGACAGATGGGTTGAGATATTAGATGAGGAAAAGAACCCTGTCAGCGGTGGTTCTAAGATCCATGTGAAGCTGCAATACTTTGACATTAGCAAGGACCGTAACTGGGGCCGGGGTATCAGGAGTCCAAAATATCCTGGAGTGCCTTATACATTTTATTCACAGAGACAAGGATGTAGAGTCTCTCTCTACCAAGATGCTCACGTTCCGGATAAATTTGTTCCTAAAATCCCTCTGGCTGGGGGCAAGTACTATGAGCCTCACAGGTGTTGGGAAGATGTTTTTGATGCAATTACGAATGCAAAACATCTGATCTACATCACTGGCTGGTCTGTTTATACTGAAATCACCTTGGTAAGAGATTCAAGGAGGCCAAAGCCAGGAGGGGATATCACTCTTGGTGAGCTGCTTAAAAAGAAGGCAAGTGAAGGTGTCCGGGTGCTTATGCTTGTCTGGGATGACAGAACCTCTGTTGGTCTATTAAAAAAGGATGGATTGATGGCTACTCATGATGAAGAAACTGAACACTTCTTCCAGAATACTGACGTACATTGTGTTTTGTGTCCTCGAAATCCTGATGATGGTGGAAGCATAGTTCAGGATCTACAAATCTCTACCATGTTCACTCATCACCAGAAAATCGTGGTGGTTGACAGTGCATTGCCTAATGGAGATTCTGAGAAGAGGAGAATAGTTAGTTTTGTTGGGGGTCTTGACCTCTGTGATGGAAGATATGATTCCCCATTCCATTCCCTTTTCAGGACATTGGACACAGCACACCATGATGATTTCCATCAGCCCAACTTTGCTGGTGCTTCAATCCAAAAAGGTGGTCCAAGAGAACCTTGGCATGACATCCACTCTAGACTTGAAGGACCCATTGCATGGGATGTCTTGTTTAATTTTGAGCAGCGATGGAGAAAGCAAGGGGGTAAAGATCTGCTCCTTCCGATGAGAGAACTGGAAGACGTCATCATTCCCCCTTCTCCAGTTATGTTTCCTGATGACTATAACACATGGAATGTCCAGTTGTTTAGATCCATTGATGGTGGGGCTGCATTTGGTTTCCCTGATACACCCGAAGATGCTGCCAGAGCTGGGCTTGTTAGTGGAAAAGATAATATCATTGACCGAAGCATTCAGGATGCTTATATCAATGCCATTCGAAGGGCAAAGAATTTCATTTATATTGAAAATCAGTACTTCCTTGGAAGTTCATTTGGTTGGAGTCCTGATGGTATTAAGCCCGAGGATATTAATGCATTGCATCTAATTCCCAAGGAACTTTCACTTAAGATAGTTAGCAAGATTGAGGCAGGGGAGAGGTTCACTGTCTATGTTGTTGTTCCAATGTGGCCAGAGGGCATCCCAGAGAGTGGATCAGTTCAAGCAATATTAGATTGGCAGAGAAGAACAGTGGAAATGATGTATAAGGATATTGTACAGGCTCTTCGAGCCAAAGGTATTGAGGAGGATCCTCGGAACTACTTGACATTTTTCTGCATTGGCAACCGTGAAGTGAAAAGGAGTGGTGAATATGAACCTTCAGAAAAACCTGAGTCTGATACAGATTATGAAAGAGCTCAATCTGCCCGGCGCTTCATGATTTATGTTCATTCAAAGATGATGATCGGTAAGTGCCTATGTTAACTTTACGTTGGCCCTTTATTTTATTATCTTCTATTGTTGCAAGTTGCCAAGTTCCTTTGCTAATTTTAAGGATGTTTAAAATGGTTCTTCTTGCAAAATGAAGATGCACATGTACTCATTTGACATGACATATCCTAGAGAGGGGGAAAAGTTCAAAAAAATTGCTACTTTGGGATTGTAGATCTTAGATTGATTCATACTTGTATTTCTCTGTCTTGCTTTAATTGTTCGATATTGTTACCTTAAGTATTTGACACTCGGCTTTTGCAGTTGATGATGAGTACATAATAGTTGGGTCTGCCAACATCAACCAGAGGTCAATGGATGGTGCCAGGGACTCAGAAATAGCTATGGGAGCCTACCAACCATATCATTTGTCAACCAGGCAGCCAGCACGAGGTGAGATCCATGGTTTCCGTATGGCATTATGGTATGAACACCTTGGCATGCTTGATGATTCCTTCCTTAATCCGGAAAATGAGCAATGTGTAAGGAAGGTGAACCAGGTTGCAGAGAAATATTGGGATCTATATTCAAGTGAGACACTTGAACACGACCTACCTGGTCATTTGCTTCGTTATCCTATTGGGATTACAAGTGAAGGAGATGTGACAGAACTTCCAGGAACTGAGTTCTTCCCTGACACCAAGGCTCGTGTTCTGGGCGCCAAATCTGATTACCTCCCTCCTATTCTCACAACCTAATGGAACTCTACTCAGTTCTCTAATAACAACTTGCTTTGTCGACTGGTTTATATTACTAGTTGTAGTGAAAAATAAATCATCCTATTCAATGCTTGCTTGCTGTATTGTTTTCCTGCCAGGATGTTCATATCAGTGTTTACAGAGATGTGTTAATGCTATGTTGTGATATGACGGATGCTGAGTTGCTGACTGATTTGAACTTTAAGCTTTGTTGATCTCGCCTCTGTATGTTCTCTTCATTGTCCTAGATTGTCTACAATTTTCCCTGTAATCAATTTCTTAATAATCTCGTTCCGAAATCTTTATATGTTGCTTCTCTTTCCCTCTCTCGCTCAGGAACTGAAATGACTGAAATATTTCGTTTTAGTACTTTTTCTTTTTGTAGCAATTGTGACAAGATCAAGTGTTCTCTAGCGCTTTTGACTAATAACTTCAAAAAAACGGTAAATTAACACGTGTTATACAAATTATTATTCCCATTCAACAGACGGTTGATTATCTTATTTACAATTGAAAATGCGAAGGTGGAGTATTTGTTAGTTGATTAGGAATATTGGATTATTTCTTGTACTATCTACTAATTATTTTACACCACAAATTTGTAATGACTGTGATTGGGATGTCTGAATCGACGTTACGAGATTATCTATATGGTGATTGTGACCAATTCGATTAGGTGAAGTAACTTTATCATTTTGTACAAGTGTCTGGTCATGTTGCTTCAGGAAAAATGTCGACGAGGTCATCTTGATATCTACTTCTCATCTTCAAAAACTGTATCGTATTACTTAGAGTCTGGCATTTCTAGTCGGCAGACAATCTTTATAATATTCTCTTAAAATTATCGGTAAAATGTTTTTATTCTAGACGGCTAAGAAAATTACCACTCTGTCGTTCAAAAGCGATCCATCGTTTAGTTTAATGCGAGGTCATGACCTGTCGTTTTCTCAAATTGCAAAAAAGAAGTCAAGATGAATGGACGGTTAGCTTCGAATTTATATGGATGACATTATATTAGCAAGTAAACGACAAGTTTTGGTACGGAGAACGAATTATTTCCCATTAGACTGTTAGATTAGAGCACTTCTGCCCGTCCACGTGGGCCGGCATTTTTTAAATTTATTTCTACCTCCCAACTTGTAGTACGTCAAGCAGCTGTTTGGATGAGCATTAGTAATTAGTTTTCATAGCTAGTTAAGAGTTAGGGTGAGGAAATAGATCGGTTCGTTCAAACCAAACCCAACTAAGGAGGGAAAAAAGCAAACTTATGAGAGTGTATTGGATTAGGATTATGCAAAATTTTTAAAGAATCGTTGAGTTTAATAGAATTAAAGGATTTCTTAAAATTTTCACAGATTCCATTAAAATTTTACATAGAGCTTTATGAAAATTGGTGAGACTTTTTTTTATAAATTTTGATTGACTTTGATAAAATTATAATGATTTCTCCATATCTAATTAAAATTAATTTCAGAATTTAATTGAACAAATTAAAAGGTTTTGGAAACCAATTGAAAAACTGAAAAACAATAAGAAACCAAAAAGTTAACGTGTCATCGTTTCTAAAATTATTTTTTTTTTCTTGAAAAATGACTAGACAATCAATCGTCGTAAATTAAAAAACAAAATAAACTAAAATTGAATTAATTTGATCCTTGTCAATAAGTAAATCTCCGTTGAAAGCAATTCCTCTAATAAATTTGCAACAGAGACTTTTTATTTCACTTTTAAATAACAACCTAAAAATTTTGCATAATTTGAATTTTTGAGAAAATCTATAATTGGTAGTAAAAACATAATAAAAGTATGATACATTGTATACTAACCACAAATCATTGTTGTTTGATCACCACGGAAGTGCAATAGAGCACAGAAAATGACATGACTTTTGTCTGGAATATTTACGTTCAAACATAGTTTTATATCAAACACATGGATTTAAATTTGTAAATCAGCCGCGAAGCCACGTTGAAAAAAAAAATTTCTGAAATTCTAATTCCGAGTCAGTTATATTTTTCTTGGAAAATCCCAATCAAATTGGAAATTTTCTTTTATAAATACGCACAAATATAATAAAACAGATGTCTCCAACGTCTGGTCAGTTATAGTTAGAAGGACACGTATTAACGACCAAATCGTTTATCATGTCGTTAGATGGAAACGTGCTCTTCACTACTTGGTGCCAAAGCGGATGTTGGACAATTGATATGCCTCCACGTGTGAGTAGAGTAGGCCCTTTGGGGATATTTATCCCTCAAATTGGGCTCCACAGGACCCAAACATATTTCTCCATCAATATCTTTTTTTTTTTTTTTTGTTATCCTCAAATTGGGCTCCACAGGACCCAAACATATTTCGCAATCAATATCTATATCTTTTTTTTTTTTTTTTGAAGAAAAGAAGAAGTTAGGTTATCTACTTCATATTAGAATTATATATGTATCATTTAGCTAGTAGTTAGCTCCTTTTTTTTTTTAAAAAAAAGTTATAATATATAAAAAAATAATAATAATATGTTCATGTAGTCACTAATGGACTTATGGCCCCCAGCCCATGATATGTTAATTTTGACCTCACCGACTTCATAATACTACTAAATATATTTATTAAAGCACTTTAGTTTGATTAAATTTGACCCTTTGTTGTTGGAAATTCATACAAATTTTTCTAATTTTAAATTGTATGATCAAATTATTAATATGATGGAATATTCTTCTTTTTAGTAAGTGGGAATTGAAATGAATTGTATATAAAAATAATTCTTATAGAATTTTCTCGATTTATATAGAAATCAAATTCAAGATGTCTGAATAAAAATTTTAAGTATTAGAAACGAGAGATTGTTGAAGTCATTTTGAATATTACAAAATTTTGATTGAACTTTAATCAACATATGATTAAAATTAATAATTCATAAAAAAAAAAATTTACAAACTAATTAACTATTATGACATTCAAATTTAATTAAAATCATTATTGATGAGTTTAAATTTAAAGTTAAATTTTGAAATTTTATTAATCAATTCCCTTGCTTTTAATTTGTAATTTTTCAATTGAATCCCTTCAATCAATGGTATATATTAATGTCAATCCCTTCAATCAATGGTATATATTGATGAATTGATTAGGCATAATTTTTTTATTTCATAATAAACACTATCTATAAGAAATATTATGCTCACGCATAAAATTTGCCACATTTCAATTTACATACAAAATTAAAAAAATAATTAAACCACCTCAATTTAAAAAAAATAATAATATTGCAAGTTATATTTTCCAAAGTTATTTTCCAAAGTGATAGATAAAATATAATAAAAAAAAATCTAAAAAAGGACATAATGTAAAGGACAGAGAGATTATTTTTTTTTTGTAACAGAAAAAATTATACTTTTCCATCTCATAAAGATGAACTTACTTGCTCACGAGGAATAACATGAGATGACAGAAATTCATTTTCCCTTAATCAGAAATTTCGAATTTAAACTCTGAGTATGGAGTCTTTAAATACTCGGAAGGGAGCGCTTTGCCACCTCTGTGGACTACCTATCATAAATTCGGATTAATCGGACCAATGAACTTCAAACTTCGGACGGTTAAAAAAAGAAAAAGATGAACTTACTTTCTTTTTTATTTAATCCAAATTATGTTTTGAAAATGAATTTAATTTTTTTAATTCTCTAATGCACTTTCTTCTTACTTTCTTTTTTATTTAATCCAAATTATGTTTTGAAAATGAATTTAATTTTTTTAATTCTCTAATGCACTTTCTTTTACAAATATACCTCTAATTTGGTATACATTATCATTAACAATTTATAGAGGCATAATAAGAAAAATATTGAAAAGGTTTATTATAATTTTTTTAATAAGTGTGAAAATAAAAATAAGGCATGGCCTTGATTGACCATTGAAATTGGCATTGGCATCATTTCCCATTCTCGATCGAGACCCGAGAATTTGACCAACTCGTATTTTGTAGAGGCGTGTTGACTGCTCGATTCGATTCCTCCTTAAACCTTCCGTGTGGGTCAACAAAAATCCCAAACCAAACGCATCAAAAACAACAACAACCACCCTTCCCTCTTCCAATTCCTTCTATCATTTTAAAGCAAAAGGAGCAATCCACGCCTATATCAAAATTAAATAAAATAATAAAAATTCACAAAATGCATAATTTCATATTTATATTTTACATGTGTGAATTTATATATTTAACTAATAAAAATTTAATCATCAGGTGAATGGTGAAAAAATAAAATTTAACTTAAGTAAATTTTATTTACTAAAGTAAAAGTAAAGTCTAAATATTGACAATTCCTAATCCCTTTCAAAGGGTGATATCACATGACTTTCCAATTTAAAAAAAGAAAACAATAAAAATATCAGTATGGCCTGGCCTACAATTAAAACCCAACCCATCTCTGATTCTGATTTCTGAGTCTATAATTCTATATAAGTTCTCTTCCTTCCTGTACATGATTCTTGGTACAAGTTAACCAACCGAACTACCTTCTTCTTCTTCTTCTTCTTCTTCTTCTTATATCTTTCCCCAAATACAAACACTCTCTCTGTCTCTTTTGGCTTCAGTTCTTCAATTGATAACATGTCATCTATTCTTAGCTTAAGCTCTCAAGGTTTGGTCTTAGCCACAGCCATGGTAGTCTCTAGCACTGTACTGTTTCTAGCTTTTACTAAGCAAAAAACTGACCTTCAACCTCAGACTTCCAAGAATCTTGATTCGCAATCTCCAACTCAAAGTCTTCGTTCTTGCTTGTTATCTTCGGGTACGTAATGGATTTCCTTCCTTTAGTTCCTCTTCTTGATTTATTTTCTTGGGTTCTTCTTTTTTTTTTTTTGTGTGTGTGTTTCTTGGATCTTCTTCTTCTTCTTCTTCTTCTTACTAATCTTGTTCCTTGATTTTTGTTCTGCAGAGGAAAAGAAAAGAGAGAAGAAGAAAAACAAGAAAAGAGTGAAATTTGCAGAGAATGTAAAGGACACAAAACGGAACGGAGAAGATTACAGGAGAAAGAAAGGAAAAGAGAATTCGACTACGAAATTTGATAGAATTTGCAGAAATGAAATTCCGGGAATTGAAATGCCGGCTAATAGGATTGCTCTTTACAATGGAATTCTAAGGGACAGAGTACACAGAATTGAATGCTCATACTAATTTCTCTGAGTCTCTGTACAATTCTGGGTCCAATTATTTTCTCTCTCTTTTTTTCTTTTTTAGTTGGGTGTAAATATTAGAAGAGCTTTGTCCAGATTATGGTTTTTTAATGGTAGATTTTGGGCAGAGCTCTGTTTCTCAACTAATTTTCCATGTTAAAGATGTATTTTCTTTCTTTGAATTCCAACTTTGGTTTCTTGAAGTCAAAATATTTGTATGTTGTTGTTGTTGTAGACTTTGAACCATGAAATTATTCTTTTTTTTTTTTTTTTTTTTTTTTAACCAATGATAATTATTCTTTTTTTTTTTTTTTTTTTTTTTTTTAAATTTTCATTGATTTTTCTTGGGTATTCTTTTTGCTAGGAAATAAACGAATGGTTTTTTTTTTTTTTTTTTTTTTTTAAATTTTCATGATTTTTCTGGTAATTCTTTGCTAGGAAATAACGAATGGATATCTAATTTTTGCAAATATTTTAATTTTACTGCTTTACTATATTCTAGAAAAGAAAAGTCAATTTCACAGATTATTTTAATTATTTTCTTCAAAAGACAACAGCTAATACTTAATAACTACTTAAGCAAAGCCAATCTGTATTTTATATTTTATGATGATTGGTAGGTAGTTGTGAGCTCGTAATATTTTATTTTTTTTTATATACATAAAAGGTAAGGTGAAAAGCTTGTTAATGATATAATATAATATACTGATGCTTATTCCATTAATGCAAGTATGGATTAATTTTTTAATTTATCCATATATCGATTAAATAAATTGATTATTATTATTTTTTAAATTCATCTTACCACTTTTCCGTCTCTATTATTAAGTTAATTAAATTAAGGAATGTCTTGATTACAATATAGAAAGAATGATTTAATTGTTCTTTCCATATAAAAACATATGCAAAGAATTTTACTTTATTATTATTAGATTTGACTAATTATTGACTGTATGTGCAAAACTGCTTGAAATCAAAACTAAATTTTTTATTAATTAATTTTGATTATGTGCTAATATCATAGAAATCAAAACCAAAATTTATATAATTCATTTATCAATTCAACATTGGAAACTTTTTATTTATTTTTTTTTTCTCAACACATGAAAGGGTCAAAATCTTGGCACTATAACCAGATAAGCAACAGTCAAGTTGGCAGGCAAGTTGGTCTTTCCTGGAACCAGAGAGATCACTTAATGCTTAACTATTTTGACCAAACTAATTTTTTCTCTTTCCTAATTTTCTAATTTATCATTTATTTAGATATAATCCCTTTGTTATGTTAAATTTGATACTTTTTTTTAAAATTTTTTTCCATTTATCATTTTAGAAAATCAAGGAAGTATTTTTTTTTTTACAATTTTATTTTTAGCTTTTGATATTTTTACTAAATAGACAGTAATTAATTAGAGAATTAATAAGAAGAGATTTAGCCAATTACTTTTTTTTTAGCTTTTGATGTCTTTACTAAATAAACAGTAATTAAATTATTTATACATTTTTTAAAATATATTTAATAAATTGCAGTTCAATTTTTTTATTGAACTTTGAATAATGTTAATTAAAAATTATGGTGAAGATGTTTCAAACGCTGTGATTTTTTATTTTTGATATTTTTAATAAAATGTCATAAATGCTAGCCAAGAAGGAAGGTAATCTGGAATAAAATAAAAAAAAAAAACAGGAAAAAATAAATAATAAAAAAAAATCTGAATTAGGCAATAGGCAATAGGCACGTCTACTTGTCTTTCAATAGAACTAGAAATAGTAGAAGTCTGGAAGAAGAGATAAGAAAGGTACAGTCAAAAGAAAAGAAAATCCATTTTTAAGTTTTGCCAATTTTCAGTCTCAGAGGTAAGTTTATGCTTTCTCTTATTTTATTCCTTTCCCAGTTCTATTTTTCACTCTTCGTCTCTTATTTTCAGTTTCTCTTTGAAGGGCTATTTAGTCTTTCTATTCTGGAATTCGATTCTCACTGCTGAAATTGCTTTCCCTGGAAAATCCTACTTCAAGATCTGATTGACTCGTTGGCTTCTTGATTTACTGTATGCATGGGGTAAGTTTTTTTTTTCTTCTGGTTATTTCTTGATTTTGGGGTTTGTGAGGTTTTGCTTGTGGGAGGGCTTTTGATTTTTCGATTGTGAAATTGTATATACTAGGCTTCGTTTATTCATGATGTTTATGACTGAACTACTTTAATCTGTTTGGTTGCCCCTATATCCGTTGAAGAACGATTTTGACCTTCAACAAATGGGTTCTGTTTGCTTATCTAAATTTGTATATAGGTTTGTGTTTTCTGCATTTTAGTTTTAAGGTATTGGTGAACAAAGCTTATCTTGTAGTTGATTCTCAATTCCTTAAGCAGATATGAGGTTGTGTTTTCCATTGGTATGATTTGGAAAATTAAAATTCAATTTGAGTATTTATCTTGCACGAACTTTTTATGTTTTCTTTTGTTGGCTAGTATCACATGAATCCTAATGTTTTTTTTTGGGCAATGAAACTGAGATGATAGAACACTGTAGTTAGTTTCCTGAAAGTTCTTTAAAATCTTGTTCGGTTTTCTTGTTATTATTTTAGTTAAAATTGTTGGTAGAGATCTGTTTTTGAGGAGTTTTTGCATTTTTCTTTTAAATACATGGAAGCTGCATTTGGTTAAGTAGTCATGTTACATCTAGTTGTTGTTTGATTGACTGTGTATTGAATAGCCTTTTCATTTGTGTGAGGCCTAATTCTAAATTTCCTCTTGATTTTTTGCTCACTTTGAGCTCAGAAAACAATAGCAAGGAAAGATTTATTTGTTGGTGATACATAATCATCCCCCATGCTTTCACTACTTATTCCACATGATCATCCTCTATGTGAATGGAATGTGGTGCATGATCCTTCTCTTGATTTTTCACCAAGAAACATGGTGATAACAGCCAAATTGAAATTATGTGTTTGGTTTTTACACGAGTATAATCCAGCTAAAAAATGTGGTATGATTTTACATTTCGGATGATTTTAGCCCTTGTTTTTCTCCATTATTGGATAGCCTACCAGGATATACATAGTTCATTATAATACTTGCAATTTCTTTGAATTGGGTTATCCGCAAAATTCAAATTATAGTTATTTTTAGTTAACACCGCTAACTACCTCTGTAGTTTGTACAATGAAGCTGTTTGCCTGTGCCACATTAGTGCATATTATTTAGATAAATTACTGTGGTAGATTACAACATAAAGTTTTTACCAACAACAACAACAACAATTAAGCCCTAATCCAAACTAGTTGGGGTCATCTATAGAAATATTTGGTTTTCTTTCCATTCTATTCATAACTAAGTCTGCACTAACACCGAAGCGTAATGGGTCTTTTGAGATTTCTTCTCTCCATATGGTAATAGGTCTACCTCTTCCTCTCTTAATACTCTTCATTATCATTATGTTACGTCTATGAACTTGGGCATGTAGGGGCTTACGTAGGACATGACCAGATTATCTCAAACATCCTTCTCTCATTTTTATTCCCAATATGTGCTACTTGCTCCTTTATCAGATATGGTTGTTTCTTATTTTGTCCAATTTACCATACATCTACCATAACATCTACATTTCTGCAACATTACATTTTTACCAAGCCAATTAAAATGCAACATAGCTTTTTTGTGGGAAATGTGGTAGAGTTGGTGATGATGCCCAAACTCTGATGTTGATGAGCTGTATTTTAGTTGGCTTACGCTTACAAATGGCATGATAGATATATAATCTATGCATAAATCTTCCATTGTTTTAGTTTTAGGTGGATCATCTTGTTTTGGTTCCTTAGCCAAAACATATTGAGAAATATATATATTGATCAAATTGATAGCTCTAGTCCAATCTAAGAAATGGTGCTTGCAAAAATCATGATTGATAATCTTGAAAATGTCAATGGAGGTTGGTGTATTCATCTTAAATGTAGAGGCTCTGCTACTTGCTGCCGAATTATAGCTGTAAACTTTAGTATTACTAAAATTGTAACTAATTTAGAGAGAGTGCAGTAATCTACACTTGGAGACTAAGCAGCAAGCTCAATTGGCTGAAAAATTCTGATCCAATATCAATCCTTTTTTTCTTCCCTTATAAAACAATAATTTTTTTAGTTTTCCGTTTGAAAAGTAAAAATTGAAGAAAATAATACTTCGTATTATTATAGTTGGAAAGAAATGAAACCATTTTCTTTTGTCTGTTAAGATTGCTATATAGATTTTCATGTACATTACTGCACTTAATGACAACGAAATTGACTAGTGCAGGGGTTTCCTAATTTGTATATCCTGATGTCTTTCTATGTTGTCTGTTTGAATTTTTCATGATTGATTTTATTGGCTGACAATTTATAAATAATGAACTTAACATGGATTCATGAATGTTCTTCCAATAATGATTTAGGATCCTTGCATGTTTAAGTTTTTTTGTTTTTTCTTTTATTTTTCTTTTTTCTCTCCAGTGAATATTGATAATTCATCAAAAGCTCAAATGTTTCCAGATTATAAAAAGTTATGGCATTATGGATTTCTAAGAGTTGATAAAAATGCTATTCTCATGTGTATTCAGCCATGTGAAGATGTTTTTTCTGCTCTATCCCATATGTTTATGGCTTTTTTCATTTTCAGTTTCAGGACTAATTGTGTGATTTCATATTTTTATGATTGTATCTTGTATCTGCTTCTTATTGTGTGGCCATGTCTATGCTCCCTTGTGGCTGCTATTCATCAGTTGTATGATTGTATGTGATTTGCAACAGAGCAGTGGTTGTCTTGGATGCTACAAGAAGCCCACATTAATTACCTCAATAGATGAGCCATCAAAAAAAATTCGAGGTCAGGCAGTGAAGAAACCTAGTATATCAGAGGATTTCTGGACTACCAGCACTTGTGACATGGATAACAGTGCAGTTCAGTCTCAGGGAAGTATGTCATCTATCAGCACAGTCAACCAGACCCTTGATCCACATGGTGGCTCTAGTAGCACTATTGCACCTTCTGAATTTGTAAACCATGGTAAGTTTTCTTGGTAAATCTTCAACTTCACTGGATTAGAGTCTCTATATATCTGACAGCTGTATACATCAAAATTAAAGGGCAATGGCTCACCATATAGTTGCTGATGAATGGTGCACTTATGGAACTGACCTTTATTCACAATTTAATTGTTTTTCCTCTTTTTTTTTTTTTTTTTGGGATTCGATTCTCTTTACTCTTTGTTCTGTTCATTATTATTTCAATAAACAATAGAATGTTGAGGTCCCATCTTTGTAACATGGGATTCATGAGGGCACTACCGCATGTCTCGTCCGCACAAAATACAACGCTGAAGTTCTTATGAGCATACACTATTTGCAATGGATTATTTAAAGTTGTTTGTATTGCCTATCTTTTTCCTTTCTCATTTTTTTTTTCCGTTCTTTTTCTTCTGCCTAAGTTGTGAATAATGTGTGATACATTTTGTACTTTTCACTCCGATTTCATCTACGTCATTCGAGCTATGTTGTTCAAGATTATCTAAAGCTGCAGTTTGCCACGGATACATGTTCCAAATACCAGTGTTCCTTTTCATTTGTGTCACTTATTGGTATTTGCTTAAAGAAGCTAGATTCCATATTAACTATTGTCTTTCTTTTCCTTTTTTTTCCCATTGTTGTTTTTTGTTTTTTTTTCAGTTCCATTTGTTGTGAAATTGATTTTGTTTGGTTTATTGATGCTCACGTATTCCAACAAATATGTTTTCATATGGCTTTTTTCAATTTTTCTCTCAGTTTCAATTACGAGATTAGCTTCAAATTGTGTATGTGTGAGTTTTGCATTCCAATTTCTTCGTGTGAGTTTGCTTCTTCTCGTTGTCTATATTCTGTTCTTTTCTTTTCTTTTTTACTTTGTGTATAGGACCAAGGTGGCTTCTAAATGCATCCCTTGTTTGTTTTGTGGCTCATTAATTCATAATTTCCATGTCTGTGTTATGATTGTATGTGGGATTATTAGACTAAACTATTTACGAGTACAACTGTCAAGTCGATCAGAGTTGTCTTGATAGCTAACTCAAAACAAGAACAGAACACTATCATCATTCGAGGTTAGATGCGGCTTTATACTCCCACTTTCTCTCATAACATAAGCTAGTTGATTGCAAAACGGTCAAAAAAAAAATGTCGCATAAATAATTATTTTTTTAAATAGATAGGAATTAATTGTGTGACTTCCATTAAGCTCAGAGTATGTGCGAATATATGAATCTATTTTGACCATTATAAGTAATAATTATACTAGTGGTTTGATGTGGTATTTTTATTTTTCTTTGGTTTAAGATAAATTTACTAGACCTCAAGCTAAACTTATAAGTTATTGTGAGTTGAAATCAATGATAAGTGGTAATTAAATCTAAGATAGATATTTTGTACTTCTCAAATATTTTACTGTGCAAGCTAAGATTTATATCACCATTTGTTCGGCATCTTCAAGGTGTAATGTTATGGTCCCATTCGTATCGATAAGCATAATCTCGACGCTTCAGCATACCAGGTCTACCCGGTTTTGTATCAATTCCATATTCTAACGCCACGAAACTCTCCAAAGTTATGGGGGATGGTGGGACAGTATGTCTCATCCATACATTGTAGGCTACTTAGTTGCCCACTCTCTATCTGTTATGTTTTGTGCTAACTCGATGGTAAGTTTTCTTATGGAGGTTTGAAAAAATCTTCAACTTCATGGATTAGTAGTGTGCTTTTCAATTGCATAATATATTTTAATTCTTGCAACAAGTTCTCCCTATTATAAACATCAAAAAAAAATTACAAAAAGAGAAGAGCAAATGGGCACTTTAATTTCATATCCAACTATATGCTTTGACTGGGTGATATTGCGCAACTTATTTTTGAGAAAAAGATTTCAGCTATGAGATGGGGAGACTGGGACCGTAATATAAATTAAAACACAAGAGATTTTATATATATCGTTGTTTGTTCCGCATTAACATTCTTATATATTTTTTCCTTTTCTCTCGGGGAGTACTAATGTGTGAAACTTAAAGCAAGATATAACATTATTCTAAGCAGTGCCATTACATTTGTAACACATAAGTATATAAGTTGCCAGTAATATATTTCAAGATGGTCTTTTTTTTTTGCACGGAATTACTAATTTAATCTATGGGTCAAGGTTTAAAAATGACATTATAAGAAGAGATCTCACGTGTGAGAAATAAATAAACATTTATCTCCAAAAATTCACATTAAAAACGCGAATTAAGTGTTTAATTAGGGCAAGTTGAATCAAAAATTCTAGCCAAAGCTGTGAACCTTCAAACAATACCTAAAATATCATCTTCTCCTTTCGCTTTATTTTCTTTAATTGTTGTTTTATTCTACTTATTGGATTCTCTAACACCTATGTTTTGACATATCTACTATTTTTTTGTTGATTCTTCTTCTTGTATTCTCCTCTTTTAAGTAATTTTCCTTTTTTCACTCTGCCTTGCTTGTTCTGTTTAGTGCGCCATTGAGTGTGTCTTATATTACGTTGTTTAACTTTGGAAGTAAAAGCGTAAATTTTTACTCATTGGCTTTATTTTTCTGTTCTTCCCATCTCAATGATCCACACGCATGTTATCAAACCACATTTAAACCCTAGTATAAATTCTCACTTTTTATTTTATTCTTATTAGTGCCTTCCTAATCGTATTGATGTGCATGCATTAGAGCAAATTAGAATATTATTAATATGCAACTTATTGCCATAAAAATAGATAGACATTTAACATTATTTATGCATATTTTTGTACTTCATTTCTCATGTAGAAGAAGATCGAAGAGAGCATATTGATAAATTGGATGGTATACATTAACCGGAAGTTTTATTATGGTATTTTACCACTAGGCTATTTTAACTGGAAATTCAATTGGAATTTTACGTAGACGATTCTTTCAAATATGTATCTCATCACAAAATTTGGAATTTGCTAATATAAGTACGGTTATAAGTATGAACAGGATCATGAATGCAATATCATCTATAAGTAGACAATACTTCCAAGCATATATTACTTGGAAAGAAACCCCAAAATTAACATAAGATGAAGTTTTGTCTATTCTACCAAACAAAATTTTTTTGTGGTATCGAATTAGTACAATTAGTATTGAAGTCGTGGATCCCTGCATATATAATTAAAAGATATTTTAAATTTGTTTATATACAACTTCGTCGTAGCATTATCATTACTTGGGATTAAGTTGCTTTGGGTGCACCCAATTTAATATTTGGAAAATCCCACTAGAGCACTATTATTAATGTGGCCGTCTCACTGAGGCACCATTTGATTGAGCATGCAATTTATTTTGATATGCTCATCATTTTTACAGTGTCCAGATTTCTTATTTATTTATTTAAGAAGATGATTTGCTAAAAGCCCATAAAATGTACGCGCTAAGTCAATTTGTTGTCTTAGAACTTCCAATTAGATCTATTTCAAATTCTTTACAGATAAAATGTATTAAGAATTTAGAGTTGATTTATTTCTGTTTTACACGGATGCAATTACATCTTTACAAAAGCCTTTGTGAGTACTAAAATTTTAAAATATATAAGTCTATAAACTTAATTTATATTAGACATTAAAGAATTTGAACAATAAATGATAACATCTCCAACGCTATCTCGTATGTGACAGCAGCAAGCGCGACTGAATTTTGCGAATGAACCATCTTGGTGCTTTCCTAAGAACTTACTTTTACTACTAAAAATAACCTCTTGACGAAATGGCCCTCTTAATCTTTGTAGCATCTGATTGGGCTTCCAGTGACGAATAGATATTTAAATGCTTTCCTAAAGTAAGATTATAATCGGTTGGTGGTTCAGATTTTATTGTCATATAGTAATCATGAATAGCAAGATAGTCTAAAATGATGAAAAAACTAAGTGGAATAAGTGTGTCCTTTGTATGGGCCATTTTTTATCCTATGTTGAGTGGAGATAACAAATAAAGGAGGAATTATTTCGTAGGGCCAAATTTCTCAAAACTTTGTCTTGGGGGCTTAATATTCTCTAGAACTATTATGGAGTTTTTCAAATTTCGTTGAGAACGAAGTGTATTTTGAAGAAATTGAAAATTTATTGTGTTTGCTCAATAAAGAAAAGAGTGTGATTAGGTTAAGGCACGGTTATAATTTATCACAAAAATTTTTGTCATATAGGCAATTGTTTTCTACAGTTATATTGATTTAAGATTAAATTGTGAATGTATAATAGAATATTTCTTTATTGTAATAAAAGAAAAAATACTTACAAATTAATGTCAGGTGAATTTCCTTAATAAGTTTTTAATGCAGACTCATATTAACATATTTAAAGAGATATTTTATTTTCTATAAATTAAAAGTACTGTTGGTAGTCGATGACACATTCATCATCATTCATAGGAATACAAGATCCTGGTTTTAACACATTACAATTAAAAATATTAATAGCTAATATATGTAAATCATTCTCTAAATGAATGTTTTCTGAAATTTTGTGATTGGATACTTTGTGTGTTTCTCTTAATAAGCGACATTCATTATACGCTACTAAGATTAATTAACTCTCACATTTGGAAGATTTTTTTTTTTTTTTTGGTATGACTAAAGGCAGTATACATTTCAGAGGCTACATGTACTTGTGCCAGTATATATTTCAGAGGGTGCAGGGGTGGTAAGATTTAAAAATCGGGGAAAAAAAAACCCACCTGGTAGCAAGGATCATTTAGCCACTTATCCACAATCCTAATCTTCCTTGGCTTTTTCTTATTGTTTTTCTTTGTCTACTTGGATCTCTTTTTGGATTTGACTTAATATCCTGTTTACCTTTGCCTGTGTCCTGAGGGTACAAGGGTACTATTCTCTGTTATCCATCACCAGTCCAGCATGTTTCACCACTTACTGCTCATATTCATTCTTCCAATCCGTGTGTGCATGCATGATTTTGCTTATGCTAAATGTGTTCTTTATGCAGGTCTTCTTCTCTGGAATCAAACAAGACAACGATGGGTAGGAGATAAAAGGTCTGTCAACCGTGCACAGCAATCTTGGGACCCCAAACTAAAGTGAGTTTCTTTCCAATTTTTTTGTTGGTCGAATCAATAGGAGCTGATCCTGCATTATAAAAGTATTGTTTTATCACCTGTGCATAAGTGTTGCAAATGAACCCAGCACTATTATTAATGTGGCGTTCACTGAGTGCACCAATTTGATTGAGCATGCAATTTATTTTGATATGCGTCATCATTTTTACTAGTTCAGATTTCTTTTATTTATTTATTTAAGAAATATGCTAACCATAAAGTAGCTAGCAATTTGTCTAGACCAAGTTCATTCTGTAATGAGTTGGGTTTTTGTTTCCGTGCATCTCAGCTGTGTGCCTTATTATTTGCAAGTGACAGAACTTCCAAGTTTATGACACGACTGTTTTGGATGACTCGCTTTCCAACTTTTCTTAAAATATCAATGCATTTACATTGTATACTAGTAGTTTATGGTTTCAATTTTTTGTGAAAAACTAAGTGGAATAAGTGTGTCCTTGTATGGGCCAATATTTTTATCCTATTTGAGTGAAGATACAAATAAAGGGAGGATTTATTTCGTGCAATTCCTATTTGTCTTGGCTAGTTCTGATTTATGAGTTTTTTCCTTGGTGAAATTGAGTGTTATAGAGATGTCAGGGAAATTTCAAAATTTTTTAAATGTCCACGTGTTAGCTTGTGGAAAGATTTTCTTTTTGTTAAAAAAAAAAAAACTATGTCAAGTTCTTAAATTTCTAAGGCATTACATGTAGAATTGTAGATGTGGGGAAATCATCTCTGGATCAGATACCTGTCATCTTAAATATAAGCATTGATCATTCATGAATGTTTCTGGTTATCTTGTCAGCACTCATTGTCTCTCCATGGTTAAAAACTTCTGGCTTTGCTGCAGTTGGAATGCAACATACGACAGTTTACTTGGGAGCAACAAACCATTCCCTCAGCCTATTCCTCTCTCTGTGATTCTCTCTCTCTCTCTCTCTCTCTCTCGCTCTCTGCCTCAAAATGTTGATTTTCTAAATTAACCATATTATAATTATTATTATTATTTTCGATCGACCTGAATGACAGGAAATGGTAGATTTTCTAGTGGACATATGGGAGCAGGAGGGCATGTATGATTGAACAGCAGAAATACAAGACAATTGAAAGGGTTGATTAGAATGGAAAAAACATTCAGATAAAGATGCTGTTGAACAAACCGTGGTGTGTATATTAAATGTAACATTATTTATGATATGCCCACCTCGGCTTTTGTTTTCCCCTCTGCATGCCATTTTTAGACTGTGTTTTTTCTATTGCACTCAGAAACAAATTAAAAACTCTGGCTCCTCTGTTTTCTCATATAGTTTCACTGAGCTCATCCTATGGCGCCTTATTGCCATGCACTCTAGCCAGTGAGCAAGTGTATCACCAATTGCAACCTTTTTACCACCTAATTGTAGTTAAATGACTTGGGGTAAATTTATGTATTAAAAGCTTGGGCAAAAATTTAGAAGCATGAAACTATTTCTGAATTTTTGATAATATTTGATAGACCCATTCGAAACTTTAAATTAATAAATTAAAAATCACTAAAATGATGTCTTTTCTCCATGTAAAATGATGTCATCCAAATATTTATGCACATCTCTCGAACACTCTTGCATTTTACGTTAAAAAAAAAAAAAAAAGGAAAGAAAAAGTGAAATGCATTTCAGAAAGGCCAAGAAGCATCTTCTCATGCTTACATGTTAAATCTCATTTCTCGATATTCCACCATATTCAAGAAACTCTTAGACCCTTCTCCAAATGTCCTGACCCAAATCCACAGCTCCCTTTAAATCTTGTCCCAACCTTCTTCGCAAAAAATAACCAAGTTCCATCTCTTCTTTTTAAAGTTTCCCTCTCTTTTAGTTCTATTTTAAGATCAAGAATGGCTTTGGCACGACTAGCCTTGAGGAACTCACTGTCCACAAGGGTTAGTTCTTCTTCTTCTTCTTCTTCTTCTTTAGTGGGTAGTGTTGGTGATGTGAAAGGGCAAATTTGGAACAGTGAATTGTTGAAGAGGTTTATGGTAACTGGTGCTGATAAGGTAGCTGGTGAGACCTCAGATGGCAAAGAGGTTGCTGTGAGTGATAGTAAGAAGCCTTCTAAGCTTTTTTCTAAGAGGAAAGGCAGGAGGGGCCTTTGGAGGGGCAACGGACAAGAATTTGTTCCTCAACTTTTTGGTAATTTTATATATATATATATATATATTGAAATTAGTTGCTACATTTATTTTCAAACAATAATTTGTCTTTTATAATTTATTTTAAATACTTATATTAATTTATTTTGGATTTGAAAATTCTTAGATATATTAATTAATTAATTTGCTGCTCTCTCTGTATTGACAGAGTTCTTCCCCTCAGGATTAGGAAATGCACTATTGCAAGCAAGTGAAAACATGAACAGACTAATCCAAAACCTAAATTTGACACCAACAAACCTGATGGGTCGTTTCAAAGAGAAAGACCAGTGCTACAAAGTAAGATATGAAGTGCCTGGACTTTCCAAAGAAGACCTGAAAATCACCATTGACGATGGAGTTTTAACAATAAAAGGAGAGCATAAAGAAGAGGAAGAAGAAGGATCAGATGATGAGCGTTGGTCAATGAGAAGCTATGGATACTATAACACAAGTGTTTTGTTGCCTGATGATGCTAAAGTTGATGAAATTAAAGCTGAATTGAAAAATGGTGTCCTGCATATTTCTATTCCAAGAACTGAACAGCCTAAGAAAGATGCCAAGGAGGTTCCTATCCATTGATGGATGTGAGGTTTCTTTTTGTATGCTAAAACTGGTCGATTGAGTCTGGTTTTTCAATTCGATCAGTTTGTGCTTAATTAATGAAGTGTGCGTGAAGAATAACTTATAACAAGATTAAATTGCAATTTGTTTTTTGTTCTTGGGTGACATCGTTCCTATCTTATTATAATTATATTCCTGTAATATGTTCCTGTTGGAGTAATAAGTATAAGTTTTTCTGTTTGCGTAAAATATTTATTAAAAAAGTATTTAAAAAATAATATATACAAGTGCTTATAATGTTTTCACTTTTTAATAAAAATTAGAATTTTGCTTTTTTAATTTCAAAAGCTGCTTTTTATCTATTGTTTTCTCTAAATTAAATATGATTATTAACAATTTGTCGCTATTAATATATTTTTAATAAAAATACTCATATTAAAAGAGTAAATATAATTTCATTTCTTATTTTTCTGAGTAAAACCTTTTAAAAAAACTTCTCTCTTTCTTGTGGTTCGGATCTAAGAACCAAAAAAAAAAATATTCAAGGACGAAATTGTAAAATTTAAAAGTACAAAGGTAATTCCGTTCTCAAGTTAATTAAATCCGCAAAAGAATCTGAAAAATCCCCACTAAGATACTGACACATGTCAGTAATAGAGTGACGTGATTCTTATGATTCCAACAGTTTCGAACGTACGGTTAGGCAACGTCTTATCATGCGCGGTTTTATTTCGAGTACGCTAATCAAATACGTATATGAACTGACTGCCGTCGGATGTGATTACCAAAGATTCCTTTCGCTCCAACGACATTATCAAGGTATGCGTGGCGCCAAACTTTCTCTCACCGGCATTACAATTTGTGAATTAAGCTATATCTTCACTATATCTCAACACCCTTAAGTTATACTAAATTAATAAAAAATATTTTTAAGTATTCAAAAAAAGAACAAAATATAGATTCAAAAAATATTTATATTACAATTTTTTTATTTAAAGGAAAAGGGTAAGCTCTCTCCCTCTCCATATAGAGCCATTGGATTAATTTTGACTCAGAACTGATAAAATTACAAAATTTTATCTAAACTAAGTCTATGACTCTACTCGTGAACCGAACCAATAAGAATAAATTTTTTTTATTGAAACGGGGATAGTTTTGATCATACACTGGAAAAAAAAAGATAAAATTAATACACTTTTTAAAAAATCTTTATTGTGATTAGCTTGATCTATAAGTGTGACTATAAATCCAGTCGTAATTTCCATTTATATATAAAAAAACAAGTTTATCATTCGATGCATTTTCGGGGGGAAAAGTGCAGTAGCTTGTAGTAATAAATAGTAAACTGTTGATATAAGATTGTAGTACTTAATTATGCCACTTTCAGTCATTTAGATTTACAAGATAACTGTTTGATTTTGCTGAACTTGCAATAAAAACTTGGCAACTGACTGAAAAAGAAAGCCTGACAATGAAGCAAGAAAACCCTTTTCGCTGTTCACTCAACGACATCAAAAGAGTTCATTAAAACCCTGGTATTTCCCTCGCGAAATTCTTTGATTCAACTATTACCTCCAACCAATTCCCTATTACGAGTTAAATCTTGGGAACTTAAAGTTCAAAAATTCAACGGTCAAATGTTCAAAGTTGATTAGCGATTCTATTTGTTAAGTGTCTGAAATGTTAAAACTCACATAGGAAATGAAGAAAAAGAAAAAGTTCATCAAAAAAGCTTGTAACCAACTGTTCTATATGAACAGACAGGTTTCTAGTGGGTAAAGGTAGTGTAGCCTGAACACCTGAACAGCTAGCCTTCTATTCCATATTTCCCCTTCTTCTTCTTAAAGAAGAAAGAAAAAAAAAATGGAAGAACGAAGAACTTCCGTTTCTCTCTGTATGTATATAAAAATAATGACAAAGGGAAAGTTCCGATATGCTATCTTTGTGTATTTGTTTCTTAGTCTAAAGAATAATAGTTTTGAATCAGAAAAGAAAAAAATTTAAGATGCTTTGGTAAAAAATTATTTCTTTATGCTATAAAGTTTAATTCATAATAGCTATTAACATATTTCCAGTAATTTTGGAATATTTTTTTTAGACAAATCAGATGTGATTTAATTGATTTTTTTATTTTTTTATAAAAATATAATGAGTTAAGGGTTTCGATTTAACCCTTTTGATTATAAACGTTTTCACAAATTTGATAAATTAAATAAATAACTACCTTGTTGTGTAATTCATAATATTGTCTAATCTATCGAGCCTCTTAATAAATAAAAAAAAATAATTGACATTTATGGTGTACCAATTAAATGGAATCAATTGAATTTCCTAATATAGAAATTAAATTCTACGCTTTGAACTCTAAAATAGTAAACACCAAACCCTAAATCCTAAACTCACATGAAAACCTAAACTCTATTTTTACTATTTTTAAGGACTGTCATGAATATTTTTTGACATAATTATAAGATTTATCTAGTAATTAATTTGTGATATTATGCTGACAACGCATGGTGAAAGCGTGATGAACACAACTCGTATTTAACTATGGGAAATGATTGATGGAACGATTCGTTCCAAGGCACGACAATTCTTTATTGCCAAATATTGCGAAATGGGCCCAGGTACGTTGGAAGTCAAAAGAAGTAGAATTACTAGTACAAAACGACAAACATCCAAAAGCAACAATTATGACAGACTGTTCCTTTATAATATACAATAAAAAATAAATAATATATTATAGATAGAAACATCATTCAATAGGAAAACCTCAACTCGTTTATTTTTTTGGTGGTAAGCAATATAAATCATTCAATAATATAACCTCAACCCGACTAATTTCATGTTAAACTTATTTTTCTTTGAATTTAAATCATTCAACTCGACTTGAGATTAGGGAAATTCGTAAATGAAAAAATATTTTATTTATGATTTCACTTTGAAAATCAAACTTTCATCGATTAAGATTGAAACTCCCTATATATTAATTAATTTTTAATTTTCCTTTATTATATTCTAACTAGTAAAAAATAATTATGATAATTGCATCTCATTTTGCTAAGTATTAAATAGAGATAACAGATTTATATATTAATAAAAAGATTTAAAGTAGGATTGTAATTTTACTACCCATGATGGATTTTGATTTTGACTCAAGGACTTTGATACCTGTTATATGTTTTACCTATTTAAGGTTTTTAAATTTTAATCTTTGATATAATTGAAAATTGAATAGATGACCTTTAAAAAAATTATTTTTTCAATTAAGTTATTCTAATAAATTTATATTAATATTAATGCGCATAAGCGATACTAAATAAGTTTGTGATGAGTATAAATATTGCTACGTAAATTTAAATGGATTTAGATATTTTATATTGAAACGAATATAGATATAGATAAGAGAGCTCTTTGTGGATGATCAATTTGTCATTATTTTTAGCGCTAAGGTCGTACAAGTAATAAATTTAATGAAACTTCGAATTGATGTAAAGAGATTTAAGTAAAGAATTAAATTTTGCAGTATAATTACCTTGGAGACGATTTTCATCCTACAAATTTTTGCACACCTTTAACTTTCCTTCATATATATTTTATAATTAAATAAAATTGCAATATTTGAAAGTCCATTTAAATAATTTACAAAATTGGGATCATCATGCTTTTATTTTTCACTTAATTTATAAAATGGCGGACCTCCCCTTTGTTGCCTGACCACGCTGAAGTCGAAGCTGCCATTTTTGGCATGTCAGCAGCACTTGATATGGGGGCTGGCTAATATTGTTCTCCAGTGTAAAACAATTCCAGATACTGATTATGGCACTAGGTTGCTTGTTCTTCATTCGATCCTTAGTAGATTGCATAATTTTCATTAAGAAACCAAATACGTAAACACCGAAAATAAGGAGACAGGAAAATATATTTGCAATAAAATAATTGAATTGAATAATAAGATTAAAGTTAAAAAAAGTCAATCTAGTAGGAAAATATTGATAATAAAAAAATTTAACTAAAGAGGTTTAAACTGAAAATTAGGGAAGTCTATCTAAATAGGAAAATGAAAACTATATTAATTAGGATCGTACAAAGATCAAAGACAGTCAAGTCAGCTAATGGGAAATGATCCAATAGTGAAACCCGAAAGTCAGTACTACAGTTTCCCAAAAAGAGAAGCAATTGAAAAATTAAAAAGAAAAACAAAACTGCATTAATTCCTTGTTTGGAAGGGTGTAAAATTTGAATGTACGTAAAATAAAGCATGAAAATTTCTTTGAAATTATTAAAATTTTTTATTTGATTTGAAGTAAAATATCAAAGAGGAAAATAAATAGTAAGATTTTCCACCCCTATTTTCCATCCCTTATTTTGCTTCCCCTCTTCCCAAACAAAGCATAAATCTTTTCTTGTCTAGAAAAAGACTAACAAAATTTTCTTGAATTAGTGAATAAACCCACTCAAATCAGAGACATGTCCCTTCCAAGCCCAACAACCCTATATAGCCTTCAACACTGTATATATACACCCTTGTCATCAATACTTTCTCTTAACCAACCAAGCAATCAAATATAAACCAAACCCACCAATCCCTCCCTGTAACATATTTTCCCTGTTCTTGATCTCTTCTTACTGTCTTGCCTGTTGTAGCTCTCTAGCTCTTTCTTTAATTACTGTTACACACATCAGAAGTTTCACTATTCTGTAGTTAAGTGTTCTTGGACTTGTTATGGCTCCATCAAGAACCTACCCAGATAGGCTCAACTTTGCTGTTGCAGTAACTGTGGCTGTGGTGTTTTGTCTCACTTTTCTATCACCATCAATATCAGGTAAAAATAAATCCAACCCATTTGAGGAAACATGTAAAAAATGTTAATTATATTAAACTATTATTATCAATATTAATGTTTTGGCAATATTTTTGGTTTGACTTCTAATTACAGCAGCACAAGGGTTTGGACATGAGAAGTTGCAGCGAAAGAAGAATATGGTGTTGGGTTCAAAGCCTCCAGGTTGTGTAAACAAATGCTTCAGTTGCAGGCCTTGCATGGCTACTTTAGTAATTCCTTCTCACAAAGACAATGGTTTTACTACTTTTAAAGCAGCAGCAAAAACGTTATCTCACGGAGAAGATGATAATAGTGGTTACTATCTTCTTTCATGGAAATGCAGATGTGGAGATAAGCTCTTTAACCCTTGATGTTACCTTTATATGTATATTCTTATATATAAATAACACCCTTAACTATATGAACATATATAGATAGCTAGGTTTACTAGCTAGCTAATTGATTAAATTCTCTACGGTTGTGTCAGAAAATTATATGTTCATTAGTATAATTCTACTGCAAAAGCTTGCAACTCTGTAGATGATTCTAGCATGGAATGATATTTTATTATTTATATCTAATTAATAATTATTACGTGTATAGTATTGCACATGCAAGTGCATAATCATGTAGGTAAATAATGTTTGAAAAGACTCAACTCTGTGTGTGTCTTGTATGGAAAAGGAAATGTAAATGGTGATGCTTCATCATAAATGCAAAAACCAGAAGAGGAAATGTCAAGTCCTCCTGAATCCTGATAAGCTTGTGTGTATGATAATTCATACAAGAGCGAACAGACACAGAAAAGGCTTTTATTGTCAGGGAAAATATACTATCAGATGGTACAAATACATTTTTTTATCTGTGTTTCTATAGTATATCCACTGGTGAAGCATGAAGTTTGCACATTGCTTTGACTGTTTCAATCTTTTTCTTCTTTTTGAGTTAATATATATATTTATATACTGTTTCTATAGTATATCCACTAAAACTTTATGTACAGCATGTTTTTTGGAGTTTTTGTTGCTTTTATATACTGTTTATTATGTGAAATAACTGCACGCGATCAAGGTATATATTGATTTCAGCAATTTTGTAATATTGAACATAGCAGACGTTGGAACAAATAATTTATATAACTGATTCCAACTAATTTAAAATAAAAACTAAAAAAAATTCTCATATGTTATCTCATAGCAACTTCATAAGTTTTGGCTATCAAATTTGAAATTTATTTGTCTTGGTTGACTTCTAAAATTGACCATATATTATTTTTAATGACAATAAAAATTGATTGAATGCCACAAAAAACAACTCAATCTGCCATTCATTTTTTTTTTTTATGCTAAAGTATGTAATTTTGGCTATTAAACCTTTATTTACTTAGTTTGTCATATTCATCGTTCAAACTATTTCAAAGACATTGAAAATTGATTTAAAGTCCCTTCGAAACTATTTAATGTTTTGTTAAGATTTTACTATGTCTATTTACAAAATCATTGTCAAATTTATGTTTTTTATTTTAAATAATTGATGAACATAACTTTTTAAATTCTAGAGTTCCTATTTTCATTGACAACAATCCTATAAGGAAAAAGGAAATGAGTTCATTTTCATCTTCATTTCCAATACCAAGTTTACGTGTAGGACTCTTGTGGAGTCGTTTATTATGTGTTTTTATAGCCGTCCCACACCGATGTTTTATACCCTAATTTATATAAAAAAATTAATGATAAATTATGTCATTTCTATAGGGAATCATAAAGTTTTTTTTTTTATATAAAAAATAAACCTTATAAAGAGAAACGAAATAATTATTAATAATTTCTAATTTAATATATCAAAATTTTAACATCAAATTGAGCCGTTTTAAAATACATTATTTGAGCATTTTAGTTTAATTGATTTGCGGATTTTTCATTAAAAATTTAGCATCAAGCGCCTTTTTAAACTTGTTCCATTCATGTTTATATTTATATTTGCATTATATTAATCTTATAAAAATAACTATTATTTTTTTCAAATTAATATTTTTTATATGATCATTTTATTTATAACTAATTGATAAAAATAATAACTATTAAATATTAAAAAAAAATTAGTTTAAGATTTTTTTATTTGGATAACATATTAAATAAATACACGCACAAAATATATTAGGGCATAGAAATATTTTGGGCCATAAACCCATCTTTAGTAACCCAACCCGATTTTGATAAAAATAAACTTACCATCATTCATTACCCTTGAGAGCACTTCGATCTTTTTAAAAATTTTCTCGAATGGCCATTCTCTCTCCGCCTCCGGCAACCACTACCACCAGCACAACGTACGCACGACCACAATCATTTCCAAAATTCAATCCATTGAATTTACAGTCTCACCCTTCTCTTCTTTTCCCGATTAATCCCAGCCGCCCGTTCCTGCCACCTCGTCCGAATCCAAATGCACGGCTTCGCAGTCTCTACTCGGCCCTATCTCCCCAACCGCCCACGCAGCCTGACCCGCCTCCCGAAAAGGACCCCGTTCGACCCAAAGGTTAGGATACGAACGTCTTGTTCAATCAATTTGTAGTCTTGCTATTCTAAATCACCAAGTTACGAGTTCAATATTCTTAATTACCTTTTTGCCTTTTATTTTTAGCTATGCACATGGATTTCCATCAGTTCAGTTGATAGTTGTATGAATGGATGATTCGCAAATTTGAAATTATTTGGATATTTTGTGTTTCTAAATGCAAAAGCAGTCTTATTCTATTGGAAATATCGATTTAATCTAAGAATGGATGTGTTATGGTTGTTCAATATGGGAGAAATTCAATAACTTAGTGACTAATGCTACCTTGGTTCTCTCAGTTCTTTCCTTTTGGCCTTATGGTTGGGATGCTACTAATTTTTTACATGGAGAATGCTGACTTGGGATTTCTCAATGCAAAAAAGTAGACGAATAATTTGAGGATTTTATTGCATCTAATTGGGTTGCATTAGTCAGAATGAGAATAGAAAGACATAAAGATACTGATAGAGCTGAGATCTCAAATGCGGGAGCAATTATTGAAAACAGCCTTCCTATATGGGATTTACACCAAGCATTTTGTGTAATTCAATGGAAAAGAAAGGAGATGAAGGTGGAAGTGGGAGGATCATGAATAAATTAGTATAGCCAAATTGGCACAATGTGGTTTTGGTGGCATTATCAAGCTTTATGAATCATAAGTTTTGCATGGACACTGCGAAGTAATCCTCTTACAATATAGAGTGATCAACCATTGCTCTCAAGGGTTGTGAGTTGTGCTACTTGTTCTACTGGGTTGATATACATGAGGTTTTCCTTGCTCATGGAGACCAGCATCCGTTGTGGTTGTCTATAGCCACCTTATGGATGGAGATACTCTTAATAAGACTATTGCAACTTGTGACAAACATAGTTTATAATAAATGGCCATGGAACTTGTAAAGTTTTCTTAATAGGTTGAGATTTGATACTTGCATTGGTGTTCTGTTCTGTCAGCAAACGTAGATAAGATGCTCTTAAATTCAAAGAAACTTATCATCATACACTTTATACATTAGTAATAGCATGTTATAGTTTGATTCTATTATATCCTAGTTCCTTAGACACCTTAAGGTATGTATTGAACATTTAGAATTACTTGAAGTTATATGAGAATAGTAGAAGTATTAATCTGTAGCTCTTTTAAGTTGACATTTGAAAGGAATTTGCTGTTGTACCCTCTTTTCATTATCATCACTATCAGTACTTTCCTTGCAGTATGAATTCAGTTCTGAAGCTTGAGGACTGGATATTATATCTTCTGTTCTCGTCTTATAAACTTGCTTGCAGTGTGTTCTAGGCCAGCTTAGTCTATGCGATTCATTCATTTACTAAATTGTGCCATTTAAAACTGACTGGTAAATTTTGCTTTGGTTTATGTTCAACATTGTTTAATGTACAGTTTATTGATTCTCCTGGTAGCTGCTTGTTGATTTAATAATCTAGGTAGTAAATAGCTATGAAATTACGACAATCACATTCAAAGTTCTCTGAAATTGCATTTTTTAGCTCCCTTATTGTCATTTTTGTCCTCATGCAGGCATTGCTGCAACTTTCTCTAGATTTCAGGACCGCGTTCAGATCTTCCTAGCTGTTCTTTTCTGGATGTCTCTGTTCTTCTGGGCTTCTGCATCGGGTGGAAGAAATGGTGATAGTGGTAGACCAAACAAGGGATCTCGATTTAGAAGATGACATAGTAAGCATTTAAGTTGTATATATAAAACTGTCTTTGAGGGATTTAGTATTAGATTATACATGGCAGATACAGCTTTGTCTATATGGGTGGTTATAATAGCGTTGTTCACATTCATTTTGTTACTTTACTTAAATAGGGAACATTGATGTTGCAAATTGTTAGTTCACTTGAATAGGGAACATTGGTATTGCAATTTGAAAATGAAAATTTGACATTCAGGAATTAAATTGAGTGGAAGATTCTTTTCATGTGTAGTGGGAGTGGCTCTATATTTCTGATTGGCCTTCTTGTGACTCCTGGTGGAAACTTAAAGTTGGAAACATCTGTTGTATATGCCATAGAACGTTTCTGGTAATATTTGTCCCAAAATTTGAAATATTAAGATATCTCATCAATTTAGGAGATTTGAAGCCATCATAATGCATTTTGTGGAATTTCAGGTTTCTGCTGATGAACCTAAGGTTTAGGTAAATATCCTGAAATTATTTTCACCTGGAAAACGACTTTAAAGTTAACATAACTTTTCCATAATATTGATTTCTCAGAGGTGTCTCTGTTTCTCAATAACAGCATTAAAAACACTTGTAGAATTTGTAACTTGTGTATAAAAGTTTGATAATGTTTCTTCTGGATAAATATTAGGAGTAGCCAATACTGATTTGGTTTTCTGTTGAAGGCTTCCATATTATTCATGGATAAATATTAGGAGTAGCCAATACGGATTTGGTTTTCTGTTGAAGGCATCCCTATTATTTCCTTAGTGATTTAATTATTTTCAAGGCTTGAAATTATTCCCATCTTTCATCTTATACATGGCCGGACATTAGAGCATAATTCAGTGTGAAAATAAAACCGGCACACTTAGACACATTCTTTCTTCACTTTTGTTGGATTTATACTTGATGGAGTTAAAATGCTAAGGATTCTCACCTATTTTGCTCCTTGAAGTTGGAGGAGTAAAACAGCCTTGTTGCCAGAGGCAACAAATTTTCTTGGGTCCCAGTTTCGAGTCCTCATTTCAGTTTCTAATGAAGATTTCAACATGACAGCGATGGCAATTAGAATAACTGCTGATGGTGCACGCAATTGCCGGTAAAATACACTTAAGTGAGAATGGCAGCGTGCTACCAGGGGGCCTGCAAGTGCAGGTTAGCGCGTAATGGTAGATGGCTTTGGTATGTGAAATGTTTTGGTTACAGAGGGTTAAAGGTGGACTGATCCTAGCTGGATAAAGTTAGACTTTGGAGATTGAGGTAGATATTTGAAGGTTAGTGGTGTAGATTATAATGAGATTGAGTTGAGAATATCTTGAATCTAGGGGGAAAAGTGAGAGAATTATCTCTTCCTCAGTCTTCAAATATAAAGAAAAATGAAAATCTATCTTATTGAGATAAGAAAGAACATGCAGTGCAACCTACACATTGTATGTCCTAATCTGTAGATTGAAGTGATTTCGGTAGTGAGGTGGCACTTCTTGGATGGACAATATTATACTTTGTACTTGCTGAAATCAAACTTGTATACGTTTTCTTCTTTCATTGGGTGCAAAACTTCCTGCTCCCTGTCATGAAGACCGTGACAAATTCATCTTAGTGATATGTTTCATCCTTTAATTGATTATTGAAGTTGAAATGCATGAAGGTATGTTTGATTTAGATATTGAGATTAGCTCGTCACTTAGTATTGATGGTTAGTTATTGGTAACTAGTAATTCAGATATCGAGCACTAATGATTATAAATTATAATGCACAGGAAGCTTTTTCTTAAGTTTCTGTTTTGGTAACAGTAATTTGATAGATTTGCCATCCTTTGCCTAATTGCCTTGAGCCATTTGTACTGCACAGCTTGATTTTCAGCCCGTTTGTGATTTATCAATAGTCACAAATTTTGATATTTCAAGGGGTCTCAAAATAGACACTTGAGAGTTACAACTTACAAGAGTGAAATAAAATATTTCTAGGAATTTGTAACATAAGATTAAAAATATTTTAACTTTGTTTCTTTATCTGATGAAGATAAATAGGATTCTTGTCTCCCTTTATTTCTTTTAGATGTTTGATGTTTGATCATATGTTATCTAATAAAACCCATTATATATACCATATATTATAATATATATATACTTATAATATATATATATATTGTACATAGTAATTAAATTCGAGAATGTTGATATTAATTCTCAACTGTATTAAAATATAATAGTTTATACAGTTTAGTGTTTTTGAACTTTTTGTGTTTTACTATGTAAACTAGTAATTAAATTCGGATGTTGAATATTAATTCTCAACTGTATTAAATATGAGATAGTTATACATTTAGTGTTTGAACTTTTTAGTGTTTTATATTTTGGTGTCTAAATGGAAAAATATTTGTAATTAAGTGTGAATTAATAATTTTAATATAATTAAGTGTTTTTAGCTGGAATTTCTCACGGGAAATCAAAATGAATTGTTTTATTCAATTGCGTCACTTTATTTAACTGTCTAGATTATTCCTTCCTTTTTTTGTTTTTTCTCCTTTTTTTAATATTATTTTGAAATTAAAAGGAAATTAGAAGGAATTTCAAGATTTTTACTAGAAAGAAAAGATATAAGATAATAAAAAAAAAAAAAGAGAAGAGAAATGAATATCTATGTTTGATGTCTTATTTAATAAAGTTATTCATCTTAATTTTAAAGTTAAATAATACGGACAAATGTGCTTTTGCAATATTTTCAGTAAATCAGACATTAATTAAAAACTTTTTCCGTTCGGAAACTAAAATAAAAGGAATTAAGAAGTTCAGAAACTGTAAATGTAATTAATCCTTTGAAAAGATAAATTTTTTGTGCTTTCTTTTTCAATAGTACCGTTTACAAGAAAATCCACCAATCCCGAAAGGCAACGTTGATTGTCGTATGGCACCCTCATGAGTCTCATCTTCAGCCCCACAAACTGAAAAGTGAAGAAAGTGTTGTACGTGTCTGAACTGGTTTGGCAGAGAGGGGGCCAAAGCTAAGGTGATGGCGATGCCTCTTTGTTGCACTGACAGAAAGCTACATGAGCCGTCGATTTCCCCCTTAATTGGTTATCAATCAAACAACAAATCAGGTGGGTCCCTGTCACGTGACCCTAAGTCTACGTGTCTATTGCTAACGGGCCGTATGCTCACGTGTATTAACCTTTACTTCATTCGTGGGCTTAAACAGCGAGGACACCGCATTATAGACTATGTCCACTGTCGGTCTCTGTCGTTTTATTACATTTTACATTAGCGGTTAGGATGGAAGGGTGACGAGCGGCGCCTTCGATCCTTCGGTAAGAGTATAAATAGTTATAAATGATATAAATAGTAAAATTATTATCATAATTGATAAATATGAGGACAGATTATAAGTATTAAAATATCCACTGCTCGTTTTTTGTTTTATTACACAGCTTAGCATAAATATTTATGGATATTCTATTAATTTATTAATAAACGATATATTTTAAATAAACTTGAATTTGAATAATTTAAAGTTTATATATTCAAATCATTTAATGGGTAAAAAAAGTTTGAGATGAATACAATTAGTAAAATGTTAAATAGGTTCAAATATTTAAATTAATATTTAAATGAATTTGAAATATATAAAGATAGTAAAATAATTATGTTAATTATCTATTTATTTCACCAAATTTTTATTTTTTTTCTTCCACTGAACTGTTCCACTAATTTAATTTTGGGTCCGCCCTACTACACGTCTACAAGGTATAAATTCTCTCTTCAGTTCTCTCAATGTCTTGAAAGAGGAGAGGTTCCCTTTCCTTCTCTCTTGTTTCTGAAAGAGCACATTGCACCCAAAAGCTACTTATACTCAAAAAGCACTTGTCTGTTTCTCAAATATATCTTTCCATCTCAAAAGCACTTTTCCCTTAAGCATGCTTTTAAGGAGCTCTTCAACTTCCATACTGGACTCATGGCTTCCACACTCCAGAGACTCATCACCAGAGCCAGAATTTCAAATTTTTCAAAGAACCAAATCAATAATCTCCTTTCACTCCCAAACTTCCATCGATGACGCAGTAAAAAGAGTGGTCACAACCCAAGAAAAACCCATTTTGCGAAAAACCAAGAAAAGCTCATCTATATGTAAGAACGATAGTAATAATTCGGATCAAGAAGCAAAAAACATTTCAAGAGTTCAAGGACTCTTTTCAAGTTCTGGGTTAGGAGAGAGAGTGGCAGATGATAATGATAATGAGGTTAAGTATAAGCTGCAAACACTAGCGGTGGGAGGTGGTGATGGTGGTGGAGGTGGTGGTGGTTGTGGTAGTGGTAATGGAGGAAGATCAGATGGTGGAGATGTTAATGGTGGGTTTGAATTTTATGGGAATGACAGTACTGATGCTTATTACAAGAAAATGATTTCTGCAGATCCTGGCAATGCACTTTTACTTGGAAATTATGCTAAGTTTCTTAAAGAGGTATAAAATTAAGATCTTAATTGATATAGAAACTGAAGTTTATTGATAAATATATTATTTAGAAATTGGTTCTACTTAATTCTTGGTTTTAATTTCTGTGGTCAGGTTAAAGGAGATTTTGCTAAAGCAGAGGAATACTGTGGAAGAGCAATTTTGGCAAATCCAAGTGATGGAAATATTTTGTCAATTTATGCTGATTTAATATGGCAAAAAGAGAGGGATGCTCAGAGAGCTGAGAATTACTTTGATCAAGCTATTAAAACTAACCCTGAGGATTGGTAAGTGTACTATATTACAGTTTGTGACTTTTGATTTCTTCCCCTGAATTTGAGCATATATTAAGATCTCTTTTTGTTTATTTTCTTGATTAATCTGAACTGGTTTAATTTCAATATGAACTGAATTATTTTGTACAAACATTTGATTTGCATCTTTTCAAAATTAAAGATTTGAGTGCTTGTATTAGTAATTACACGAACTAATAAATTTTCTTTTCCTTTCAAATTCTTGCAGCTATGTTCTTGGTTCATATGCTAGATTCTTATGGGATGCTGAAGAAGAAGAAGAAGAAGAAGAAGAAGAAGAGCAAGAAAATGAAAATGAAACTGTGTCTCCACCAAGTTTCTTCCATGGTCCTTCCCATCCTCCTCTAGCTGCAGCTTCATAATCTCTTTTCTGTAAGGAGATTAGTTTTATAATTTTGTCTAAAAATAACTTAGATTTGTAACAATGTTATCATCTAAATGTCAACTCTTTTCACCTGTGGAATATAGTAGAGATAACTTAACATTTTTCTTTTTCTTTTTTTATAAATATAAGAGAAGTAGCATAAATATGAAAGATGAAATTTTAATCTTTCAGATTTCCTGAAATATTCCAAGATCTAATTCATGTATAACAGAACTCAAAACTATTTTAGTGTCACCAATTGAAACTCAATGGTAAAAAAATAATTTGGTGATTACCCTATTTGCTATTAATAAAAATTATCTCTAAGCAAGATTAAGGATTTTCACTGAGCAAAATATTTAAATTTACTAAAAAGAAAAATCAGCTCTAGATATACTAGAAAAAATAGTCCCTTTCTGTGTCTGTATATATACACACATCTAATTAGTGGTCAGCTATGTATGGGTCATCACTACATTTCATTTTCTTTCAATCTAATCTACATATCATGATAAGCTTGTCTTTAGTTATTATTAGGTATGGAAGTTCTGTAAAGATAATATAGTATATTGACCTATGTTTCTTACAATTCAACTAGTCTTTTGTGTGGAATTGTATAGATTGGGTTTTTACTTTTCACCTTTGTAAAAGTGAAAAAATAAAATTACAGCTAAAGAAATGGAAAACCGCATGATTGTAGTGAAGGACCATAGGCAATTAAAGATGTTTTAAATTTTAGTTATTATTTTCTATATTTGATTATAATTATGAATTTGGGTTATCTATGTATAAAAATATTGAAAAACTCTTATTAGATATAAAATATCATATGAAATAACCAACAATAATGAGTTGTTTGGGGGTACAAACGACTTTAATCTCTGTAAGGGTAAAATTACAACTTTGATTCTTGAAAAATGGCTTTACATTTTAGCAGGAAAGGAAAAAAAAATTTTATGCTCTATGGTATGACTGTGATTAAACCTCCTAATTATAAAAAAATAAAAATAAAAATAAAAATAAAAAGATGAGATAATTACCCAAAAAAGTGACAATCATCAACAACAGCAACACAATCCTTTTTGTTCTTTTGTCCTTCATATAGTGAAAGCAACATCATGGTCTATTATCTTCAGAGATTAATCTAATGAACACTCCTAACTAAATTTAGGAATGCAAAAAAAAAAAAAAAAAAAAAAAAAAAAAATCATCATACACAGCAACAACAATCCCTTTTTGTTCTTTTGTCCTTCACTATATGTGAAAGCAACATACATGGTTCTAATTATCTTCAGAGATTATCTCCAGAACACTTCGCTAACAAATTTAGGAATGCAAAAAAAAAAAAAAAAAAAAAAAAAAAGCCCGAAGATCGATTCGAATAGTGATTGAATATACTACGTAAATCTTTATTGTTTATTTATTTTTTAATTTTTTGGCATTAATATGATAAGTTTTAAATAAAAAAAAAAAAAAAAAAAAAAAAAAAAATGCAGAAGTATCATTCATAATAGTGATTACTACGTATCTTTATTTTTTATTTTTTATTTTTTTTGGCATAATATGATAGTTTTAAATTCTTTCTACTATGCTTTACAATAACAAGAAAAATTAACAAGTTCCCAAAATGAAGCCTAAGAACTTTTTAAGGTACTAAATAAAAAGAAAATGTTATTTCATATGCAGAAGTCTATCATTCAGAGTCCGAAAAAATTGTTGGTGGGCCTATCAAATAATGTAGAGTGAAGCTCCGTTAGGGAACTCACAAGCCCAAATGAGTCAACAAATTTTCAAGGCAATGCAAACGACTCGTCGTTTTAATCAAAGAGAAGTATAAAACAAATGTCGTCGTTTAAGATATAACAGAGGTTTCTAAAATGAAGTAATGATTGGCTTGCGTGATCAATTGTCTGACAGTTTCATTGTGTAGATTACATTAGAACAAAATTTCATGAAATTTCATTATCAGAATAGAGATTGAGACAATATCTACGCTGTAAGAACTACAAACATACAAAGAAAAGAAAATTAAGAGAAGAAAGCGTCACAAAACCCGGAATTTCATATAAGCTATAACATATCTCTGCTTCTGTCATCTAGGGCCTGATAGCCGAACATCTGACAGAAATGCATCGCTAGTGTCATCAATAATGCCCAAAGAAGAGCTTTCTTTGCTGCTCCATTTGGTGAAACTTGACAAATACCTAGAAGCTGATTGAGAAGAAATTGGAGGATCAGGCACTTCACCAAGACCTTCAAGCATTTGTACCACTCTAGTCATTGGAGGTCTTAACTGCATTTCTTCTTGTATGCACCATAATGCAACTTTTATTGCAGCAAAAATCCTCTCATCATTTGCATCAATATCCAGCTCTGGATCAATAATTTCTCTTAGTCTTCCTTCTTCTAACATCTTGAAGGAATATGAAGGGAAATGGGCTTTCTCTGAAGTTTCTGATGCATCATAATTCTTCCTTCCTCCGATTATCTCTAACAAGACCATGCCATAGCTGTACACATCGCTCTTCTCCGATATAGGATTGTTGGTTATCCATTCTGGTGCAAGGTACCCCCTTGTCCCCCTCACTGTAGTATAAACAAGACTGTCTTCTCGGTTCATTAGCTTAGCCAAACCAAAATCTGAAACTTTAGCGGTAAAATTATCATCAAGAAGCACATTTTCAGGTTTTATATCACAATGTACAATCTTCACCTCACACCCTTCATGGAGATAAGCTAGACCTTTTGCCATGCCTAATGCAATATTGAATCTTGTATTCCAATCTAACAAAGGATTACTTTCTTCCTTATTCTTGAAGATCCATTTATCTAAAGACCCTTTTCTCATGAACTCATAAACAAGAAGCCGATGAGACCCTTGAGCACAAAAGCCTTTGAGCTTGACCAAATGGACATGATGGATACTACCGATGATACTCACTTCAGCTCTAAACTCTTTCTTCCCTTGTCCAATGCCTTCCAATTTTTTGATAGCTAATTGAGTACCATCTTGCAGCACACCTAGATAGACCGAGCCAAACCCTCCTTGGCCAACCTTCATAGAGAAATTTTTAGTTGCTTCACAAAGATCACTAAAGCTGTAGCGAGCAGGCATTCCTGAAAGACTGTCCCAGAAATTATCATCTTCCAGGTTCTGTTGAGGAAATTCCATGAATCTTTTTCTTTTGTTGTAATACCATATTCCCACATATAGTAAACAAGCAATCACCACTAATGTTGCAATAACAATGACTGCAATCAACAAGGCCTCCTTTGCTACATTTTTCCCGCTGGCCAAATTTTTTTCACCTGTTGACACCTTCATATATGAAATATAACCTGAAGAACTGCCCTGACTTCGAGTCAAGCTCCCTAATTGATCAAACAGAAAGCACGTTCCAGTATTTTCTTCAAAGAACAACACAATGCAAGAACAGTTTGCAAGACAAGCTTCTTTGCAAGAGTTTAAATTGGATTTCAAGAAAGGTGTAACAAACCCAAGTGCAAAATAATCAAGCTTCTTACCAACATAGAAAAGCTCAACCGAAGTTTTTGAGCCATTACAAGTTGAGGCCACCGGAGGTTTGCAACCAAACTGAGAGTTTGCCAGCTGGGGTGGACATTGACACCAATTGTCAAAATAGCAAACATAGTATTGGTCACAAGGCTCAGGAATGCTGCAAGAATTTTGTGGTATCTTAATTGACTCGAGGGTAACTGACTTTCCCTTTTGAAGATTATAGAACCCAATTGCCCCGTCAGAGCCTAATTTCAAAGCCCATGTAGCATTTGGATCTGAATTATCAGAAAATATGAACCGCCAGAGCAAGACACTATTTTGATCATAAAAATTCCATGAATTGGACACTAGAGACACAGAATGAACCCTGCCATTGACACTATTATTGGCTTTCCCGCCATCACTAGCCAGCGACCAGTATACTTGTGGAGTCTTGTATCCTGCATACAAGACCAAATCCCCGGACTTAATTTCAAGGTAAGTACTTAAGTTATTTTTATTTGGGAAACTTTTAAGTCTCATTCCTTCTACAAACTTCTGACCAGGTAAGAGTGTATCAGTGGGGTGGCTAAAACTCTGCCAAAGAATACTTCCATTGTTCCCAAGCAACAACAAGTTGCCCGATTCCATTAACTCCATAGACATAACTGTTTGCCCTCTTGTGTCTGTTGACCAAGCTACACCATCTCCCCTTTGTAAACAAACGTTCCCATTTTTCTCAAACATAAATTTATCAGAATCACTAACCAAAGAACCTCTATTAGCAGTCCAAACGACTTTGGCACTTTTCATATGGATAACAACCAGCAAATAAGATTGTGCATCAAGTCCAGTATAAAAGCCAAAACCAAAAGTTGAATTTTTGGATTGTAAGAAAATCCCCTCCTCCTCTATCCACTCCATTTGAGATGCTTGGAAACCAGGATATATCTGTCCTATACTCACAGGACCACAAATACTGGTTTTGAACACAAGAAATAGACATAAAAAAAAGACTCTAAATTGGAAAAAACCCATGGTCCCTGTAACTGTATCAATCCAATAAACACCACTATCTAAATCCAAAAAATTCGTTCAAAGATTGATTCACACTCAAAAATCCAAGAACTTTGAGTGGGACCAACAATGGAAACAAAAACAGTAAAAAAAAAAAAAAAAAAAATATCTAAGATCCAAAAGAATATTCGTTCAATGAGATTGATCTCACACTCAAAAAACAACAAGAGAGCCTTTGAGTGGGACCAACAAATGGAAACAAAAACAGTAAAAAAAAAAAAAAAAAAATAAAAAATAAGGATTGAACTCTGTAGGTTTTTGCCTGTAACTTTTCTAATTGTAATTGAAAAAATACAAAATCTGAAGATAGAATGCCCCTGTAAATGACATTCTGCATTTCAGCGAGATAGCTGAGCGGAGCTTGAAGTGTATATAACAGAGAAATTACACATAACATTCAAAAGCAAAGGACAATATGAATCCAAAGATTACTCAGCAAAAATACAAGCATCGCATGCACGTAAAGGACTAGAGCTTTACAATATGATATAACCGAAAAGGGGAAGAATAGAGGACTGACAAACGGCCACCCAAATAGACTTAAAAGAGAGACAAGAGAGTATATCACATCGGACTACGCACACTTCGACTATATTCATAGTACAATTGAGAAAACCAAGTATAGGCGCGTATTTACGTAATGGCCTTTGTTCTTGAGATTATAACCTAGAAGAACCACGACATAACAGAGCTGTAATAGAGAAGATGAAATTCTTGTTCTTTGTCATTCTCCCTGCGTCGACTATATGAACTCATAAAAAGCTATAGATGAAAAAGGTGCCCAACTATGCAGAGCAGGCCTGACGCCCGGCCCGAATATCATGTGAAAAATTGAAGTGCAGCGAAGACCGGCACAAAGTCGTGCTTCGTTAATTTTGTGTTTTTTCTTTTTTATTTTTTTTTTCTTTTCCACATAAAATTTGACGCCATCGTGTTCTCAGCAACATACTCATCGTTTAGTATAATAATGATTTAGTATTATAGCACAATGCATCTCAATTTGTTTTTCTTTTTCCGTATAAACATTTTAAATTCCAAATTCCCTTCCTCTTGTAATTGAATAGTACATATTGTATGCTAAAACGTAAAGATTAGTGTTATTTAATTTCTATTTGGAAACCATTATAAAAACAGTAAAAAAAAAAAAAAAAAAATACAAATAGATTGACTCTTTGGTTTTGCCTGTACTTTTCTAATTGTAATTGAAAAATACAAATCTGAAGATAGAATGGCCTGTAAACCCACCGAAGTTACGAGCTTGAAGTGAAAACAAGAAATTACAATAATTCAAAGCAAGGACAATATGAACCAAAGATTACTAGCAAAATACAAGCATGCTACAGAAAGAAGAGAGCTTTTTCAATATGATATAACCGAAAAGGAAAGAATAAGATGAGCACCCAATAGAAAAAGACAAGAAGGGTTTAATGGCTAACCTCACTTCTTGATTTCAGTTACAGAAACCAGTGGGTTTTAAATTGGCTTTTTCTTGATATATAAGACACGACATAACAGAGCTGTATAGAGAAGATGAATCTTGTTCTTTGTCATTCTCCCTGCGTCGACTATATGACTCAAAAAAGCTATAGAGAAAAAGGTGCCACTATGCAGAGCAGGTGACGCCGGGATGGAAAATTGATGAGCGAAGACCCCAAGTCGTCTTCTTTTTTTGTTTTTTCCTTTTTTATTTTTTTTTCTTTTCACATAAATTTTGACGCCATCGTGTTCTCAGCAACATACTCATCGTTTAGTATAATAATGATTTAGTATTATAGCAAACATGCATCTCATTTTGTTTTTCTTTTTCCGTATAACATTTTATTTTTCCCTGTCTTTTGAAATATAATATTTTGCTAAAATAATTAGTGTTTTTAATTTCTATTTGGAAAATAAACAAATAAATTTTTGAAACAAATGATTTTAAATAACTTAATGAATTCTTTAGAAACATTAAAATTTTCTATTAGGCAAATAAACAAATAAATACTAAAATAAATTAATCAGAAAAATTAAAAATAGGTTATTAATATTTTTTTAATTCATATTCATTATAATATTTTAAATTTTATTATTTTAAACTTGTGATATTGCATATCTGTTTTTGTTAGATGAAAAAATTAAATTAAATAATTGGATTTAAGCTGAATTAATTAATTAAGGAGGGGTTTACACGTGAAAATAAAGGTTGACCATGTTTTTCATAGCAAAAGATGAGAATAGTTGGGAGCAGGTTTGGGCCATCAATTCTTTTTGCCTTCTTTACGACCATAAAGACCTAAAAAAAATTAAAAAGTTAGCACTTACTTTTATTTATATTTCTTATTTTTTATTGAAAACCACCTATGGTTGAGGTCCATATTGAATGGAAAATACTCGAACTTGAGACATTTCACTATTTATATTTTCTATAAGATCTAAAAAGATTTAGGCGGATTAGACATAATGATTTTATTTAAACCCTTTAGACAATGTTTATATAATATGTGATTTTCTCACATTTGAAATTCAAGTGTTATTCACTTACTATAACTTGATATTAGACTCGATCAAATTGGATTTGAATTGAAACTAAATCTAAAATTATTTATTAAAACGAAATATTGAGATTATTTCCTAAATAGCAAAACATTGAAATGGTAGCCTACTGATGTTATGACAGTTACCGCTTTTGACCTGAAATACGAACATTTTATACCTAATTTGATTTTATTATTACTTGATTTTGGAAAAACTAGTACCCGCTTCGAAGTCAATCCGATACACTTTTAAAAGAAGGTTCAGCTAACCGACATTTTGTCTTGACAATAATGAAAAGACATGTTAGAACAACAATTAATGTCAAAGACATACACCTAAATATAGTTTTTGATCAATAAGATCAAGCAATTACTGACTGTAAAGCAATATTTTATTTGTTAAAAATACAATTATAAAATATGACATTTTTTAATTAGTTAGGAGGACCACCACACAGCTAAGTTAGTGATAGAAGATGAAAGTGGGCACTGATGGATTATTTTATGGATTACTGGACAATGGACACGCATTAATTATTATAATCCAATCCAATTGTCTCTTCTCGTGTGTTTGTTTGGAAGAAATATTTTACATTTCCTCCTCAAAAAAAGGCCATTTTGCAAATATGGGCCTTTTGTCTTCGGCCCTCTTTTGATAAGTTGGCCAAGCCCAAATATTGAGCCTATATCCATAAAAGCAAACTGCCCACTAAGCTTTAACACAAGTCATAGGGAAACAATTGAACATGGACATATCAAAATAAGCTAGAAGGGCAGGCAAAAAACAGTATCTAAATTTAGGAAAGGAGAGAGAAAAAAAAAAAAACTTGCAAATTCATTTAAAAACAAAAGAACTGTATACTCATAGCTTATGTAAAGCAATACCGTCTCTGTTCCATTTTGTTTATTTGTTATTCTTTTTTCAGATGTCTCAAAATATTTACAATATTTCTAAATTTATATATTTAAATAATTATTTTTTTCATAACAACCTTTATGATCGTTCATTACATACATCTTTTTTATTAATATATTAATGAGTTAAATGTAAAAACTAGTAAAATAATTTTTGTTTACTAATTTCTTAATATGCGTATTTTGTCAAACCATGCAAACAAATTATGACGAAAGAAGTATAATTTAAAATATATTTAACATTGATATTGAAATTATCTCTCAAAAAGATATAGTTTTAAATACTAATAAAAAAAACAAAATAAATTTATAATGCTTGTTAACATAGTTCTTTAAATATATCAGTTATATTAGAGCTATAATAAGCTGAGCCGAATTTTAATGAGCTTGAGCTCGACTTGATAAGTATATACTTAAATTAATTTTGTATAAAAATAGTCAAACTTGAATTATGTTCAATAATTATAAATGAGCAGAGTATAAGTTTGAATTTGAAATTTATCAAATAAAAAAACAAAATTCTGATTTAAATTTAATTATTTTTTACCTTATTGAGTTAACTAACAAGTTAATGATTCAAGTTTAAATTCGGTTTGGTTGCTAAATAAATTTAATAGCTTCACTGAAATATAGCTCAATAAATTTATCAAATGAATTCAAACGAATTTTTATCGAGTTAAATCTCGATTAAGTGAGTAATTTTTATAATTTAAAATATCATTGATTTTTTTTTTTTAAATATTTGTCTTTTACATTGAACCATTAATCCGGTTTGAAAAATTCTGTAAATTTCCATCTAACGTAGTCAAGCTTTGTTTTTTCATGAGCTTAACAGGTCACATTTTACCGTACAGCATAATCAATGTGGAGCTGTACAAATTAGATTTGACCCAGTAGAGAAGGGAAGATGAGAAATGACTGAAGTGAAAAGGGACGTGGCGTCAGCTTCACTATAATTCAATGTGCGTGCTCCCACTCGCCCACCTACACCCTCACCGCCTGCCGTTTTCGGACTCCAACTCTACTTTCCAATTTCATTTTTTCACCTTTTTAATTTTTGAATGAAAACGTTATCTTGCAACCGTAACTTGCAACGCAAACCAAATATCTGTGACTGTCACCAAACCAAATAGTGGTCCTCTTCCCGCTCCTCTCAGCATCACTCCACTCTCTCAACTTCGAGCGTGTAACTTAGTTTGCATCAAGATGGACTCATTGGTAAGTTCACGGATCCGCTGTCCAGTGTTCAACACACTTCAACTGTAGCGCGTGACCAAATTATCCACTAAGAATTTGGCTTCGCTAAATTTTTTATTCACGTAATATGTCCTTGTAATACGTGTCACCTTATCCGAATATTCGATCAAGTTAAATTATTTGTAATAATAATATTTCAAACTTAGACTTTTATTTCTCTAAAAAAAGTTGTTTTGAAAATTTGAATAGAAAATTCTTTTTTCCACGAGAAAGAAATTTAAATAGCAATATTAAAAAGTTTAAATTTTTTTTTTTGAAAGGTAAGCTTAAACTCTATATTTTTTTTTTAATATTGAGGGAGAGGGGATTTAAATCTGAATTTTTTGCCAGATCGTATATGTATTTATCACTGGGCTATGTCTAAGTGTACAACTTAAAATTTTATTTAGAAAGCTGTAATGACATATAATATAATATATTAAAAATGCATTTTATATGCATTACATTGCATCATATTGTCTATGTAATATTAATTTTAATATTTTTATAACTTTTTCATAAAATTAAAGAAATAATTAAATCATTTCGATTTTGTTCTAATTGATAAAATTAAAATTAAATTAAAATTATTTTAATTTTTTAAAAGGCATATAAATAGAACAAGAAAAAATAAGTTAAAAGTATTAAAATGAATAGAATAAAAGTAATAGTTCATTAAATTAAATAAAGATAGCATGCAATATTTCATATATAAAGATTGCCTGACAAAAAGTTATTAGTTGATTGATTAGTTTAAACGAAATATCTTTCATCTGGTTAATAAAGATTAAATATAAATTTATTTTTTTATAAAATTAGGAGTTTACATGATGGAGCAGAGAGAAATTATAGAAAAAATAAATTTTTTTTTTTTGGAAAAGCAATTATTTTAAAAATTAGGATTCAAAAAAAATTGTAAGTATCCCTTTAAAAATTATGTTTAAAAACAACCTTGACAGGAGGAACATGTGCAAAACAATAATATAATAAAAAGGTCAAGGCCAGATAAATAAATCCAAATTGCATTTTTTTTTAATTTAAAATTGTTATTGCTCCATGTAATTTGGAATACCCAGCACACTACCAGTGAGGATTTCTTTTTTGGCACTATCCAATGCAAAGTTTGACACGTGTAAGTGTAACATTACACGTAAACATAAATTAACAGAAAAAAATTATGTTTATTACGGAGTAAATCAGCTTTATCAGAAAACGTGATCATTAATGCTTTGTTTGGATAGAGGGAAGATGCAAAAGGAGAGAGAAAACTGTTCATTTTACCTTCTTATTTTACACTTTTTATTTTGTTTGGAGGAAAAATAAAATAAGTAAATTTATTTTATTTAGTTGCCCTTCGTTGTATTTATTTTCCTCCTATTTTGGAGAGAAAAATATTTTATATCCGCTCTATATTTTACCTCCTTTTAAAATAAGGTATTCTATAAATTCCAAGAAACTTTCACTTATTATTTTACATTCCTCCTTATTTCACATCCAACCAAACAAGCTCTAGAAATTTTTGGTACTACAGAGGTGAGCTTATCACTTCCCTACTGGATTATGTGACAGTTTTTTTTTTAGAGGGAAATTATAAAAATAAATAAAAAATAAAATAATAAAAAGGAAAAAGGTATAGAGAAACATCAACCAACGACAACAAACATATCTCAGACTCTCAACGGTTTGTGCCCCTCTCTTCGCCACACACACAAAGCACCTACACATAAATACCAGAGAGAAAGAGAGTTTCTGGAAAGAAAACAGTTTTCTTCTTTAAGGCTTTGGGTTTGTTTTTGCAGGTGAAAAATGGAAGCTAAAGAAGAAGTTATTTCTGTTGAGCTACCAGCTCCTCCTGCTTGGAAGAAAATGGTTTGTGTTTCTTCTCTTTCTGTATAAAAAATTTTGAACTCTCTCTCTCTCTCTGTTTTATATAGGTACATGTTCCTATGGATAGCTTATAGTTTCTTGTCTTGCTTCAGTACTTGTTGCCTTTTGCTTGTCGGATTAATTTGCTGTTTTTTTTTTTTCTTCTTCTTTTTTTGTAAAGTGATAATTTTTATTTTTGGGGTTTGCTTAATTGGTGTTTTCCTTTTTCAGTGTTATGTCTTAGAAATTAAGTACTTGTTAATATTGGAGTTTTAAATTTATTGTGATTTGGGTTTTTGAACAATTTGGTGATTCTGGCAGTAATTCTGCTTTTAGGGTTTTCTTGGCATGTTTAATTGCCTTGGTGGTGGTAGTTGTTATAGTTAGGGATTTAGGTTCTGGTTTTCATTTCTTTTCGTATTCCCTCTCTGAAACTTTTTAGGTTAATTATGAATTCCATGTGATAAATTCAACTCCCATCAGCTTTTACCATACAGTTAATTTCCGTTTTGTGTCTTTCTGTTCACACACACACACACACACACACACACACACACACAAAAAAAAAAAAAAAAAGCTATTTGGTTGGAATTAAAGGGAGATTCCCCCCCCCCCCCCCCTTGGTTGTGGGCCTTTAGCTCTGTTCTGATAGCTGGAAACCAGTAAATGTTTAAAAGTTCCTTACCAATTTCAGTGTTCTTTTATTGGAGTTTCCTTTCTCCCCCCCCCCCCTGGTTGTGGGCCTTTTAGCTCTGTTCTGATAGTGGAACCAGTAAATTGTTTAAAAGTTCTTACCATTTCAGTGTTCTTTTATTGGAGTTCTTTCTGAATTCTGCTGCATTTTGCCTCCACATTTGATAAGATGCTTAATGCTTTTCTCATGTATTTACAAAGTGAGTTGAGCTTGGACTAGATTAAACAAGATAATAAATTGAATTTCTACCTTTTACAAATAACAGATATAGGTCATTGTTATTGTCAGTGAGATAGAACTGAAGGAAGTTACCTCTCAAGCAAATAGCATATAGCATCCCTCACCCCAGTTGCTTGGTTATTCTAGTATTTTCAAATGCAAGGTCAGATGTGCAAGCAAAAAAATAACATAAAAACAGAAGACCTGCCTTGTGCAGTGAATAGGAAAAAATGTTTAAAATATACCACTTAAGTGCAACTGCTCCTGCAATTTTCCTTATCATGTTTTTGGGGAATATTCATCTGGATTCATGAAATAGATGTTAATGACGAAAATTGGGACAAACCGATGCTTTTTTGCACTTTGATGAAGTGCTGATTTTGTGTGTATCTAGACCAAATATTATTCCATCTCAATGTACATAGAAGCAGACTAACAGTTTTAGCAATATATCAGATTGCTTATTTTGTTGTCTTCAATTTATTATAGCTTTTAACTCCCAGACTTTTAAACTTATGGGATTTTCTTGAGCATTTTTGTTCTTTTTTAGAAAAAAATGGGTTTTATCATTGCTTTTAATGTGCTTTGGAGTATCTTTTTCTAATTGTGGGCTTGTTTGCACTTCTAATAAATTATCTTATTTTGTGTAAAAAGATAAAACAAAAAAAACCTCCCCCACTTTTCCCTGCAAAAATGACTAATGATTTTGACTTTAAATATGTTTGAAAGGGAAGAGGGACTGTTCCCTCTTTTTTTCCAAAACCTAGTTTCTCTACTGCAATTATATATGTCTAATTTCTGGAACAGGATAGTCTTTCCCTCACTGTTTCCATTTTCTTTTCGTTAGCTAAAGGAACATGAAGATTTAATCCATTCTAAAGAAAGCAACAATGCAAGTTTATAGTAAGGTCTCTGACTAGCTTTAATTTAAATATTGGGGGCAGTAGAAGAGAAGGGAAAGTTGGGAATTTGAGTGTTAAGAAAGAGTCATGTTTCAATACCTAGCTTCAAATGTCAAGGTGGATGTACATTGGTTGGCTTCATATCCAAGAAGAGGAAGTTAGTTTCTATACAAAAGGGAAAGTACAAAGAGATGGATGGCCTTTTAATAATAAGGAGAAACTGCAAAATTCATAGTTTTTATCTCTTGGTTTGTGCAAAATCTGTAGTTGTATGGATATCACTCTCTAGTGCTATTCACACTTGTGCGCTCCCTCTCTTCTATTATGTTTTTATTCTTTTTCCTAGGAAGTTTGATAGCCTGATTACTACAACAACAACAACCAAGCCTGATCATCTAACTAAAATCTAAGCGCTGGAGTCCTTGACTTGTAAACTCAAGCTGATATATAATTGCACTGTCTTGAGCATCTTTATTTGTCTAATATTCATCATCATCATCATCTTTTGCTCTACTTTATTGGTGCTTGCACTTTAGAATATATGCTAGTCTTCTCTGTAATTTATTAGATTTAGATATTTTGTTTCTCATATATAAAATAAGCAATGGTTCATTTGATTTGGAACTGGAAAACAGCATCTATTTGGTGTTGTGGTTGACATTAGTTGACCTGGGATTTTATTATATCACACATTTTAATGACTATCACGTGGCAGTATCTGGTTCAAATATTAGATGCAAAGATAATAAGTTGAAAGTAATTACAATAGAAAACTTTCATTGTTGAGATGTTAGAGTTTAGAAAGAAATGGAATGATTAGTGACTTAGTGTACTGGTACTAAATACTTGGCTAATATAATTTTGACTCGGAATCCATTTAAAAGGTGTTTTTATACTGTGGCTTCTGTGGTAAGGCTACTGAATTAGATGGATTTACTAGTGTGGACATTGTCTTTTGGCTTGGACAATTTGGCCCTGGGCTAACTCCAAATATTTTTCTAAGTTGGGGTTTCTAGGTAGTTAATTCAGGTTTTCATTAATTTGGGAGCTCTGGATGTTAGCAAATGACATTCTATGATCTAGTTTCCTTGAATTGATGCCTAAATCTTGACTTTTGGCCTAGAAGTTTAAAGTTTTGCATAAGGATATCAATGAATGAAACGGGGTTGCCAGCTCTTTTCCCAGTCCATATCACTTAAAAGCTCAGGCCATATACTTCTATAGTTACTGTCAGTGAGATTACTTGAAAGTTATGTTTAGGTAGTGTTCATGAGGTTACTTGGTTATTTGCATCTATTTTGGCATACAAATACTTTTTTGCTCATCCTTTTTGGGTTTTGTTAGTAATTCTACTTTTTCCTAAACTATCAGTCTTTATATATTGGGATGCCAAGTCTTTAGCTTGTTAACTAAGCTGCATTAGAAACACCCAGTATTGCTGTGAGGTTTGACTTGCTTATAATTTATGATTCTGGTAATATGCAATAGTCAGATTTGAGTTACTAGGAGCTTTCAGGTTAGCCAATTGCATGATGAGTTGCTTGTCATAATTTGCTTGATTTATTCTCAATGGCTGAAACTTTGTATATGAATCTAAAAATGTTGTTGACTGGGGTACCTTATCATGAGGGTTTAGATGCGCTTTAGTCTATTGTGATTAATATTTTTGTTTGGGTGAAAGGCTTCTTCTTTCTGCTAAAATTTGGTTTCATCATGAACTTGGAAGGGCTTTGTTTCAAAACTTGATCACTCTGTAGTCAAGAATGCACTTTCAATAAGGTCATGAAACCACCTTGAAGAATTACCAATGGTGCCCAAGATCAAGGCTTCTAGTAATAATTAATTTATTCTATAGTTCACCCCCTAAATATGAAGTAAATTTGCATTCAATTGCCCTTTTCTTCATCCTTTACTGCATTTTGGATTTGATGAGGATGAAAGGACTCATTGAGGGGCAAATCGGCGGATTAGATGAGATAGTATGAGCATAATCCGTTACTGTCATTATCGTTATTGTTATTCCCTGTGGCCATGGGAAATGACACGTGTTCATTCAAAAGTCTTTGTGCCAATTGTTTGAGGCTTTTATTTGCAGGATTAATAGTCAGTGCCGGATGATAATTTTATGGAAATTTATTGAGTTAGAAGGAAACATAGCATTAGAAGTTTGGGGGCAATGTATTACAAGTTTCAGAAAGAGTTGGACTCAGGATGGTGCACCCCAGACTCTCAGTGGAGGCAATTTGTTAATAAAGATTTGTCATCAATGATGTGATAAATTGAACATGCTCAAAACATGGTGTTTTTATATTGTTGGTTTAATGAAATGCTATAAGGAAGATATTGCCTGCGTAACCCGATATTTGAGAGATGTCTTTATAATAAACTAAGTGCATGCTGGTCAAATTAGAAGTAGGGTTTTTGGCAACTAAAAATAAGCCATGCCTTGTAGAGGGAGTCCTAAATTATCAAGTAAAATTTTATGGAAGATTAAGAATGATAAAATGCAGAGAGATTAACATTCATGAGAAAGCATGGACAAGGTTAGGGAATATGCGCACAAGTATGAAAGTGCCCAGTTCCATGAGCTAAAGAAGGAATAAGAGCTGGTATGTATGGTGTTAAGGTGCAGTTGCTGGATTAACTGACTGGAAATTTGGCAGAAAATGGTTATTTTGTAGGCCTCCTGATCTCACACTAGCTTAGATGTAGTTTCAAGAGAATAACTGAAAAAGCAGTAACACCTGTCATTTAGGAATAACTGACAAATGAAAACATCTGTCTCTCTTTTCACTCTGATTACTGGTTCTATCTATTGGTTTATGGGTTATTTATGCTTTATTATATAGTATAATCTGCTGAATCTTATTGATTAAAATGTTAAATAAACATCAAGGGAAAGGAATATAGATGGGTATTAATTGGTGTTGTTTATTGTGTAGAGTTCTTGTTGCATGACAAATATCTTCTGCCTATTTTTTTTACAGTACTTGCCGAAGAGAGCAGGTACACCAAGGAAGAGTGAAATCATGTTTATTGCTCCAACTGGGGAAGAGATCAATAACAGGAAACAATTGGAGCAGTACCTGAAGTCTCACCCTGGTAATCCAGCAATCTCAGAGTTTGATTGGGGTACTGGAGAGACACCCAGGAGATCAGCAAGAATCAGTGAGAAGGCCAAGGCAACTCCAACACCGGACAAGGAGCCTCCAAAGAAGCGAGGCCGAAAATCATCAGGTTCGAAGAAAGATAACAAGGAAACAGAATCTACCCCAGAAAAGGGCGAGAATGAGAAAGAGATCCAAATGCAAGATGCAGAGGGAGCTCGGAAGGAAGATGCAGATTCTGGAAAAGAGAAAGAAGTTATCAAGGAAAATCAAATTGAGAAAGTTGATAAAGGAGAAAAAACTGCTGAGACAAAGGATCCTGATACAAAAATGGAAGAAGCTGCACAAGAGGAAGTTAATAAAAACACTAAGATCCAAGAGAACACTGTTGAAGACAAGGAAATGAAGAATGTTAATGAAGAAGACAAGGATAAGGAGGAAAATGCAGTAGAGGTTGGTCCTGGCGACGCCTCTGCAAGTAAGGTGCCACAAACTGAGTTGGAGAAAGAGAATGCCCCAGGTAACAAGGACATCCCAGATTCTGCGACTGTGGAAGTGAATGGGGGAGCACAGAAAGAGAGCGCCAATGGAACAGTTCCTGCTTCTGAGGGAGAAGTGAAAGAGAAACCAGAGATACAGGAGAATGATGCTAAGAGTAGCATCCCTGTAGATGGAAAAGGCAAGACAATAGATGGGGAAATCACAGAAAATGGAAAAGTTAACCAGGCAGCGCAAAATGATACCCCGCAAAATGCAGCTCCTCCAGTGAGCTGCTGAATGTACTGTACTATTTGTCCATGATCTGTAGTACTCTGCTCTTTTAGTTGTGATGACTTTTTGGATTCCTTGGATGACTGTAGCATTAATGTTGTCGTCGTTGCTAGATTTCATTTATGTCAATACTAGATTTTAATGTATGTAGGTAAATCATGTATGCCACCTAGAGTAGGCCGTAGTTGTTGCAGTTTTTGTTACTTTGAGCAGGAACTTATGAATGTAGGCTCCAGAACTCATCTCAACAGTTATGGTTAGTGACTAAACTAAATTATTCATGTGCTTGCACTGCTTGTTTATTGTGCTGCTATGGACTGTAAGTGTATGGCTTCATGCACCCAGCATTTCTGGTGCTGCCCTGAGATCTTAGCATGAAAATGCAAGTGGGCTAGTTTGAAATCAGGAAGGGATGAATGATAGCTGATTAAGAGAGAATTGTATCGTGTTAGTACCTCACTTGTGTCATCAGATGGCGGACAAGGTTAAATGGGGATAAATCCAGTTAGGCATTGATCACGGTTTGGTTCTAAACTGGAATTAAATCAAAACCCAACAGATTAAAATCAGAAGCACCGGCAAATCGGTTTTGGTTTCACTTTTTTTAGAATCAGAATCTATAATTTTGAAACCAAAATTCACGGTAGCATTACCTAAATCCAGAATTCATCTTGGTATAAGGTTTTCCTATTATAACAGGAATTTCAAAAGGATTCCCATTCTTCTATTAAATATTTTACATTTTCCCTGAAGTACTGCTATTTTTCAGGATAATTTATATTTTAGATTTTATTTGTTGCACTATTTATTGACTAGGATAAATATAGCCGTAGTTGGAATGAAAATTAAAAATCAGTTTTCAAAGTTATAATTTTTAACGGTTGATATAAAAATTGAAATAATGCTATATTTAAATTGAGATATGATTATCCATAGTGATTGACAATATTATTTCGGTTCATTTAGCATTTCTATGAATATAAAACAAAACATTTTATTTTGGTATGAGTAAATGTTAAGATTAAATTGAATTATCACTATAAAAATTATTAATAAAATAAATCAGCAAAAAGTAAAATTTTTTATTTTAACTTTTATTTCCAATTCAAGTCATCAGACGGAAATGAGAGGAATATCGAGAAAAACTAATACTTGATCTACATTGAACTATCTTTCCTTCATCCAGCCACAATGTTCCTTGTTTCCATAGGAATGCACTCAAGAACTCCTCCATCTTCACCCAAGAAAAGTATATATAAGACAAGACTCTAACTTCCAACATTTCTCAAGAAAAAGAGAGAGAGAGAGAGATAGACGTTTCTAAGGAGAAAAGTTCCTATAAGAATTCAAGAAAAGGGGTTACTTTGTGAGTAAAGTTAAGAATCTATACCAAGCCCTCTCAAAATCTTCCTTTCATCTATGGGTAAAGGCTAAGAATCTTCTTTTCAAGATTTTTGCATTAAGGCTAAGAATCTTTTTGTAGTTTTCTTTAGAGGTCTTTATGGCATTTCTCAAGAACAAGAATTGGATTATCATCCAAAGTGCTAATCTTTTTGGCAATTTTGAATTACAAAAGGTTGGGCCATACCTTCTCTTTTTCTACAAATGGGATCCACTTTCCTTGGTAATTTCTCCACCAGACTTATGGGTTCCTCTTCTTTCTTTCTTTGCCTTCTCATCTTCTCTGTCTTATTTTCCAATGGTATGCACTCTTCACCTTTCTACTTGAGTTTTATTCATTTTTCTTCTCAAGATTCTCATTGAGTTAAAAGGATACACTGCACTTTCCTTCTTATTAGCTTAATGATCTGTAGAATTTTCTCTCCAAAAAAAAAAAAAAAAAAAAAAAATTATCACAAGACCGCCAGTGGTTGGGTGCCCCTTGTTCGTTTCCCATATGAGGAATGCCACTCAGAACTCCTCCATACTCTCTCCGGCGGCCAGAGGAAAATGGTATAATATAGAGACAAGGACTCTAACTGTGCTCCAGACATTTCTCAAGTGAAAGGAAGTGTGCGGGGAGAGATCTATGATCGGCAAAGAGAGAATTAAGAGAGACGATTTCCTAAGGGATAGACATAAAAGTCACTTTGTTTCCTATATGTACTGTATTCGTTACACCGGAGAACTCGAACAGTATAAAGACAAGGGGGTTATCTGTTGTGAGGTAATGGATTGTGTCTTTTGAGGAATCTAATGTACGGCTGGGGAAGTAATGGCCTCTCTGATGAAATCATTCCTTTACATACTATGCGGTAAGGCTAAGAAGAATCACTGTAAACTTTTCAACGATTGACTTGTTTGCCATGATAAGGGGCTAGAATCGTGTTAGATTGTAGTATATGAGTAACATTTTAGAGTGAGAAGATGTTACTCTTAAGAATAACGAAAAAAGGATTTATGTATGTGGCATTTGCATCAAAGAACAAAGAAATATGGGGATTAGATCGAATCCAAATGTTGCTATCCCTTAATATGTGGAGCAAATTTTGAATTAACAAAAGGTTAGGGCCATACGCTTCTCTGTTTTCTACAATGCGGATCCACATTTCCTTGGTAATTTTCCTCCCCACTCAGACTCTTAGATGGTTTTTCCTCTTTCTTATCTTTCTTTGCCTTCATCTCTTCTCCATGTCTTTATTTATTCCCAAATGGATTATTAGCCACTCGTTGGCCGACCTTTCACTACGCTTAGTCTTTATTCATATGTATGTTCTTCTCAAGATCTCTCATGTGAGTGTTAAGGATAACTGCCCTTCGCCTTGTCCGTATTTATTGTAGATGAATCTTGTAGAATTTTCTCTCCAAAAAAATATAAAAAAAAAAAATCCTAGGTTTTGTCATGACATTTATTTTTTTTATAAACGATATATTAAGGTTAAATAGCTTGAAACTGTGTTATAGACTGTTGAGGAGCCAAATTAGGGCATTAGCATTTTGCTTGGAAGATTTCCCTCTTTTAATAGAGGCATTAAGTGGCGTGATTGGAAAATTGAACGTACAACACATGGATGGAGGGAAAAATTTAATTTTATTATACATTCTTGTTGGAGCTTTCTTTTTTATCTAGAATTTTGTTAGCCTACATTAGTTCAACGTTCACGCCAACCTTTTGTGTGTTTTTTCTAAATTTTTTTTGCCATAAAATAATAAGCCTTTAGAGAACATTGCAGAAAAATGTTGGTCTTCTGCTTTCTGGTATGTCATCACGCTGAAGTGAAGAAGTTTTAAATTTCAGTAAGAGTAAGAATCTATTTTATCTTTAATGAGTACATATTCCAATGTATTCTTTAACAGTATCAAATTGATTTAAAAAAAAAAAAAAAAAAAAAAAATCTATGTCATGACATTTATTTTTTTAAGAATTTAAGGTTAAATAGCTGAATTGTTATATTGGAGCAATTGCATTACATTTGCTTGGAATTCCTTTTATAAGCATTAAGTGCTGATTGGAAAATTGACGTACACATGGATGAGGAATATTTAATTTTATTAACATTTTTGGCTTCTTTTTCTAGAATTTGTTAGCCTAATAGTCAAATTCACCCCAACCTTTTTGTGTTTTCTAAATTTTTTGCATAAAATAATAAGCTTAGAGAACAATTGCAAAAAATGTTGTTTCTGCTTTCTGGTATGTCAATCACCTGAAGTGAAGAGTTTAATTTCATAGATAGAATCATATTTATCTTTAAATGAGTATTCAATGTTTCTTACAGTACAAATTGAATTTTAGAAAATCTAAATGCATTTCACATCTCAAATTATAACCAGTGTTCTATTTAGTAGCTTTAGAGGGTGAAACTAAGCCTAAAAGAGCTTATGCTATCTACTCTGCAGTTGTTACGGGGAACGCATTCACAGGAACATATGGAGTAAACTATGGCAGAATAGCTGATAATTTACCTTCTCCGGGTAGTGTGGTGACACTACTCAAAGCAGCAAAGATAAAGAATATTAGAATCTATGATGCAGATCATGAAGTTCTAAAGGCCTTTAAAGGTTCAGGCATTCAAATAATAGTTGGACTTGGAAATGAGTTTCTGAAAGATATAAGTATAGGCGAAGATCGAGCTATGAATTGGATTAAAGAAAATGTGGAGCCATTTGTTCCTAAAACAAAAATTGTGGGAATTGCTGTAGGAAATGAAATCTTAGGAGGTGATGATCATGAACTTTGGGAAGTTCTGTTGCCTGCAGCAAAAAATGTTTATTCTGCTCTCAAAAGGCTTGGTTTGTCGAAATCTATTGAGGTTTCAAGTCCAAATTCAGAAGCAGTTTTTGCCAATTCATTTCCACCTTCGGCTTGTGTATTCAAGGAAGATGTTCTTATATACATGAAACCATTATTGCAATTCTTTTCCCAGATTGGTACTCCATTTTATATAAATGCTTATCCGTTTTTGGCCTATAAGAGTGATCCTGAGCATATTGACATTAGATATGCACTTTTCCAGTCAAATGCTGGAATTGTGGATGCAAAGACTAACCTGCACTATGATAACATGTTCGAGGCTCAGGTTGATGCAGCATATGCTGCATTGGAAAAGGCAGGCTTTCCGAAAATGGAAGTGATTGTTTCGGAGACTGGTTGGGCTTCTCATGGAGATGCAAATGAAGCAGGTGCTAATTTGCAAAATGCAAGGACATACAACTACAACTTGAAAAAAAAGCTATCTAAAAAGAAAGGCACTCCTTATAGGCCTAAGACAGTAGTGAAAGCTTATGTTTTTGCTTTGTTTAATGAGAACTTGAAGCCTGGACCAACTTCTGAAAGAAACTTTGGTTTGTTTAAACCTGATGGAAGCATTGCATATGATATTGGATTTACTGGACTAAGAGAATCATCTTCTGCTTCATCTCTTCTTTCTTTCAAGGTATCCAATCTCTTCTTTTTCTGCAAAATTATTGTTTTCATTATTGTATTAACTATTATTCAATCTATAATACAAAGACTAATATTTTGGATTAACTTTTTTTTTTTTTTTGATTGCAGGGGATTGGAGGTTATGGTTGGCTGGGATGTTCCTATTCATTGGTTCTTACAACCTGCATAGCTGTTCTGCTATCAGTTACATTTTTATAATTTGATGAAAAAGATTTATTTACAGCTCCTTTTTATCCCTGTATATGATGATTGTGTAACATATCAATTCATTTGTTATTCTTGTACAGACAGTTATTTTCTTGAATCAATATAACAACTAATAATTGCTGATTGTTTTTTTTTTTTTTTTTCATATACATACAGCAATGTAAATAAAGTTTATAAAATGGGGAAAATTGCAGCTATTTAGATAATCATTCCCTCTCATAATTTATTTTTTTTTTCTCTCAAGAGCAACAAATTGACATATAACATATTAAATGAGTAAACTTAACCTGCAAATACTTCAAAATTGGATGCTTTTTTGGAATTTCTTAAAAAGTAAAATACCTATTGGAATTTGTTGGCCCATTGGATGCTTTTTTGGCTGGGTTGGGCTCAGCAACAAAAGGTAACTCTCCTCATCGTTAAAGCCCATTTCACATATTAACAAAATAACAACTTAATTATAGAAAAGCTGTTATAAAGAAGGTACCTGCCTTCAATTTTCATTTTCTTAAAAAATAAAAAAGAAAATTACATAGGAGCTATTGTTATGGCAATTATGAACTTTGCATTTGGATTTCAATGGGTAAGCTAAGGCCATCTTGCTACGTTCCCTGACCCAAGAAAGTGTCAACAAAAGCAAATGGGAAGGCAGAAGTTATGAAAATTCTCCCATCATTAAATGACCATATAATCCATTTTAAGTCTCTTTGGAAGTTTTCCATTCTATAACTACAAGTCTTATTTGTCTGCGATATAAAGTCTTTCTATTTTACGAAAATGCCATTCAACAAGAAATATTCTTTTCTTCATTTTCTTTCGGCTTAATATAAATTATCACCTAAACTTCATAAGAAAAGTTTAATGGTGATCTCAACTTTTATGTTGGTCCATTATATCATGTAATATATAAAATTATATATATTGAATGCTTCAGTTTGTAAAATTGCCTATGTGGAATATAAAATTTTCAACGACCACTGTGTTCAATAAAAAAAGGCACTTTTTGTATATATTTTAACGTAAATTATTAGAGAATAATTTTTACATTTGCGACAACATTAGAAATATTTAATAAGTATAATATTTTAAATTGAAATATTCAAGATATACAATTTTATAAATTAAAAAAATATTCAAACTTTATACTTTTAGAATTTTTACATAAACTTTTTTGATGAAAATTGGTAAACTGGGTTGGCGAGCCGTTATGAATAAGGACTCTTTATGGGTGCAGTGCTTAACTAAGAATTACATGTCTGGGTGTTTCTCCATGGAGTGTAAACCGAGACTACGTTCATCACATGTTTGGAGAGCTTTCTGTCAAGGCATGTAGGTTGTTAATTTGGGATCTTTCAAAGATGTGCGGAATGGGTTGGAGACACAGTTTTGGATCGACTGGTGGCTTCCCTGTGGCCCTCTAATTCATTTTGTTAGAGGTTCTTTACCTAGCTCGGAAGAAGGATTTTTGGTGCGTCACTATTGGGTTCCGGGTACTGGCTGGAATTTGCGGGATCTTTCTAACTTTTTGCCTGAACATATTCTTGATCGTTTGAATTGTTTTATGTTGTCTGAAGACTTGCGTAAGGAGGATACTATCACTTGGAAGTTCTCTGCTTCAGGTATTTATTCGGTTAGCATTGCCTATGAGGCTTTAGCGCAAGGCCCCGTCCCATCTGATCCGATATTATGGAGGCTGATTTGGCGGATTCGGATGCTGCAACGGGTTCTTTTATTTTTATGGCAAATTGCTCATCGGAAGATCATGGTGAACCAGGAACGTTGGCGCGGGCATTTTTCGCACATTGACAGTTGCCCTATCTGTCATCACAGTGTTGAGAGTATCATGCATGCCTTGAGAGACTGTTCTCATGCGAAGCGGGCCTGGATGTCTTTAGGGGCCAGGACTATAATTCCCGAGTTTTTTCTTATTACTGACTTCACCACTTGGTTGAGTACTAATTTACGGCCTCCACCTATTTTATTGGGGATTGTCAGTGGGATATGTTATTTGCTAACTCCATTTGGCTCCTATGGAAGCAACGAAATGAGTATGTTTTTCATCCAGACAGGCAGCAGACTTTTGTATCCAAGCAGTTCTTGATTAGTAAGGCGTTGGAGATTAGACATGCACGGGATTCTCTTGGCCTCAATAAGACCGCTGAGAGAATATATTATAATTGTATTTCTTGTATCTCACCAATCGATTACATAGATCTATATTTAAGGAATTCCTATGCTACCTAGCTAATTAGAAATATAAATCATAAACTAATTAGGAATTTAACTCCTAACAGAATTCTATTTACAACTAATGCTTAACACTCCCCTCAAGTTGGAGCATAGATATTAATCATGCTCAACTTGTTACAAACTACTGCTTTCAGCAAAGCACAATACCATATTCAGCAACTGTACCCTTTTCATACCAGACAAGGGCAGCCAGACTTTTGTAAATCCAAGCAGATGTCTTGATTATAAAGGAGTTGGGAGATTAAAGACATGCTCAATCGGGATTCTCCTCTTGGCCTCAATAAGAAAATCCGTCTGAGAGAATATACTTATAATCTGTTGGTTGATTTCTTGTATCGTCACGCAATCCGATTCACTATAGATCTTTTAAAGAAATTCCCCTGTTATGCTAACCAGACGATAGCTAATTTTAGAAATATAATCATAAACTAATTTAGGAATTTTAACCTCCTAACGAGAATTCTTATTATACAACTAAGGGTGGGCTTAACATCCCCTCAAAGTTTTGGAAACGCAGTAGATATTAATACATGCCTTCAAACTTGTTCAAACTTTACCTGCTTTCCACAGCAAAGCACAAATACCATAATTAGCAAAACTGTACCCACTTCAATTATTGGCAAATATAGAAACCAAACAAATAGTAGTAAGCAGAATTTACAGACAAACCAACTTTTAAGCGTTGTCGAAATTAAATCTTCACTGAAACCAGAAAAACACTCATAGGGCTTGTTTCAAGTCCATAATCGAATGCCCTCAAAGAGGAGACGATCCCGGTTAGTGCAGGGATATTCAGAACGCAGCAAAAGAAATCTGGCAAACGGAGGGCACACCACTGAAAGGCCAAAGAAACACTGCAATTCAAAACTGGGGTTACAGCTGCTCCCGGTCGATAAGATAGAAATGTTTCAACAGCTAGAATACCTGTAAAACTGCAAGCAAAGGTGCAGTACTAAACCCGTAATGTTTAAAAACGCGATTAACTAGCGAATGCCACTCTGGCGCCGAAATTAACCGGTAAAACCAAATTCGTCCCACACTATGCAATGGAATTATTTCGCTCATCCAGTCAAATTACACGCAACAACAGTAGCAGAGGACTGCCCGACACGATGTTGCAGATAGAAATCGCATTGCAAACAAACCTATGAATAAAGCCCTCAACAATGACGATATGTAGACTCACGTGGGTGGCCGACGTCGTCTCTTCAAGCCAACGTTGGGATATCGAGAGAAAAGAACCGGAGTGAAAGGACCATGTCGGAACATGCGCCAGGCCGCGTTGAAACCAAGAGTTAGAAACAAAAACAGTAAAGATGAGGTGGCGAGATGGGTGGCCATTTGGCTTTGGAATTCCGGCGGACGCGGATTTATGGGAGTTCGCTGGATAGCGGTGGGGTTATAGCGGCTGGTAGAATATCCGGGTTGGGCCGGGAGGCCCAAAATACTAATCTAGAAAAGCTTTCTTAGGTGGTGGCACTCGGCTTCTCATAAAGGGAAGTTTCGGGAAATTTTTCTTTGTTTTTTTTTTTTTTATGAATGGAAAAGCCTCTGATATTTTTTTTTTTTTTTTATGAATGGAAAGCTCTGATACCGTGTTGAGAGAATATATTGTAATTGTATTTCTTGTATCTCATTAATTGATTTCATAGCTATTTAGGAATTCCTATGATACCTGTATGAGGTTTATTTCTTGGAGCCCTCCTCCGCCTTCCTGGGTTTCAGTTAATGTGGATGGTAGTTCCAAAGGAAATTCCGGTAAAGCGTCATGTGCTGGAGTTTTCAGGGATAATCATGGACGGTGGGTCCTTGGGTTTAATGCTCTACTGGGTTCCTGCAATGCGTTAGAGGCTGAACTGTGGGGCACTTACTATGCTCTCAAGATCGCATGGGACCAAGGTTGGAGAAAGGTTGTGCTGCAGACTGATTGCCAGGCGCTGGTGGAGAATCTTTCTGGTCAAGGGCCTTGTTCTTTTAGACTTGCTAATCTGGTTCGAGCTTGTAGGGCCCTGCTGGATTTGGAATGGCAGGTGGAAGTGATAAAGATCTATAGAGAGGCTAATGGTGTGGCGGATTTGCTGGCCAGTGAAGCTCAGGTTGGGCACTTGGAGCTACAGGTTCTGAGTTCTCCCTCGCCTGCGGTTTTGCGTCTTCTCGAGGCAGATAGGGCTGGTGTGGTTTGGCCACGTGGTTTGTTCTGGCTGAGCTTAATGCTCTCCATTCCATTTAAAAAAAAAAAATCAATAATTATTATTATAAATTAAAAAATTTAATAAATTAATGTCAAAAATTGAGGAACTCATTAGATTTTTTCTTCATATGTCAATTTATCCATTTTTCCTTATCTTTCTGTCTTTGAGTTAGACCAATTAAAATTCAAACTCAGAATCGCAAAGAGTCTAATATATTGACTTTGGGCCAATAATTTCCACTGACGTAGAAAGCTTTGTAGGAGTCATCTTCCTTTCCTTTTTTTTTTTTTTTTTTTTTTACTGACGTAGAAAAGCCTTTGGTAGGAGTCATCTTTTTCCTTTCTTTGTTTTTTTTTTTTTTTTTCTTTTCTTTCTATTTTTTATTTCACTTTCTTAATTGTTCCCTACTTGACGTGAATGTTACTTTTTTTAAGATAAAAACAAAACTATACTCACCATTAACCATCAATGTTAAACCCTTTTTTTTTTTTTTTTTCTTTTCTTTTATTTTATTTTTCACTTTCTTAATTTTCCCTCTTGCGTGAATGTACTTTTTTTAAAGATAAAAACAAAACATACTACCATTACCATCATGTAACATACTTGTATTTATATTACATTCTTAAATTTATATATTTATGATAACGACCGATAAACTAAATCTATTTTTATTGATAACATACTTTTTTTTTTATATATTTGCATGAGATATCCAGCACATTTTCTCACTCTAGTAGAAAGTTTACATTGTAGAGGATCAAATTCATAATTAAATTATGGTGATCAACTCGATAAGTGCTCTTTGTCACTGTCCTATAACTTAAAAAAAAGAGTAATTAATTAACATTTCACAAGTAATTAGGTCTAACAAAGGGTTAAGGCCAAGTCAGGCCATTTTATGTTATGGCCCAAGAAGTTGCATGCATGGATTAGTCTTACAGCGAAAATTTCAACTTGGGCTATTAATTGCGCAATATATCAAAGGTCTACGCCGGTGGATTCTACATGCTAATACCAAGAAGACCGCCACTCTTGCTTACCGTACTCGCCGGTTGCCCCGTCCAGTCTACATTTCTCGTCAAGGCCGCGTCAAATTATCAACGAAACCTAGTCTTTCTCTATATAAATAACCATGCAATTCTCAGACATAGCACAACACAATTATATACTCAAAAACAATATAGAAATTTAAAATATTTTAGCTTAAAGAGAGAAAACTAAAGAAATGGCAAGGTTTATTATTGGTTTAGCTTTTGGGTTTTCCATTGCGGTGCTTTTGCTGCAATCTGCGGCGGCACAGACGGTGCATGTGGTCGGAGATAGTGCAGGTTGGACCATTTCAAGAGATGGCGCAGCTTTTTACACTACTTGGGCTAGAAACAAAAATTTCATTGTTGGAGATATCTTAAGTAAGTCTTCTTTGTTATTTTTTCTTTAATTAATTACCTCATCAAGCTTTTAAGTATCCTAATTATTAAACTTCAATGGCTGAATGAAAATACATAAGACAAGATTATCGTAATTAATTAGTTAATTAACTAATCGACTTGTTATTGCAGCCTTCAACTTCACGACCAACTCTCACGATGTACTTCGAGTCCAAAAGTCATCCTTCGATGCATGCTCTAACTCCAACCCTATCGGAGACGTAATCACCACCGGTCCTGTCAACATCACCCTCGACACAGCCGGCGATCACTATTACATTTGTACATTTTCTCAACATTGTCAATTTGGCCAGAAACTAGCTATCACTGTCTCATCTTCATCAGTTAACACACCAACCGCCCAGCCGCCTTCCACCACCACCACCCCAAACACTCCCGCCACTCCTTCACCGACAAACACCACCGCGGATTGCCCTACATCCAATGCTCCTTCTAGTGGACCCACAAGCTCTAAAAATCCACGGACAATGGAACCCACTGCTTCACCTCCTCCGCCAGGTTCTTCATCTTCAAAGGTCTTGGCTGGATTCTCTTTGTCTATGCTGGCTGTTATAATGGGCTTATTGTTTTAAGGACTAATAGGTAATGTTTGCTTAATTTTGGGGGTGTTTTGTGATAAAATAAAGTTTTGAATTGATCTCTTGGTGATTATTGTCAGTGTTTTTTTTTTTTTTTTTTTTTTTTAAATAAAGTTTTGAATTGAGATCTCTTGGTGATTATTTGTCAGTGGTTTTTTTTTTTTTTTTTTTTTTCTAATTTTTGGAGCAATTTGAGAAGTTTTTTTTTTTTTTTTTTTTTTTCTATTTTTGGAGCATTTGAGAAGTGATTTTTGTTTTTCAGCGGATAATATATATATGTTTTCTTTTTTCAGGCATGTACCGGAATAAAATCAATGATTGTTTATTTTATTTTTATTGAATTTTACAAATTTTTTGTTCAAAGAAATCCCAAATTTTATTTTCCCTATTATGCTAATTATAAGTTATTATATATATATAAATAAATGAAAACATCAGTAAATTAGTCATCGTTGAAAAAATATTAAATAATTAAATCATCAGAAGCAACTCTCTCAATTATATATATATATATATACCTGTTCTATTCCATTTCCTAATCAATTCCCTTTCAATGGACCTCCATCATACCCTTTTTTAGGTTAACCATCGACACACATGTTCTTTTAACAAGTGGTCGACATGTGTACAATACTCCATAGTCATATGTAATATAGTCGGTTGTTTGGTACTGTTATATTTAAATAATTGTTTAATTTTAAAAAAAATGGAAGCCATTAAAAAATATTTTAGTATAAACTAAAAAATCCAGAAACCCAATAGTTTTAAATAAATGGTAATTCAACGGGGGAGCCTTTAATTCCTTTTCTTTTCGTATACAAATCTTTATGGAATATTTATCTCTTTCATATCTGCTTTTCCTTTTTTTAAAATTTATACAGTTGCATGTATATATATATATACGTACCACCTACCTCACAGTCACATATAATACAAATAATAATAATAATAATATTCTGATTATTAGATTATTACGTGTTTTGTGCAATATATTTGTCTTGTCCTCAATTGTACCTTTTTAATGAGTGGAATTAAAAGGTTGTGTCGGCATAGCTTTGGTTCTGTTTAACTAAAAGCTAAAATTTTAAATTATCTTTTTTCTTTTTTTTTTTTTTACTAAAAAATAAATTTCAAATAATATACTATTGGAAAGAAATAGATATGTGAATATTTATATATAAAAAAAAATCATGTTGTAATACAGAAAATAAAAGATATAGAGACTGAATAAGACTAAGCTACCTGAATAATTATCGACAGGAAAGGGTCCATATGAAATTTTTGTGAGTCCTTTTTATTTATTATTGTGTGCATGCATTAATTATTCATTAAAATATACTAAGAAGGTAGGTCCTCGTCAGCGGTTGAGAGCCATATTATATTTATTAATTGTGCAATCAATACTCAAAAGAACGTAATTATATTATCTTCAAGAAAAGTTTTTATTTTGAAAATGTAAACCATGCAAAAAAAGTGGGCAAAAAAGAAGTTGTGAGAGATAATTTTATTTGTCATTAATTAAAAGAAAAATAACATTTATAACAATAGACATGATGAAACAAAAAAGTCAAGACGCACTTAAAAAAATTCTGATTTTTGAATTTTTTTTAAAAAAATCGAAATCCATGAAATTTATTTAAGGAATATTTGTATAAAAATTTAAAAAACTGAAACTATAACATGCATTGGTTGCCTAATTTGCTCAACTCATTAGCCTTTTTCAGAGATATAAGCCAGACAATATATGTATATAAGAAGTCCTTGTCTAGCCACCAAACCTAGAAAACATGGTTCATCTTACCAAATATAGCTAAAGATAATTTATTATTTATTAACTACCAGTTGATAAATCTAACAATCCCGAAATATAGTTATTTATTATAATGTTTCCTGTAGCCCATGCTTTTATTTATTTTCACGTGAAGACCATTTCATCAGCTTGATTAACTTATGTTGATGATACTGTTTTTTTTGTTTGAAAAAATATCCTCAAGATAATTATCTTCAGGATATTATACTCTCCATGCAAAATTGTTTAATGTTCTTATACGATATAATTTAATTATATTATATATTTATTAATTATTTTAATTTATATTCAAACGGAGAGTTAACAATGGTATAAAAAATTATAAATAGATTTGAGATGAATACAGTCGAATGATTACTGATATACGTTACCCTTCATCCATCCGCTGTATTAAACGGTTCACTAACAATATTCATGGATATCCACACTCTGTCCATTTTGGGTTAAATAGTTTAACCTCTCAGGGTAATTCAAAACTAGTGTATACTCTCCTCCCACTGACATTCCTATTTATAATGTAACACGTGTGGATATGTACTGCGATTTTATGATAGCATAGTCAGTGGAGCGTGACGTGGAATGGACTGTTTTTGTACTGTTTGCATTCTGTCAAAAAGAAAAAGTACTGTATTTCATAATTTTTAATATTTACATACGAAGTTTCGATAACGACATTGACAAAGTAGAAAGTATTATATCTGATTTACTACTTCTATTACATATCTTTATACGGGTTTTTTTATAAAAAGTATTTATTTTTTATAATAAAATCTCATCACCCGTAAAACATACAATAATTAGAGGTAAATATTAATTATTTCCATATGAACATACAAAGCTCAACTAAAGCGAGAGCTCACCAATCCCTTATCAACTTCTCATCATTATAAACTACTAATTATTACATTTCTTTTTCTAATATCAATAAAATTAGCAAAAAGAAAATAAAATACATATGCCGAGACAACGCCAGATTCAACTCTACTATTGATCCTCTGTTATTGGGTGCACCGCAGTTCCATCCACAACGTACTCATCACCGTTGAGTTGATCAAGAACCAAGACCAAACCCATAGCAAAAGCCGCATCGAATCCGGGCTTTAGACATAAGGAGAAGACGTCCTTACCGAGCACAACGTTTGTAGAAGCATCGACTTTGCGTCTAATCTCAGCCACTGATTCCTTTACTGTATTGAAGATCGTGCAACACCTGTTAGCAAAGGAACCTTCTATCTGGTACTCCTCTCCTGGATTGCCATACACTTCTACAGCAACGCTACACCGTCCGATCATCGATGATCTTCTTACGCTGAAGATCGGTTTCTGACCGTCTGATCTTTCTCCTAAATACCCTTCCCATCGATTATGTAGACTAGGCCTCTGTTAGACAAGCGCCACGAGTTGACTCAGTTACTTGAATGTTCGCAAATTACCAAATTTAAAATGGAAATAAATCTATACCCAGATTCAGAAAACTAGAATTGGAAATTGTAAATCATACAAAAAGGAAAATGTAATATCTTTCTGTTTTAGTTTTTGGTACGATTTAACTTATAACTCTCCAACTCACCGAGTGAGCTCGGAAAGACGAGTTATGAGTTTTAACGAAATTAAAACTTAAATCTGACCACAACACATCTTTTGAAATCACAAAGTGAATTAAACCAAGTTTGCAGTCTCCGTTTCTGAACAATGTTTGACACTAATCGTTCTTAAAACTCAATGACACAACGAGTTGACTCGGATCCACTAATTAGACTGACGTTTCAACTTGAACTATTGAAACCGAATCAAACCCACAAATTCAAATCTCAGATTAACCCACAACCTGAACAGATTTTATTCCTATTCTTTTACGCGACTCACTGACTCAACCCGCTTATACAGTAACCAAGAGGAAAAAGAAGGGGAGAGAAATATAAATTACCTTTTTTCTAACGGTGAGCAAGCAGCGGCCATGGGCGTCCATGAGAACAACTTCACCAGTATCGCGAGTATCAGGTCCGTATGAATCAACTCGGAAGACTAACTCGCCTTTACAGTCATAGACAGTGAATCCATCATTAGCGAAGAACAGAGAGGTTTTAAGTACAGTTAAAAGCTTCTCGTCTTGGTATATAAACCCACTATCTACAACCAGTCCTCCTTTCATTGCTTCCTTTTTCTCTCTGGGCTCCTAACAATAGTTTCTTGTTAATATAAAAAAGAAAATAAAGGGTTATCTTCAGCTCTCAAAGATGAATCTCTACTCTTGTGTGAATGATTGTTTTGAAGGTACAGAAACGTTGAAGCCAAGATTTATAGTGGCTGAGAGAAAAAGAAAGCGACGCGTAGACAAGGCAAAAGTAGGATGTTTTAATGTTAAATTAGTGCAATTTTAATGTTAATAATGTCTTTTAACATGATAGTTAAATATTGAAATATCTTTTGTCACGAATCACTGACACAAACTACTAGATTACAAATTATTTATTTAGTAATATATTAAACAGATTTTTAGGAACACAAATAAATTAGTAAAATCAAAATCTTCAGTATAATAAATAAATATCAGAATTATTTTGTGATAAAAATTATTAAAATATAATATAAATATTAAAAAATAATTTTTGATAAATTTTATGTGTAATTAATTAACTAAATTACTTAAATTTATTAAAATTCATTAGCTTGTAAAATTGAATGTGACAAATTTTAAAAATGAGAGAAGAATATATCCTGATAAATTTCAGGACCAGGGCAGAGAATAATTAAAAATAAAAAAAGATAAAATTTGTTTGACTTTTTTTTTTCAGTAAATAATCATATTGGCATTAGGGTCTCCTCTAATCTTTGGGCGGTGGGACTTAGCTTGGAATCTGGGACAGCTATAGTGGGACTCGAATACGTGAAAATCGGTTTATGACTGTCGACTGAGTCGCCCTGGCGAGTTGGAATCTCTGAACTACTGAATTGTGAATATTGAGCTTTGGAGTTGTAGTTTTGAAAATGTAAATGGAGATTTGGGTAAAGCAAATCTGGCTTATATTTCTTTTATGTATTATTTATTTATTTATTTATTTAAATATAAAAAACGTGTTATTCTGCTTTCTAAAAAAATATAGCAAACCTTCATTTTTTTTTTTTTTTTAACAAAGCATAAAGACAATTGCTTTAGAAAGAACACCATATTGGAAGTTTGGAAGTTCTTCTGCAAAAGATTAGAGAGACCACTAAAATGATATTAGTATAATATCAATAGCATTCTAGCATTAGGTTAGAGTTGTTTTAATTCAATTATTTTGATTATAAAAAATATAAAAATAAAAAAAAAAATCACCCCACCACAATTTTTGTAAAATTAGAAATTTTAAGACAAGGTGTGTGAATTCAACTTTTAAGTTGAAACGTATGCTTTATAGTTTTTGACATTGCCAAGAAAAATGGAGGTGATAATAAGAAAAAACATTGAAATTCCACTTAAATGAGAGAAAAAAAAAAGATTTTCACAATTTTATTTAAATGTATTTTTTTGTTAGTATATTAATAATTTAATATTTGATTTTTTGTTCACATTATAGAAGATTTTCAATTTGAAACCTATAGATTTCTTTTTCTGTAAGAAATTTCAAAGTCTAAAAAATAAAAAGTTTCAACAATCTAACAAGATATTTATTTCTTTTCCTTTTTTATTTTTTATTTTATTTTATTTTTTTTGTCACTAAAAGTGGGTTACCATATTGACCTAAACTAAACCCGTTATTAACCAGCTAGCAACTGCCCTCCAACAAGTGAGCAAAAGGTCCAGAAAATATTCTCTTTTTTTTTTTTTTTTTTTTTTATTGACCTAAAACTAAACCCTGTTATTAAGCCAGCTAAGCAACTTTGCCCTCCAACAAGGTGAGCAAAAGGTCCAGAAAATGTTCTCTTTTTTTTTTTTTTTTTTTTTTGGGTGACAGGGAAGGAAAATCTTTCTAATTAGGAGTATTAATGGCGTTATATATATATTGAAGAAAATCTTCTAATTAGGAGTATTAATGGCTATATATATATTTATTTATTTTCAGTACATGGAATAAAAACATAGGCCCATAATATTCCACCAAGGACTAACCCCACCTTCTGTCAATTCTCCTATCTTGAAATTTATTAGAACCACAATTTATGGGAAACTAATAATAATAGAAAAGTACATTATTAAATTATTTATTTCCTACAATTTAATAAATTTTAAAAGTAAGATTTTATTTTCGAAAATTTTTTTATTTTTAAGAGTTAACAAAATTTATATCAAAAAATAAAATAATAATTCGTCGATAATTACATTATATATCAGGAAGTCAATTTCCCAGTTTTGCACCACCGTCACACGTTTTCTTTAGGTAAAGACAGGACATAAGCAAAGATTAGTTCAACTGTTACTCTCTCTGTTGATTTTTCTTCATCCTTTTGTGCAAGAAGAAGGTCAAGATTAATTATCATTAATTTTCCTCTTAAACATTAATGAAACCATTAAATGGGATAAAGAAGATAAAATAAAATAAAATAAAAATAGTGGCAAATTAGCTATTTTATTTTATTTATCGAATAAAGTTTTAAAAATTACGAAAATTAGATAGACACTTTATAATACAGTGAGTGCCATGTTAACTGTACAAAGTGATGACTGTTTGATTTGAATATTAATTCTGAATTATGATAATCTCTTTAATAGAAATGTTACAAATTTGTCAATTAATTTGAATTCAAAGTTATATTATTTAGTAACAAACATAATTAAAAAATACACCTTATCTCTTTAGTCAGGGAGTTATTTGTTTAATGGATGTTCGCTTTATTTATTACTAAATGTTAGAACCAATTAGCACCTCCCTCTAAAGTGCCTTGGTGGTTTGATACTTGCACAGTCTTATCTTGCTGCCAAGGTTCGAGGACAGGTAAGAAGGAGAGGAAAAAGAAGAGAAAAGAGGTATTCTAAAATACCTCCCTTTTATAAATAATTTTGCTAATTATTTTCCATAGCGTTATGATAGATATGTTCTTACAGCAATAGTTATTTTTAATTTATTCATGGTAATTTATTTTTGCTGAACATAGGAATTCATCTTTAAATTTTGTAACTTTAATTTTACGGCACGCTAACCATAGTTTTTCGAATTATTGGCTTTTATATATAAAATATTGAATTAATATATAATTATCATATTTAGAATAATTTTTATATTTCAACTATTTGATAAGTGTTTAATTTATTTGATTTTACAGATTGAATTTTTCAATAAAATGATTTTGCAAGTTAAATTATTTCATATATGTAATTTTATAAATTACAGTGTTTAATAGATCAAAGTAAATATTGAAAGTGCTATAAAATTAAAATCACAAAGTCGATCAGCGGAAATTTTATGTAGCGAACCTATTTATTTTAGATAAACAGTGACTCTAGCCCAATGGATAGAGCATAGTTTGGTCCAAATGGTAATGGGTTGGACCTTCAATATTGGACTTCCATTTCAGGTTTGGTTAGGAGCTCTCATAATTTTGAGGTACTAAATTACAGGATAGATTGCTGAATTTGTCGGTGGAATTTGAAAGGTACTAAATTTTTTATTTGTTCAGATTTCTTTGAAAATTTCAATTTATCTTAACAGTAATTAGTTGATTTGAACTGAATTATTCAATACGGTCAACTTGGTTTACTAATTTTATAATGATTTATGTATAGTACAAGCATTATGATTTACAAATACAATACTTTATTAATGTTTGAAGTGGACAGGTTCAACTTTTAACCCTTTGAATATTTGAAGTGACATTACTAACTAACTAAATGGAAGTTGTACTTATTTCTTATCAATGAACTGAAATTTTTAGTTTTGTGAGATACTAATTTAATGATTTGTTAAAATTTAATTATGTATTTGTATTTATCTTTGATTAATTTAATTACATGTAACAGAAATTTCTTATTAAAATTAAAAAATTTAGATCTTAAAATATATTATGAGAGGAAGATTTATATTTAGGCTAAACTATTTCGGTTATCTCTAACCGTTCGACTTGTAATAATTTCAATATAAAATGACTTTAACTCATATCAAAAATTGCTCCCTAATTATAAATTCAATCAAAATTGACATCAATATATCATAAACGTGGAGAAATAAAAAAAAAAAAAAAGAGAAGCCTAACGTTCAATTTATTCCTAAGCCTAACGTTCAATTTATTCCTAAATTGAGTTCAACTACGATTTGCAGTTGGGTTGATTTAACTCGAAATCAAGCATATATGGCCTGAAATATTTGAGTGGAAACTTTATATTCCTCGAATTGTAGCACGAGAACCCTAACGTTCGCTCAAGCACATAACAAAATTACATAAACCTTCCATATCATACGCATAGATATATGATAGACATACAAAGAAAAAGGAAATGAAAAGGTTGAAACCATGTATATATGATATATATCTGTTTTTTGAAAATGAAAGAACTTCATTAAGCATTACAATTTACAAAGGAAATACAAACATGGAGGTATATTCTCCTAAACATGAAAACCAGCATGATTATGGGAAGCTCTAGACAAAGTATGAGTTACTTCTCTCCTAATCTATTTGACAATAAGACCAAAAGCAGATAAATCACTTGTAGAAGAATTAAGAGCATGAACAAAGAGATATAATTAATGCTTATAATTAAAACTTCAAATATGAACTTAAAAATTATATAAAATATCGGAGAAATGTAATTATGAATCTAATGCTTTGAGCAGCGCTTCCCATATCTTACCGGAAGGTACGTACAGGGGTTTGGAACAGAAGTTTCTGGTTGTGCTTTGTCAATACCCACCGTCTTCTTATTAGCTCCATCTCCGGCTGCCTTATTTGACTGAAACTGCGCTGAAACGTGTTTGTAGCTGTATTGAGCAGCGGTACCAACTTCACCACAGGAGGTACAGAAAAGGTGTGAGATAAGTGCTAATAAGAAGGTGAAGACTAATAGACGAGACTGGATACTAGTAGTCCTTTTGATCGTTTTAGGTCTGGTTTTAAGCTTAAGAATAGCTTCTCTGGTAAAAAGCTCATCTCCAGAGAAGGTAACCTTAGGACCACCATCGGGATCAGTGGCAGAGAAGGAAGAAAGAGCAGAAGGAGGCATATTTTATGAGTTAGGTTTAGGTTTAGTTTTGTGGGTGTGTTTTTAAAGAGAAACTCAAGGAGAAAATAACCAGTGCTGTGATGGACAATTACTAGAGAATTTAAGAACAAAGAGTTATGAAGATGAGCAAGATAAGTAACTACAAATGGGAATGACCAAACCCAACTCCATCTTGGACAAATCAAGTGCAATGGATCTCCCTGGAGATGTGAGTTTTTTCAACTTACACTTTTTTGTCCTTTTGCAGATATTTACAAATAGCGAAGAGTAATTATTATTATGAAAGAAATTCCTAATGTTGTAATGAGGTAATGCTTTAGCGAATCTTTTTACACCTAACTTGAGAAGGAAGGCACATAGTGCACGAGTTTCCATACACGCAGATTAGTTTAAACTGCTATTTATTTGCTGAATAGACAGATCGATTGAAAAAATCATAACTATATTTAACAATAAATCGCTTTTCGCACCAAAGACCACTGAGACAAACACAAACGACAAGTCTCCTTCTATGTCTAGATGGTATCTTGCACTGCTAAGCTTCTGTTTTTTTTACCAAAATATCATACTATTAAGAATAATAATAAAAAAAATGTTTATTGTCGATTAAGGAAATATAAACTGAACAATAATCTGTCTACGGATTTGGACGGCTGACATAATCTTTCCAGTGCACCACTTTACAGGCTGTCAAAGAGTCATTTCACTGAATGACACGTCGTCGGTAAGATTTCGTCATCGTACAAAAATCGACCACGGCTCATTGCGACGATGAACAAGAAATCAAGCATTACTTCTAAAAAAATAGAAAATGGCGATCGATAAGGAAGAGAGTTCAAATCCAGTTCAACGAAAAATAAAAGTCAGGAAGGATTTGAAAAAAATGGCTGCGACTGTTTTGCCTTTTCAAAAGAATAAAAAAGGGGAACCCATGGGAAATTATTTGTTAGACAAATAAAGAGAAAGATATAATTAAGAAGAGCAGACATCGGGTCAACTTTAAAATTTATAGAAAAATATATAATAATAACAAATATAAATAATAAGATATTTAATTCAAAAAGAAATTAAATATTAATATATAAAAATAAACATAGAGTTAAATTTTAAATACTAAAAAAACATTAATATGTATACAGTTAAAAATATAAATGAAATTTAAGAAAAAAAAAATTTTAAAAAGTTGGTGACCCCGACACCAGTCAGTTGTTGATAAGTAAACGCGCAATACTTTTTGACAAGTAAGACTGCTAATATATTTGGAATGTGTGTTTTCTAGAACCTTTCAGATAAGCACTTTGGTTCCTCCTCACAGGCAAATACATTTTGGAACTAGAAACATTTGAAAGAAATTCAAAAAAGTTTACCATATTGTCCGCCTTTATTGACTAGCCAGAACAGCAGAACTTGCCAGACTTCATCGGAACAAAACATAAATTTAGATACATATTGGTGCCCGTTTGAGAACCTCTGCTGAGACTATTTGCACTTAAGTTTCACCTCCATTCCCTCTGTAAAATTTTTTTTCAAGAAACTCTTTTGTTATAAAAAGAAGTCAAGGGAGCTATAGTAGAGCATTTCTCACCAATAATCATGGCAAGAACATCTTCCATTACTGAAATGATGGAACCGATTTCGATCCCTAACAATAATTTTTTTATCAAAGTTGCTGGAAACATACTTCATGAAGGAATGACAATCGCGACAAATTCGAACATTCTTCATGATTCTTATAGTTCTCATATCCTTAAAGCTAAGCAAAGCAAAAGCCACTGCTAATTTTTCACTATGGTAGCTAAGACTATGCTCTTTCTCCTCCTCTTCAATGTCATGAAACACATTGGCAGTACTCGGTGCATAACCTTCAACTCGAAGACTATTAACTAAGTGAACCAAAAATTTTCTAATTTCCTGTGATTTAGGATGAGAACTATCTCCTGATACAAACTCATGAATCTCCTCATCCACATTAAGCATACTATATCCAGGTTTCTTGCTGATCCTCTTATCATGCATTGAAGTTCTAATGTTAGCCTTCTCAATAAATCTACCGACTTCACCATAAGCATTTGATAATAGCACATAGTCACCGTCATGATCAGTTTCTAAAAGATAGATCTTTCCCTTCACTTCCTTTGCTAATTCAAGATTCTTATGATTTACACAAGCTCCAAGCAAAGTCCTCCAAATAATAGCATTCTGTTTAAGGGGCATTCTTTCGATAAATTCAAAGGCCTCGTGTAGTTTCCCTGCACGGCCTAGTAGATCGACCATACACCCATAATGCTCGATTGTAGGTTCTATACCATATTCGTTCTTAATGCTTTTGAAAACTTGCCAGCCATCATCAACAAGACCGCCATGGCTGCAAGCAACTAAAACACCATTAAATGTAATGTGATCAGGCTGCAAATTGGTTTTCTTCATTTCATAAAACATTCTAAGTGCCTCCTTACTTCTTCCATGCACTCCAAGCCCATTGATCAATGCAGACCAAGTTAACACATTTCTTTCAGGCATTTTATCAAACACTTTGATAGAATCATCAACAGACCCACATCTAGAATACATATCAATCAGTGCAGTGCCTAATGGTACAGTAAGATCCAAGTTATTTCGGGAAATATAAGAATCAACCCAGCTACACCATTTTAATGATCCTAATTTAGAAATAGCCGATATCACACTTAGCATTGTCCCCACATCAGGCTTTACATTTCCATCAAATTTCATTCTTCGAAATAAACCCAAACCTTCTCGCGCAAAACCATTGTTAGCCAAAGAGGCAATCATTGAAGACCATGAGACGAGATCTCTAACACGCATTTCGTCGAACACCTTAAAAGCAACGTCGACCAGACCATGACAGCCATAGAGATTGATCAATGCGTTCTGCACGTAAACATTCGAATCAAGCCCAAGCTTTGTTATAAGAGAATGGAGATCTTGACCCGTTTGGAGACGAGAACAAGCCTTGAGTACAAAAGGGAAAGTGTAGTGATCAGGTGAGACGCCGGCTCGGCGCATGTTGGAGAAGAGAGAGATGACGAGTGAAGGAGAGAAAGATGCATGGGATCTGATTACCGTATTGTACGCAAACGTTACTTTTGGACCGAACAAGTTGACAGTCATGGCGATTCATCTTGTGTTCAAAATAGTACCATTTCCTGCAACTTTCAGTTCTTGGGAAATCATCGTTTTTGCATGGTCGCCTCTCTGTCCGTCCGCACCGTCATTGAAGCCCAAGCCACAACAGTAGATCCATTGTTCTGCATGTGGTTTTCGTGATAGGCCTTCGTTTAATAAATTCAGGCCCAACAAAAAACAAACAAAAATGCTCACTTGATTTATTTTTCCTTTTTTTTTTTTTTTTTTTTTTTTTTTTAGTAACTGTACAAGGTAATCAAACAGTAGCTAATTACTACACAAAACTTAAAAAACTCTGGGATGAGTTGGCTTGTTTAAAGCCCATTCCCAAATGCATCTGTGGAATTGCAGAAGGATGTACCTGTGGTGTTATAAGAGCAGTCTCAGATCTAGATGGAGAGGAAAAACTCATGCAGTTCCTCTTAGGACTGAATGATACATATGATAATGTTAAAAATCAAATCCTATTTATGGATCCATTTCCAAGTATGAGCAAGGCTTATTCAATGGTACTGAGTGTTGAAAAACAGAGGGAGGTGAATACTACAATCTATGATTCAAGTGAGAATAGCAGTGCAATGTATGTGCAAAAATCAAACTACAACAGCAAAAATACAAGCAATAATTCTACAAGCAATTAATTCCAGATCTTAAAAGTTGACAAGCATTGTGATTCACTTGTAATGGACCGGCCACACGTAGAGAAACTTGTTTTTAAAGCTCACACTAGAGAAACTTGTTTTAAACTAACTGGTTATCCAGATTGGTTTATTGAACTCAAAAAGAAGAAGAAAGCTCAAGCACATTATGGACAAGTAGGTGATGCACAGTTGAATGTTAACTCAGGTGGCAATGAGAATGATGTATCCAGACTGGTGAGAATGGAGATCCAGCGGGCAATCAAAGATAAAATGCAGTATGATGATAAGGCAGGAGATACACCTATAGCTAACGCAGTTAGTTTTGCAGGTATTGTCTCTCATTTTCATTATAATGTGCATGATAAATGTGAATTAGTTCCATGGATTGTTGACACTGGTGCAACTGATTATATGACATACATGCATCATCTGTTTCATACATTAACCAAATTACCTAAACCTAGAACGTACCCTACCTGATAACTCCACCAGAACTATAACACATGTTTGCAAGATCATAATACATGACAGACTGGATATTAAAGGACTGGTATTAAAGGATGTGTTATATATACCAACATTCAAATGCAATTTATTATCCGCATCAGCCCTTGCAAAAGACAATGCACTATCAGTGAAAACACTACCTGACCACTGTTTGTTATAGGATTTGCAGACTGATGAAGTAGTAGCTATTGGCAAGTTGAATGGAGGCTTATATTTTCTTGATAAGAAGTGTTTTGTGCCTATTACTACTACTGAAGCCCTACTTACTGGTACTACACATGATGATCATTTGAGACTATTATGGCATCTTAGACTGGGTCATATCTCTATGGCTAGACAAAATCATGTAATAAATTTTGATACAAACAGTGGTACTCTTGAATGTAATGTTTGCCCCCTTGCAAAACAACAAATATTACCATTTTATCCAAGTTGTAATATTGCTAAAGGTAGGGTGGCCATATTACTGTTCCGGGAATCGGAACCGGTCCGAACCAAAGATTTTCGGTTTGGTTCCGGTTCCAGTATTGTTGGAACCGCAAACCGGTGGTTCCACAAACCGGTGGGAACCGGATGGAACCACCGGTTCTCCGGCCGGTTAGAACCGCCAGTTCGAACCGGCGGGCCAGTTCGAACCGGCGGTTCTTAGCGTTAGAAACTGTCAGAATTTTTTTTCTTTTTAAATTTTGTTGTGAAAAATTCTCTTAATGACCTCTCCCAAACAACCATAAACGGCCACATAACGGCTAGTTTCAAGAGTATTTTTGGAAAAAAACAATTTTTTGGATTTAATTATAAATACCTCATTTCATTCCATTTACAAATTTTGAAATACCTCATTTCATTCCATTTACAAATTTGAAATTTTTTTTTTAGAAATAACTTTCACAAATTTTTTAAATTTTGAAAACCGGTCTTCAAAATTTAAAATTTAAAATTATGTGATTTGTCGGAAAACAGATCGGAACCGTCGGTTTTGAAACCATTAAGGAACCAGAACCGTTCGATTTCAAACCGAAACCGAAACTGGAAATTTTCGGTTCGGTTCCGGTTTCAAAAAATTTGGAATCGGAACTGTCGATTTCGGAACCGTGGTCACCCTTAGCCAAAGGCATATTTGATTTAGTACACATTGACCTATGGGGACCTTATCCTATTACTTCTTTAACTAGTGTCAGATATATGCTTACCATTGTGGATGACTATAATAGATACACATGGGCCTACATGTTACCAAACAAACAACAAGTTCACTCAATTCTTGACCACTTTACTAACCTAATAGACACCCAATTTCACACCCAAATCAAAGCAATAAGGACTGATAATGGCACTGAGTTTGGTTTGTTGAATAATGTAGTGAAGATAATTATTTCTTTTCTAAAGGGAATTACACATCAACTATCTGTTCCTATTCTTCACAGCAAAAATGGAGAGTGGAGAGGAAAAACACAAAGAAATCTTGAATATTGGGAGAGCCCTGAATATTGGGAGAGCCCTTCTTTTTCAGGCCAAATTCCCTAAGATTTTTTTGTCTAAAGTTCTCCTATTTGCTGTTTACCTAACCAATAGAGTGCCTTCTGCACTCTTAGAATGGTTAAGCCCTTTTGAAAAACTAAATCAAATACAACCAGACCTGACACACCTAAGAGTTATTGGCTGCCTGTGTTTTGCAACTAATACTAAACCACACAAAGACAATTTTGATCCTAGAGCTAAACCATGTGTATTGTTGGGTTATGGGGCTCAACAGAAGGGTTACAAGATCTATGGCATGCACTTTAAGCAGATTTTCTACTCAAGGGATGTTGTGTTCAAGGAAACAGTTTACCCCTTCCATCACAACACCCCTCTTCAGTCTTGTACATTTAAGATACTAAACTGTTTAGATGACAATGACCTACAAATCCCAGACCTCAAAATTAGGGATGTTGTGACAAAGAAGAAAATCTTCTAATTAGGAGTATTAATGGCTATATATATATTTATTTATTTTCAGTACATGGAATAAAAACATAGGCCCATAATATTCCACCAAGGACTAACCCCACCTTCTGTCAATTCTCCTATCTTGAAATTTATTAGAACCACAATTTATGGGAAACTAATAATAATAGAAAAGTACATTATTAAATTATTTATTTCCTACAATTTAATAAATTTTAAAAGTAAGATTTTATTTTCGAAAATTTTTTTATTTTTAAGAGTTAACAAAATTTATATCAAAAAATAAAATAATAATTCGTCGATAATTACATTATATATCAGGAAGTCAATTTCCCAGTTTTGCACCACCGTCACACGTTTTCTTTAGGTAAAGACAGGACATAAGCAAAGATTAGTTCAACTGTTACTCTCTCTGTTGATTTTTCTTCATCCTTTTGTGCAAGAAGAAGGTCAAGATTAATTATCATTAATTTTCCTCTTAAACATTAATGAAACCATTAAATGGGATAAAGAAGATAAAATAAAATAAAATAAAAATAGTGGCAAATTAGCTATTTTATTTTATTTATCGAATAAAGTTTTAAAAATTACGAAAATTAGATAGACACTTTATAATACAGTGAGTGCCATGTTAACTGTACAAAGTGATGACTGTTTGATTTGAATATTAATTCTGAATTATGATAATCTCTTTAATAGAAATGTTACAAATTTGTCAATTAATTTGAATTCAAAGTTTAAATAGAAAATGTTTACAAATTTGTCCAATTAATTGAATTCAAAGTTATATTATTTTAGTAACAAAACATAATTAAAAAGTTATATTATTTAGTAACAAACATAATTAAAAAATACACCTTATCTCTTTAGTCAGGGAGTTATTTGTTTAATGGATGTTCGCTTTATTTATTACTAAATGTTAGAACCAATTAGCACCTCCCTCTAAAGTGCCTTGGTGGTTTGATACTTGCACAGTCTTATCTTGCTGCCAAGGTTCGAGGACAGGTAAGAAGGAGAGGAAAAAGAAGAGAAAAGAGGTATTCTAAAATACCTCCCTTTTATAAATAATTTTGCTAATTATTTTCTATAGCGTTATGATAGATATGTTCTTACAGCAATAGTTATTTTTAATTTATTCATGGTAATTTATTTTTGCTGAACATAGGAATTCATAGAAATGATAATCTCTTTAATAGAAATGTTGCAAATTTGTCAATTAATTTGAATTCAAAGTTATATTATTTAGTAACAAACATAATCAAAAATACACCTTTTCAGGGAGTTGGATGATTAACTACTTGGATGTTTGCTTTATTTATGAGTAAATGCTAGAACCGATCAGTACCTCCCTCTGAAGTACTGATCAATATAAAATTAACATATTTAGAACAATTTTTATATTTCAACTATTTGATAAATATTTAATTTATCTAATTTTACAAGTTAGAAGTTCTCAACAAAATTTTCCAAGTTAAATTATTTAATATATATAATTTTATAAATTGCAATATTTAATAAATCAAAATAAATATTGAGAGTGCTAAAAAATTAAAATCACAAAGCCGACCAGCTACATTTATACAGCGAACATACTTATTTTAGATATTAAACAGTGGCTCTAGCTCAATGGCTAGAGCATAATTTGGTCCAAATGGTAATGGGTTGGACCTTCAATATTGGACTTCCATTTCAGGTTTGGTTAGGAGCTCTCATGATTTTAAGGGACTAAATTACAGGATGGATTGCTGAATTTTTCGATGGAATTTGAAAGGTACTAAATTTTTTATTTGTTCAGATTTCTTTAAAAATTTCAATTTATCTTGACTGTGGGTCCCGTTTATGTATGGCACAACCCAAGAGGGGGTGAATTGGGTTTTCTAAAAATTTTAACTTTTAAAAACAAAAATCAGAATTCTATTGCAGCGGCAGCGAATTAGAAAGCATTTGGTTGAGAGTTAGTTATCAAGTTTTAGAACTTCCTCACAAAAGCTTATTACACGATTTAGTAAAGACTCTGTGAAGAACCCAATTATTGC